CGACACTACGGCTCCAGTCGAACGACAGGCGTTTATCGCGTCCGATACTGGTGCCAAGCTGCTGATCAGCGATGAGGACGCGCTTGTCCCAGTCCTGATTCAGGTACCTCTGCTTCGTCTCAGTGTACATCAAGACAATGCCGAAGATATGCAAGGTATGTGGAATCCAATGTCGTGAACTAGGCATGAGGGACTTTTTTGTTTATAGTGTGTGTGCAGAATGCTTGCTAACCCCATTTGTTTATGTTCGTCGACCCCAGATGCATTCCATAGCTCTCTGTACACATCCAGTCTTGACACAGCCTATATTATGTACACCTCCGGCTCGACTGGTGTCCCCAAAGGCGTACTGGTATCACACCGTGGCATCGCTCGTCTGGTTATCAATGGATTTGCGGATATTTGTCCAAGTGATCGTGTGACGTTCGCATCCAGCCCGTCTTTTGATCTAAGCACATTTGATGTCTGGGCTCCGCTATTGAACGGCGCCCGCATTGTCATCATCGACAACGATACCATCTTGGATCCTCATCGTCTGGCCGCGACTCTCGACCTCCATCAAGTCACCTCGCTCCTCTTGGCCACGGCCCTCTTCCATCAGTATGCCTTTATTATCGGACCTACCTTGTCAAAGCTGAAGTACCTAATGTGCGCAGGCGAACAAGCACTGATAGAGGCTTTCGCAGAAGTGCTTCAGCATGCCGGACCAGTTCGTATTGTCAATGCGTACGGTCCCACAGAGTCTGTGTATACCACAACGTATGAAGCCACTAGTACCATATGCCAACTGGATCGCGTGCCCATCGGTCGGCCCATACCCAACACTCAGATCTACGTGCTGGACAGGCATCGCAACCCTGTCCCTATCGGTATTGCCGGTGAGCTGTACATTGGCGGTCCTGGCGTTGCTAATGGCTACCTCAATCGTCCAGACCTCACTTCCGAGCGATTCCTTCCCGATCCTTTCAGCAACGCTCCAGGTGCTCGTATGTACAAGACCGGAGATTTGGTCCGCTACCTTCCTGATGGAAATATTGTGTTCATGGGCCGCAACGACGATCAAGTCAAGATCCGTGGATTCCGCGTTGAACTTGGAGAGATCGAGGTGCGCCTTGCTGAGCACCCTGAAGTGCGAGAAGTTGCTGTGCTCACCATTGGTGAGAGCAGCAGCGAGAAGCGACTGGTGGCCTATGTGGTATCTCCTCCTCACGAGAACCTCGCCCATTCCTTGCGCGAGCATCTTGCAGCCACTGTGCCAGAGTACATGATCCCCTCAGCATTTGTGCGTTTGGACAGCTTCCCATTGACCAACAATGGCAAGATTGATCGTCGTGCCCTCCCTAAACCCGACAGCGATTCCTTTGTCGCTCAGAACTATGTTGCTCCTCAAGGCGACATTGAGGTCGCATTGGCTGCGATGTGGTCCGAGTTGCTCAAGGTCGAGAGAGTCGGTCGGCATGACAACTTCTTCATGTTGGGAGGTCACTCTCTTATTGCCGTGCGTCTCATGAATCGTGTTTCTACTCTTGGAGTGCAGTTGCCTCTTTCCACTCTGTTCTCCACTCCTACTCTCTCGGCGTTTGCAGAGGTGATCATTAGCAATGTCGCCAAGCAAGATCTGTCTCAGTCGATTATTACCCTCGTTTCGAGAGATGGACCGCTGGAGCTATCGTTTGCCCAACAGCGCCTGTGGTTCCTTGCTCAGATGGAAGGAGTGAGTGACGTCTATCATGTTCCTATGGCTCTTCGTCTCCGTGGTACTCTGGACCAAGTTGCCTTGGAGAGGGCATTACACACCTTGTATGCCAGACATGAGGCGCTTCGCACAGTCTTTGTCACTATCAGTGGTCAACCCAGGGTTCACGTTCTGGCTGCCGACAGTGGATTGCCTCTGGCGTTCCAAGATTTGCAAGGAGAGCAAGACAAGGAGACAGTTGTCAAGAAATTGGCAGCTCTGGAGGCTACCACGCGCTTTGATCTGGAGAAGGGTCCATTGGTCCGTGCTCAGATCATCCAACTCGCGGAGGATGAGCGCGTCTTCCTTATGACCCAGCATCACATCATCACAGACGGCTGGTCACTAGGTGTGATGTTCGGCGAACTCAACGAGCTCTATGCGGCTTACTCCGCTGGTCAGCCTAACCCCCTGGCACCACTCTCTGTTCAGTATCCCGATTATGCTGCCTGGCAGCGACAATGGCTCACTGAGGACCGTTTCAACGACCAGGCCACATACTGGCGCGAAACCTTGACTGGCGCACCTGTGTCCATTGAGCTGCCCACTGACAGGCCTCGTCCCCGCCAACAGTCCTTCGCTGGCGCCTATATCCCTATCCGCTTGGATGCACAGCTCACCCGCGCTCTCAATTCTCTGAGCCAGAAGCACGGCGTCACGATGTTTATGACGATACTGGCAGCATGGAGTGCTGTCCTCTCACGTCTGTCTGGACAGATTGATGTTGTCATCGGCACTCCGACCGCGAATCGCAACCATCCCCAAATCGAGCAGTTAATTGGATTCTTCATCAACACTCTTGCGCTTCGTATCGACTTGTCTGGAGAGCCAAGTACGGAGCAACTTCTGGAGCGGGTCCGAAAGACCACGGTCACAGCTCAGGCTCACCAAGACCTGCCTTTTGAGCAGGTGGTGGAGATTGCTCAGCCTCCTCGTCGAATGGACCAGACTCCGCTTTTCCAAGTGCTGTTCGCCTGGCAAAACAACGATATTGGCACTCTGCAGTTGCAGGATGTGGAGGCGGCTGTTGAAGGAATGCAGTACGACATCGCCAAGTTTGATCTGGGGCTCGCAATGAGTGAGGAAAATGGCGAGGTCAATGGATGCCTCAATTATTCGACGGCTCTCTTTGATCGCCAGACCATTGATCGGCACGTCGGATACCTGGAGGCTATGCTGAGATGGATGACGGCCGACATGGAATTGGCCATAGGTGAAGCGCCGATACTTGGATCATCGGAGCAGGAGTTTTTGCTGCACACATGGAACGCAACCGATCGGCCCTATCCAGACAACACTTGCATCCATCATCTTTTCGAGAGCCAGGTGAAGTCGTCGCCGGAGGCTATTGCCATTGTGCATGGCGATCGGGCATTGACTTACAGCGAGCTGAACTCTCGTGCAAATGGCATCGCTTATGAGCTCGTTGCGTCCGGTGTCAAGCCAGGCGATTTTGTTCTGACATTGCTAAATCGCTCGATTAACCTCGTTGCCGCTCAGATTGCGATCCTTAAGGTTGGAGCCGCATACGTGCCGATCGATACCAGAGCGCCAGTGGATCGACAAGCTTATATTGCGTCCGACAGCGGAGCCAAGCTGCTCATCACCGATGAGAGCACGGATGTCCCAGTCCAGATTCAGGTACCATTGCTTCGTTTCAGTGCGAACCTAGAGAATACCGAAGACCTGCAAGGTATGTGGTATTCGCATGTTACGAATACTAGACATAATGAGCTTTCTTGGCTTGAATGCCTACAGAGTGCCTGCTAATCCTTCGCTTTGTTCTTCACAACTTCCAGATACACCTGGTAGCTCTCTGCGCTGGTCAACGTCCAGTCTTGACACGGCCTATGTCATGTACACATCTGGATCGACTGGTCGTCCCAAGGGTGTCATGGTACCCCATTGTGGCATCGCTCGTCTAGTCATCAACAACTCATTTGCGGACATTGGCCCTAAAGATTGTGTAGCATTTGCAAGCAACCCTTCCTTTGATCTAAGCACATTCGATGTCTGGGCGCCTCTGACTAACGGTGCTCGTATTGTCATCATCGACAACAATACCTACATCGATGCACATCGTCTGGCGGCAGCTCTTGAACGCCATCAAGTCACTTCGCTCCTCTTGGCCACGGCTCTCTTCCATCAGTATGCCTTTATTATCGGACCTACCTTGTCAAAGCTGAAGTACGTCATGTGCGCAGGCGAACAAGGATTGATCGAAGCGTTCTCTGAAGTGCTTGGGTTTGGCGGGCCTGTTCGTCTTATCAATGCGTACGGTCCTACGGAGGCAACTGTGTTCGCCACAACGTACGAGGTTACTAGTACCATCAACCAGTTGGATCGTTTGCCCATTGGGCGACCTATCGGCAATACTCAGGCATATGTGCTGGACAAGCATCGCAACCCAGTCCCTATCGGTGTTGTCGGTGAGCTGTACATTGGCGGTCCTGGCGTTGCTATTGGATATCTCAACCGTCCAGACCTCACTGCCGAGCGGTTCCTCCCCGACCCATTCAGCAATGTGCCTGGCGCTCGCATGTACAAGTCTGGCGATTTGGTCCGCTACCTTCCCGATGGAAACCTTGTGTTCATGGGTCGCAACGACGATCAAGTCAAGATTCGTGGATTCCGTATCGAGCTTGGCGAGATCGAAGAGCGCCTTGCTGAGCACCCTGAGGTACGAGAAGTTGTTGTGCTCGCCACTGGTGAGAGCAGCAGCGAGAAGCGACTGGTGGCCTATGTGGCATCTCCTCCTCACGAGAACCTCGCCCATTCCCTGCGCGAGCATCTTGCAGCCGCGTTGCCCGAATACATGATCCCCTCGGCATTTGTACGTCTGGACGCCTTCCCATTGACAAATAACGGTAAGGTTGATCGCCATGCTCTCCCGAAGCCCGACAGCGCATCCTTTGTCACTCAGGACTATGTGGCTCCTCAAGGCGACATTGAGGTCGCATTGGCTGCCATTTGGCATGAGTTCCTCAAGATCGACAGAATCGGACGCCACGACAACTTCTTCACGCTTGGTGGACACTCTCTTCTGGCAGTGCGGATGATCAGCAGTGCCAGATCTCGTCTGCAAATTGAGCTTAAGCTGCAGACACTCTTCACAGCCCCCACAATCGCTGAGCTCGCCCAGAAACTGATCCAAGGTGCCAACAGCCAGGACGACGAATATGATGTGTTGCTCCCTCTCAAGATCCAGGGAAGCCGACCTCCGCTGCTCTGCATTCATCCTGTGCAGGGACTAAGCTGGCTCTATATGGGCCTGGCAAAGCATTTGCACCCAGAGCAGCCATTATACGGACTCCAGGCGCGTGGATTGGATGGAAAGACCCCGCTAGCAGGTTCGGTCGAGGAGATGACACTGGATTACATTGAGCACATCCGCAAGATTCAGCCTCACGGACCATATCACCTCCTCGGCTGGTCCTTTGGTGGTAGTGTTGCTCAGAGCATTGCGGTGGAGCTTGAGAAGCAAGGTGAAAAGGTACCTTTACTGGTTATCATGGACTCTACAGCAGACTACTCTATGATGGGCGACGTCGAAGTTGACGAACAAGATGGAAGCGAACAAGTTGAGCATTTGGCACGGTTCGGAAGCAAGGATTCTACTGAAGATGGATGGGCACTCTGGAAGAGGACGATGCCCATCATTATTAACAACAAGAAACTAGCCAAGCGCTTCACCCCTTCGGTCTATAGTGGCGACATTCTCTTCTTCCGAGCAACAATCCCGCAGGACGAGAATACGCCTCTGGTTGACTCGGCCAGCTGGAAACCTTATACACTCGGAAAGGTCGAGGTGCATGATGTTGAATGCACGCACTTGGAGATGGACAAGCCTGAAAACATTGCGTTGATTGGAGGCATTGTCGCCGCAAAGATTGAGGGGCTGCTGCGATAAAGATCCTCGTGTATATTATAGTAGACAACACTTAGAGCTTTGAAATAATATTTTCCCAAGCTTTTAGTCTTTATCCACTACGTTGGCTGGCTGTCTGGCCGAATGAAAAGAATTGGTAAAGGTCCTGTGTGTTGAGAGAGGAAAACAAGGGGGGAGGGGGGAGAGCAGCGCTAGCCTTGCCGCCAAAACGTCGTTAATTGAGTTCCTCCACGACATGGCCGTCACTACCCTCCCTGTCGCGTTGCCTGGTTCCCTGGAGCAGCCTGGAAAGTTGTGAGTGATTGGCTTGGTAAGGGGGGAGGGGTGGCTTCTCGTGGAGAAGGGGCTAGTTCAGCACGGTAGTCCGGTGTTAGGGGACCAAGGCAAAATATGCGACAATCTGCACGGCTCAGTCAATATCCTATCGCTTCTCTACCAACAGGATTCGAAATAGCAAAATAACAGAAATAATTTTTTAGCATAATAATGGCCCGACTCAATTTAAGAGAGATAAAAATTTCCGCTATGCTTTTTGTGTTTGCATTTGTGGAGGCTGGCACAAAATCCATGCAATATAAATTGTAAATTTTTATCTCCCTTGAATTGAGTCGGGCCAATATGAGGCACCTTCCTGTCCTTGCATCGACCCGTTTTTCCATCTCCCACGATCTTCTTTTCTTCTCTCCTGTTCGCTTCACTCCTCCCTCCTCTTCGCACCCTCTTCACCTCTTCACACTCTTCTCACTCCTCTTGGCGCCTTCTTCACCCTTACCTCGCTCCCACCTCACTCCCTCTTCACTCTGCACCTTGCACTCTCACCTCAATGGCTCGAGAACGATATTGTTGGCCAGCAGCCACCGAGGGTACGCAGGATTTGATATTAGGTTTTGGGGTTGTGCCTGTATAAAAGGAGGATCGAAGCCAGCGGTCTTTTGTTCCTTGTTCCAGTTGAACAAGAAGACCATTGTGCTGATCACTCGCTACAGGTACCCTTTTGCTTAGATATATCAATAATGAAGTATGGTTCCAGTTGAACAAGAAGACCATTGTGCTGATCACTCGCTACAGTGTGCGTAGTTGTGCGTTAGACCCTTGTATTCAGTGTGGAACACAAATTATTCGAGCATTCAGATTGGGAGTTTCCTTACTCCATACAACTGTAAAAGAACTATCTCCAAGCGCAACAATATGAACATTGTTGGCCAGCAGCCATCGAGGGTACGCAGGATTTGATATTAGGTTTTGAGGTTGTGCCTGCATAAAAGGAGGATCGAAGCCAGCGGTCTTTTCCAGTTGAACAAGAAGACCGTTGCGCTGATCACTCGCTACAGGTACAGTATTCTTTTTGTGGAGGTCAATTCAAACGTTCGAATTAATTTTTATCATCAATTTCACTATCAAAATGATGATAAAAACCAGATTCGACTGTACGCATTTTTATATGCATTTCGTTACACACCTGCCTTCGGGCTGGCGTATTTCTGTCACACGCATTTGGAAATACGCATCAAAATTACTGAGTTTGAAGCCCCCTATTACGCACACAGATGAAAAAATATTTCTGTGCAACTCGGGGCGCCTCCTAGCTTTGGCTGCAAAAAAGATGCTTTGAATACTCCACAATGGGCAATCTAGGCGCTTGTTTTCCAGAGAGAAAGTCAAACTATTAGACATTGAGCGAGAGGGAAAAGGTAGGAATATGGGCAATATCAACTACTATAAAAGTGCGCCGATGGACTGAGAAATAAAACAGGGGTTGTTAACCATGCTATAAGCAGCGGTAGACGCGTGCTGAAGGCCATCTGGCGCGAAATGTGTAAGGCCCATGGATTGCTTGTGAAATAAGTATTCAGAGCAAACAAATAGGTAATACGAACCAGTGCAAGACTCCCCTTCGTCTATTGGTATATCTCCTGCATCTTCTGAATCCTGCTTATCCGCTGCATCTTCAGCATTCAATGCTAGCTCCGCAGTGCGTGGAAGCTGTCGACTGCACTCGAGCTTAGCTTGCTTGTAGCCAACGTCCATCGAATCTAATGCTGCCTTTTTGATAGTGATCTTAGTGCCAACATCTGCAGCCTTCTTTCGCCAGCAGAGGGGCGCGCTGTTAGCCTTGAAGCTTTCGTATTGCTGGACGATTTTTCTGCGGCGAGGCTTTTTGAGAGCGGGACTCTCGAGAAGCATTCGGTGGTCCTCGTCAGCGCGATTTTGGTCCGTGTAGTGGAGCTTTTCGGCGAAGCCTCGCATCGATACATCTTCCTTGTTGATGTCCCATTCATGGCATGCCCATCGAATGTGTTCCTAAGTCATCTGAAAGGGATATATTTGAAAGCATGGAAATGAGAATTTCGGAAGGGAAGGGCTGCAGGTATTTTTATTTCATGTACGACCTCACACTGCTGCCTTCTTTTTTGCCGCCTTTAATTAGTGGCTCACTCTACTACTCTTCATGACTGCAAGACCGTTGCCTTGGAATACCACTCTCTAGCCTTGGCCGTAAACTCCTGCACACGACTCGACTTTAAGTTCTTGAGAGTCTTCCTGGCCAGCAAACAGTTCTCTAACGACCGTGTTCTCACATATGTATCCGCAGCCATTAAGAATAAAATCTCTTCAGCCTTGGTTTTACCGCTATTACCGGGCTCGATCAATGAGACGGCGATGGCAGCGGAAATCAGATGAGGAACCGAGCTCAGTTTCTTGGCCGTGGTTTCCAAAAATGTGGACGTGAACGCAGAGAGATCTTTGGCGTGACCCTGGTACAGGGTGTCCCAGTGCTTGTCAATCACGGATTTGACAGCCGGCTTGATCGAGTCGCCTGGCTTCTGGACCGCGAGAGCAAAGCGGACGAGTTGCTCATGCAACGTGGCGTTCGTCTTGTCGATCTGGACAGATTTCAACAATGCCTTGAGTGCCAGTAACAACTTGTCTGGAATAAAACGCAAAACCCCCCCCCCCCCCCGATATTGAACGTTAGCAAAAGCGAGAAGAGAGAGAAAGAAATAACAGCATGAAGAGCTCAACAAAAGAAATACGACGCTTACTCTTGCGAATATAGATCTCAAAGCCCATCAAATGGGTCTCAATACGATCCGCCGCCAATTCCTGCAACGGCTTCAAGAACTTGAGTGCCTCGCCCAAGGGATCCTCCGTCTTGATGTACTTGAGACCCTCGGGATCCTCATCGACCTTGCCGCCCTTCTTCGTGATTTCCTGAGCGGCCTGAGCCTTCTTTTCCTCGGCCTCCTTCTGCGCCTTCAGTTCCGCTTTACGCTGCTTGTTTCGGAACTTTTTCTTTTCGGCCTCGGTCATGCCCTCCATCTCTGCAGAGTCGTCGCCGTTAGGTTTGTCGAACAGGGTGACATAGCACTGGATGGCGTTCTGAGCCGCGCGAACAAAATATGGGTGAGAATGCAATTGATCCTCCAGCTTTAGAAGCCTACGTTAGAAAGTAAAATGAAAGGTAAAAAAAAAAAAAAAAAAAAAAAAAAAACCGCGTCAGCTTCAAGCGGACAAAAACAGCACTTGTAAAAGACACAATCATGAGCGACTTACGAGACGTAGGCCCTGAGGGTCATCTTGCGGAGACAATACATATGGAAATCGAACTGGTCCTCCGTAAAGTCGTTGAAGTGCTATGAATCACATTGATCGCGGCCGAAAACTCTAGTCAGCAGAATGCCTCTCCATCTCTATCCTTAGGAACAACACTGCAACGAAATCTCGCTTCCCCTTTTACCTTCTCCACTTGATGGAAACGCTTCAACGCACGTCCGAGCTGGCCCTGACGAAGATGACTCTCTCCGCATTCGAGCGAGAACCACATCCCCTGCATCTCGACCAGGTCATTCAAGGGATCCGCCAAATCCGCGCGCGCAAACAGGACGACTGTCTTCTCGGCCTCAGCCATCTTGTCCGCACGGAGCATGTATTTGGCACACTTTGAGTTGATGAATCGATCCTGCAGATCCAGTTCCCGAGCTTCGTTCAACGATTTCACAGCGCCTTCAAGATCACTGGCATGCTTCAGGATGCGTCCTTTGGTCATATAAAGCTCGACCAGGGTCGGGGTATGCTCAATGGCGCGGTTGATGTAGGCGAGGGCTTGATCCGTGTTGTGCTGGAGGTCAAAATGCTGCGCCAAAAAGTACAGTGTCCAGAGGAGAGCAGTTGGTGGCTCAACAGCCGATCCTGATTGAAATGCGCAAAAAGAAAAGACAGCAAAATTAGGAAAAACGGATGCTCAAGGTCCAGCTTGTATCTCGACGACCTCTGATGTCCTTGAAGAGGTCCCTTACCAGAGTTATCAAAGCTCTTTGACTTGTCCAATGCAGCCAAGTATCCCAGCGTCAGCTTCTCCACCGCCTGCTCCTTTTCCTTATCCTTATACAAGCTCTTGATGTTGACAAACAGCGATGGAACGCCCTTCCGGAGCATAGTTCGAAGATACTCATCCGCAGTCTTCACAAACGCCTCTCCAGTCGCATAACGCAGGGGCAGACGCTTCGCCACGTTGGATCGAGGGTATTCCTGCTGCAGTTGTTTGAACACCTCCAAGATCTTGACCTGCTCCTCCGCCGACAGGGGCTCATGGTCAAGCCCGATACTCTTGCGGAGACCAGCAAAGTACGCAAAATTATCGGGGTTCTGCGCAATCAGAACTCTGTAGGCAGCCTCGGCCTCTTCGAGACAACCCAAAGCCAAAAGATACTGAGCGCGCTTTTCCTTGATCGCCTTGTTGTCGCAGACGTGCTTCTCGATCGTTTCAAGGTGATTCAGTGCCGCTTGGATGTCGCCTGTCTCCTCGATCAAGGAATTGTGGTACAGGAGCATTTCGCTGTGCTCATAGTCGGGCTTCGATGGGATGTCCTGAAATAACCCAAGTTTGAACCGTCCATAAGAATCTTTATAGATACCAAACATTTTCATTTTTCTGCGTTCCTAGTCCTGCTTCCTTACCTTGAGCGTCTCCTCATAGGCCGTCAAGATCTTGATGCCAAGATCGGGTTTGCCCATCAAGTGGTACGCAATAGCTAATCCGATCCAGAATTGCCTGTTCTGAGGACGCAGCTCCAGCAGTTGGTGACGTGTGTCTGCAAACGTCTCATAGTTCCTGGTGTGGATCTGGAGTAGCGAATAATCGCGCATGATTTGAAGGTTTTCCTACACGGGTTGTGAGATCGAAAGCAATATTGGAGGGGGTGTCAAACATTGTTGATCGTCCATCATACTGTGATCTCCGAGTTCCCGGATGTCCACCACGTACTTTGTCGATCCTGAGTGCCTGTGAGTAGCATTTCAACGCCTCCTCGTAGTTCTTGTCAGAGCGGTAGAGTAGTCCGAAAACATGCCAGCCTGTTGAAATGAGACGATAGTCGAATAGATCGTCAGTAAAGTCTTGAGAATTGCTGTTCGGGATGCATCTAAGACCGGTTGATGATCCGGTTTTTTTAAGTCCCTTACAGATATGGCTCTTCAGATTATGGCGAAGGCCCTTCTTGACAAACTCGTATGCCTCTTCCTTCTTATCGAGGTGGTTGTAGAACAATCCCTTGAGCGCGAGCGTTTCTAGAATAAAAAAACTCCCCAAAATCGAAATTAATGTTAGTCGTCTGGTCTGGCTACCTTTTGCCCCCTTCTTTGCCCCACAACGGTGGTTGTGTAGATACCTCCATGCTCAGGGAATTTTTTCAGGATCTGCTCCGTTCCCTTGAAGCCCTTCTTGTACTGCTTGTTCTCGTAGCATTTCTATATTATCATTAAAACACGTCCTGTTTAGAACACGTCCGATCTTTTGAGCTCTTTTTGCCCAATAATGTTTCCAAAGGCTGCATCTCCTTGGGTCCTTACCAAGATTTGCTTGAACAAGTTGGCTTCTTTCTGTGGCAGTTCGTTCATATCCTCTACTTTTTTTTCTCTTTTTCCTATGGTGAGGAGGAAGACGGTTGAGAACGTGAGTCAGTGATCGGTTTTTGAATGTCCTTGTCCTTGCCCGACCAAGTTGATTTCCCGGTTGAATCTGCTCCAAGTACCTGCGGTGCGCGCTTGTTGCTCCCTTTTGGTACCGACGTGTGTGTGTGTGGATGTGTGTTTTGGGGAGGAGAATCGAAAAGGAGCGGAGTGAGCGAATGCAGAACAGGATGTGGTCCAGGCACCGGGGGATGTTTTCCCGCGAAGTTGGGGTGGGCCAGCGTGAAGCAAGTACGATGAAATGTTTGTTTACGCAAGTCCGTCCCTCGCGTATCTGATTTGGCAAAAAAAAAAAAACGCGACATTTTTTACGCGCACCGATTTCCTCAACGGCTCCCTTGCTTTCTCTCCCGATCAGCACGTGGGGAAATAAACTCAAGGGCGCGTGCGGTTGCTGGCTACTACTTTCCCACCCCCTTCATTTCCCCCGGCTCCTTGTTCCTTGCCAGAGAAAGAAACCATGACACGTGGAACGATATTATCGGTTCTATCTATTCTATCTCCCCTTCCTTGAAAATCAAGTCCCTCGTCCGACACCGCACGATCTATTCTCGTTTCTTTTTGTCTGTTCTGTCCCATGGATCTTTCGTCCCTATTATAAACTATGGCTCTTGATTGACCGCGTGAGAGGTGTGTATCGCGGTGCTGTGCTTTGCCGAGCACTTCATTCACGCTCAACTGCGTGTGCAGGCCAAGCAGCTATTGCCAACTTGGAAGCCATAACGACTATCTTCTCGGACAATCCACAGCCAGATCCTTGCACAGGTTGAATGTTTGGCACATCGAGGCGCAAGAAAGCATATGGGATGCGCTGCATAACCTCGTGTCTATTTGGTGTTAGTGTTGTTGCTTTTTTGATGTCCGTTAACAGCACCCTCACATCGTTCATGCAAACACTTTTTTTTCTTTTCTGAGAACGAAAAACTTTATGTGGATGTACTTTTCTTTTTCTTTTCTTTTTTTTTTCATAACGAAGATCATAAACTATTAATACAATTTTCCTTGCGGTTCAACTCCTATGGGAGTTTTCTTTTCTTTTCTTTTTCTTGTTACTAATGCCGTTGTGTCCTCATGCTTCCCTCGTCAGGAAGGAACCCGACCAGTGGGCAATACGATGGCTCGCCCGCTTGAGCGCCATGCTTGCTGGGCTTTGTGAAATCCGGAGCCCAATCTTCTTCTTCTTCTTTTCCCCATTTCTGGACTCGAGTACATGGTAATCCACAGATTTGCTGCGCGCCAACCGTCCAACCATCGTCACATTCCGGCCCTCGCGCTCCGGCTCCAGTTCATTCTGTCGCCTCTGGATCGGAGCCAGTCTCCGCCTATCCGTCTCGTCCTCATCCATTCGCTCGATCGTCACTTTGCTGTACCGCTGCTGGTTCGGACGCATTTTGATCTGGGGTAATTGTTGCTGCTGATGCCGTTGGTGCTGATACTGCTCCTCGCAGTCGGACATATCATCGTGTCGCTGGTAGTCGCAAAAGACCTGCTCTTGGTTCGAGCGACTGCTGAACGCCCGGCGCACCTTGCGCGAGGCTGGCTGAAGGATCTCGGGAATGGGATCTCCGGGATGCTCCTCAAACAGGCATCGCTTCATGTTCGACATAATGGGCTCGCTGTGTCGTCGAGCCATCTCTTCGTCGTCGTTGCAGGCTGCCGATGACTTCAAGACTCGTGGGACCACCGAAATAGTGGGTGTGAGTGGGGTCATTGGCATATCGAGCGTATCGAGCGTCATGATCTCCGCCTCCATTAGCTGCTGCTGCTGTCCCTCGTACGCTCCGCTGGGCTGCTCGTGCATTGACACCTCGACAAAGCCGGTATTGACCTTTAGATTAATCATGTCGGACAACCTGTGTATCACCTGAATAAACCGTTGAACCGCATCATCTGTGATCTGGTAGTGCAGTACCACGCGTGCCGCGAGCCCGCTCCCACTGATCTTGATCCCTTCCTTCGCCAGCTCCGTCATCAGCTCCTCGACCGTGAACCCTGCATCTGTGGTATCGACCCAGATCATATTTGTCTCGACAGGGTTGGTAATGTGACAGCCAGCCTCGACAAACACGCGCTCGAGCCATTTTGCACGACGATGCGTATCCTCCATCGTGGGCCAGTTGGTCTTGATACCCCAAAGTGCAGCCTCGGCCAAGATCCCAGCTTGCCTCCATCCGCCTCCAAAGAGCAACCGGAAATGCCTTGCTTTCTTGATCGCGATCTCACTGCCAATCAGGATCGATCCGATCGGTGCGCCGATACCCTTGGAGAGGCACAATGAGACTGTATCGAAATGGCTACAGTACTCCTTCAACGAAATACCGGTTGCAATACTGGCATGCCAGAGACGAGCACCGTCGAGGTGTAGCTTAATGCCATGCTCCTTGGTCAATGCGCGGATGCGTTCAATCTCTTTAATAGGCATGATGGTGCCGTTGAGGGTGTTCTCGAGCGAGATGACCCGGGTGGGTGCGTAATGGACATCGATATCGTGAACGAGACGTGGGGCAATGTCCTCGACCGTGAGGTATTTGCCGTTCGAGGGCATCACAGGGTAGACGGCTGCTTGTGAATGGAAGGAGATCCCGCCGGCCTCATAATTGAAGACGTGGGAACGGATGTCGACCATCGCAGACTGAGGGGGGTTGCATAGATGTACGCGATGTGCCAGTTGATTTGTCTATGTGGATATGCATGAAAGACGTATCCGAGAGGCGATCTCGCATAAGTCGCATGAACAAGAAAAAAGATGGAGCGGGGAGAGAAGAAAGCGCTGGTATATACGTTACCATTGTGCCAGACGAACAGAAGAGCGCGGCTTCGTGGCCGCAGAGGGTTGCAACATAGCGCTCGAGGTTTTTTACAGAGTCGTCTTCATTATAGACATCGTCGCCTAATGAGGCCTTCATCATGGCTGCAAACATCTCGGGTGTTGGCGCCGTGGCTGTGTCGCTCCTGAAGTCGGAGTATGGCAGGGGGTTAATTGATTTTGGTGTAGACATGGTGTGTATATGTGGAAATATGAGATTGAGAGAGTTTCCTCTTTTGTATTGTGGGGCAAGATATTTGGCTACTAGAATCGCGTGCTAGGGTGTGGGTAAGAGTCGCGTCGGTAGTGTCGCTAAATGAGCGTGGTGGTCAAGATGATATCTTGAACGCTTTTCAGTACTGGTGAAAGGCAGGCGAAGAAGAGCGAGGAGGAGAAAAAAGAGAGAGAGAGAGAGACAGGGAGAGAGAGAGAGAGAGAGAGAGAGAGAGAGACAGAGAGAGACAGAGAGAGAAAGGGAGGATAGCCAGGTCCTGTTCCCTTTTATAGCAGACGGTGTTCAACGGCAAGTGTGTCAAATAAAATGAAGAGCGGAGGCGCACCCTCTGCTCGATAGGCACCATATCTCAGTCTACTGAGACAAGCAGGTCGAGGTTCATTGATTATTGTAAGACAGTAAATAAGAAATGAGACCTAAGAGCATGCACGGGTCTTCAGAGGACCGGCGCACGCCTGATGGATGCGATAGTCAACATCCGGCAGTCAGTGCTTCTCAGCACGGGACAAAACAAAGATTAAGGGGGGGTGGGGCGGGGCGGAGGGGGGGGGGCGCACATATGCCAACTCTGCTGCATGCATAACCTCACTTGTCTTTCTTTTTCTCTCGAGAACGCATATCGGTCTATCCAGGAAGGATCATCCTCCAGTCCATATTTCTTCATTGGCAATGCGGCCTACTATCGCCGTCAAACAACGAAGGGTGCCACAAATAAGCCCACATCATCCTGGGCCAGCGCCTTGTACATCGGACGAGTACCAGCAACCCAGGCGGTGACCAAATACCCTCGCATCACCCTAAGGAAGCATCCCACAAGGAGAGGGATCGGCACCAAAGGCTAGATGGGATGACGATGGCATTTTGGGGGGCAAGAAGGGGATGGGATACTCACAAGCTCAAGGGGGAGGGGGGTTCAAGGGGGTTCAAGGGGGAGCCTATGGTTAGGCAAGAGCTATCGAATCTCTTTTCCTTCCTCTCAGCATGTCCCCTAGGCCGTAGCGCCCATGCAGAGACGTCCGTCCGCTCGAGGTTTCTGATTCATTTGCGCGGTCGGCCCCGACTACACGCACGACAAACAGAAAACAACAACAAAGAAGCAAATAAAGGACCTAGTAAAGGACACGAGATTGCTTTTTGATGCATCCCGGCACGATTGAATGTCTCTGTTTTCACTAGATGTGTTCTCTAGGGAAAAGAGAGGGGGTCCTCGCTCGCTTTTCCTGCCTAGGCTCGTCCACTCCACGGAAAGACATATCAGGGACTCGGTAGAGGGAGAGAAGCCAAGAAAGAGGTAACGGCCTCCAGGACTGCAGTGACTAGCCTACGGGTTGTTGGTGTGCCACGCCTTGGGTCCGCTGTCAGGAAGTCATAAGGAAACGACGTTGTTGTTTTTGACTTTAGGGCTGCGCGACACCGGTGTTAAACAGGATATATTATTAGCCTGGCTCAAAATCAAATCATGAGCAACATGTTTCCTAATATGGAGGTTTACACACTTCCTACATTTGGAAATTCAGGACAAACGAAACGTGCCGTCCAACCTGCCCAGCAACAGGGGGGATTCCTCCGAGAACCTCCACTCCCCCCTAAAAATGACATGACTTGGAGGAGGAGGAAGGGGAGATCCAGTGGCGGGAGGGGCTTTATTGGCTCAGCAACACTTTCCGTCCTCACTTTGAGAATGCGCCCACGAAAGAAACTGCGACAGACTAACGAGACGCGTTACCAGAACTATTAGGCGGGGCTTGGCATCCAGGCGTTCGACTTGTCGGCCCCCCTCCTCGTGTAACCCTTGTCTCCGAAACACGAAAACTCATCGTACTCGACTTGTCGCGATCCTCTGAATACCTTTTTCGTTATAGCCTCGCCAACGTTAGAGAGCCGCAGTCCACGTTACTACACTCACATTCGCCTTCCTCAATACTATACTCTACTCCCATCATATAAGGATAACGAGCATCTGGGGAAGACAAATGGAGAGGCGAAGAAGGAGAGCATAAAGAAAAAGACGCTTCCTTACTCAGGAGCGTGCATAAACCGTCGTCGCACTTATCCTCGATAGTGGGATAAACCACCACAAATCGCTTTGTGATAAGCTGGGGAGGACGGGAGCATTTGAGGTTACACAAGGAGGACTCGACAAGTTGAAATGGCTGGTTGCAAAGGCCTTAGACCTGCATTCGATAAAATCACAACGAGTCCAGTATAGACTATATATTTTATTCAGCTGATCTATGCACACGTCTTGCAGTCAAAGGCGTGCGCTGTCGAGTCCTCATCGTCTGGATCCACATCATCCTTCGCTGCTTTCTGCTCCTGTCCGACTTGCCTAGCCGTAGCCTCAGCAGGTCCTTCCTCGCTAGTTTCCTCAGTCGGCGCCGCTACTGCTGCTGCTGATGTTGACGCACCCGCAGATTTGACAGCACTATCACTATGTCCCAGCCCCATCTCTGGCGCAACAATCCCCCGCACCAGTTGCTTCACCTCCTTCATCTCCGGGAAGCGTCCATGGTCCTTGCGATCGAATACGACCTCTAGTACACATATATCATATTTGTAAATGGAAAATTAAAAAGGATCAGTTGTTGTCCGTTTTGACAAAAGAATGTGGGAACTTTGTGTTATGGACTGCAATTGGATGATGTGCTCGCTGATGAAGACGTGATGGTTAGGATTACTGAGGTTTGGAGGGTTTAGAGGGTTTAGAGGAGAGAGAGAGAGAGGAGCATACTTCCATTGACCCGCACAATAAACGTCGCACTCTTGCCAGGGATCAGGGCCAGTTCTCCGATAGTGTTGCCGAACGTTAAAAGCAGTTCTTGAGCCATCCATCCTGCTCGAAGATGCCTGCGAACCGTATAAGAAAAAAAAAGAAAAAAAAAGAAAAAAAGAAATCAGATTAGCGATGTTGAGAAACAGAATGAACGGAATGAGGCCCAGCCGTTGGGACTCAACGCTCCTGGTCCCAATAAACAGTTACCATCCTCGTGCTCTCCTTTGCTGCTGCATTGTCAAAGCGGGTTACCATTTGCATCCTGTGCAGAACTCAATCTCAACTCGAGGGTCGCGGGTTTCGATAGGCATTATGATGATGAAAAAGATGCTGTTGCTGGTATTTGTCCGTTGTATGTTAAACTCGCTTAATATTCGTTCCTGTCAAGACAATTAGCCGGACTCCTGTTGAGGCGTCGAGTGGGAAAAAAATTAGGTATGGAGGGAGGAAAGGTGGCGGTATGGATGAAGAAAAAGAAAAGAAAGAGGTGCTGATGACTGCAGTCTAACGATTGGGCGCAATCTACAGTCCCACGATGGCACCATTGTGTTGGGGTATGGTTCTTCAGCAGAGCCACTGCGCAAACCATGTTCCTTCCACCAGGGCACTTTCACAGACAGCATTTGAATGGAAAATTTGTAGACAGATAACCAGTTTATAAGCAGTTTCTATACGATCTACGGGTATCATGGTCGTTCTATTGAATACACGTCCTTCTATCTCCGGAGTCGATTGGTCAGGAACGAGGGAGTGTATGCTGTGATTGTGTTCAAGATCGGAACGGTCGACGATAAGATCGGTACAGTCGTCGTCAACGTCGCCACGCGGTCCTCGCTCTCCCACCAGTCCACCACATGGTCCGCAACCACATCCAGCCTCTCGTCCAACCGACCTGTCACGATGATCTGCTGTCCAATCCAGCTGGTTCCAATGCGACGAACAACTCCCTCCAGCTTTGGGCAGTTTGCCTCCAAGACCTTCCCTGCTCGGTTGAGTCCTGACATCTTGGAGATGTCACCGGCAGGTCGAGTAGCCTGCTGCGAGACCTGGAGTGCGCACATCTGCAAGATACCATGGCCCTTGTTCTGGATCGTGATATCCTTCTGATCCTTCGAAGACTCAGCGCACTTGTATGGGTATGCGGAAGGAGCGAACGGCAAGGTCTCGAAACCCAACAATGCCATTCCAAATGACACAGTCTTGATCGTCTGGTTCAGGAACGCGTCCAGGAGATATTCACACCAAGCTTGGAAATGCTCCTTTGTCATGTGAATGGTCTGGACCCATTGCTTCCAAGCTTCGAATGCGGCGGATGTAAGCGAAGGCCATGGACCAACGTTGATGATTGGACGGAAATTGAAGTACAGAGGTCGATGACGGTTATGGAGCGGACGACGGCGCTGGGTCTGGGAGATAGCAGCGACCGACAAGGCGGCCACAGAAACAGAGCGGAGGTCGGAGAGTCCCTGCATGCTGGTCTGACTAAGTATGAGACCTTCGCCAATGTCCATTCGCTTGCGGATCTCATCCTTCTGAGCCTTCTTGTCGAGGACCACGACTTCACCGCCGGTCAGGATAGTCTGGTCCAGTTCAACATCCAGCTGCATCTCCATCTCGAGGTATCCTTCATCGTCGTCGCTATGCGCATCAACAAACAGTGCATGAGGCTGCTGGAGACCCTTGGACATCGCGGACGCCGCAGAGGATGGTTCAAGCTCCTCAATCTCGAGCGCGGTCAAGGGCCGGACCACGAGAAGTGGGTTTCCATTCGAAAGCATACCCGTTACCTCGGTCCACGCAAAGTCCTGGGGCGGCGCAGTTTGGAATACTGCTGCGGAAGGATCGACCCACTCTTCAAACAGCTCTCCTTGGAACTCGATGATATTGGATAGGCAACCCACTATCGTCTCTGCCGGGCTGTCCATCTCCATGGCGTCTTCATCGTCACTTTCATAGTACAGCGCATGCATAGCATCGATTCGCCAGCGGGCACGGAAAACAGTGTAGAGCGCCTTGCAAATTTGATCGAGCCCTTTGCAGAGCGAAGGCAGGTCCTGGGGGTGCACATAAGCCATTAATGAGCAACTGCCCATCGACTCGATGGCGGTTCTGTCATGTGCCAGGAATAGAGGGTGGTCTGGTCGGGATGCAAAGGACCTCTTGTAGTTTTCTTGCTCGAGCTGTGGAATCGCAAAGGCATGGTCAACGGTTCCGAAACGTGTCACTTGCAGGATGAGCAGACCAGGATCCGAGAATGGGTTAGACGCAGCGGTCACCGAGCCAGCAGCGAGGCTAGAGTCTCTAATAGAAAGTGTGGCGGGCACATCCTTGGCCTTTGCCGTCTCCTCTGATTGCACTACTGTGCCACCCTGTGTTCGTCGAGACTGAGTATTGCATCGTGCGAGGGAAAGCTGCTGAAGTTGCTTTTGTCGTCGTACGCTGGTCTTGATGGCGTTCCTGGCGGCGACGGCTAGTCCGTGCATCTCTGTGACATCCTTGATAAGGTAGAATCTGTAGCCGCCGGAGGCGCTGGTGCTATTTGTGTGGTCGCCGCTCAGTCTTCGTGAGGAGTGGTGAATGCAGGCGTGGACGCGTCGTGGGGCGGCAGGTTTCACAGTGGGACAGTGGTGGTCATGGGTGCTTGAAAGCATAGCATCCTCGGAGATGATAAAGGGCTTCAGATTGCATCCCTCTAGTACTGAGGGTGAGCACGAAGACGAAAAAGATGATAATGAGATGTCCAGGCAGGACTGGCTATCGGTCAAAAAGATGTCTGCCATGGGAAGTCCCGTCAGGAAGTGGTGGACTTTGGCTCTGGCGTGAGCTCGCTCCTCGGGGAAATCAAAATGTGGGTCGATAGGGCTGCTGCAGGACGAGTCCATCATTGGAGAGTGAGGATATTGGCTGCTACTGCTGCGGCTGCTGCTGTTGCTACCGTATCTGTAATGGTCGTATCTGTAGCCGGTGAGGAAGAGGTCTAATGCCTCGACGTCGAGATCGATAATGCGGAAGGGCGCTGTAGCTGTGGTGGTGATGCATCCAAAGGAGCGGAGTGGGCAGTTCTCGAGGGAGTGGTTGTCCATGCTGCCAAACTGTATATATTAAGTGAGTAAGAAACGAGGAGGTGTTTGAGTGGAATGAGAACAAAGTGAATGAGGATGAGAATAAGAATGAGAATAAGAATGAGAATAAGAATGAGATCGAGAACAAAAATGCAATGGAAAGAGAGTGAAGAGTGCAAAAAATAGGTGGAGGTAGTGCCTGAAAAAGAAGAGAAAAGGAAATGCTGCGGTGTGAAAAAGGCTAATTGACCCGGTATGCTGGAGAGTATTGTGTTGAGACAGGGCGAATAAGGAGAGCGAGATAGAGACGCGAGAGTGTGAAGATTGTGAAAGAAAGAGGAGAAAGAGAGAGAGAAGGGGGGAGATGTGTGCGATAAAAAAAGAGAAGAGAGAGAAAAGAGGGATCTGCACAGCAGCCTCTAAAAGAGAAGCGAAAAGAAAAGGAAACCGAGAAAGTCAGGGTGGGAAGGAAAGAGACAGGTGGGATGCAAAGGCATATGGTCCCGCGGTAGGACACAAGCACGACATGATACGACTCGATACGATTCGATGATGCCATGGACATACCATGGCCCTTGTGTTTGCCCTTGTGCCTGCCCTTGTGCCTTTGCTTATGCTTTTGAGATACGCTGCTCCCTGCTCCCTGCTCCCTGCTCGTTCATTGATTGCTGTTTATTTTGTTTGTTACATCCTGCTGCTTGCCCCAACGATCGAAAGCGAACAGACCGGCGGAGACAATACAATTCCACCCACCTTTCCCGTGTGTCTGTTTGTTGTCTCTTTGGTCCACACTCTCTCTTGCTCTCTCTTCTCTCGCGTGGCACACGATGGGCGGGCAGGCTAACAGGCTGGCAAAAGATTAAAGTTCTGTTTCTTAAGCACGGGCAGGTTGGGTTTGGATTGTGTTATTCCGCTTGTCAATCCGTATTCCATATGCCGACGCATGATAACCATCAGTCATCCTCTACTCTAATCGATTCAATAGCTCAGTAGAAAAGGAGCCATCATGAGCACTTTACAGCAGTAATTGAACTCTCTTCTCCAGAGAGACATGCCCATATACATTCGCTTTGATACAACACATGTGCATGGTCTATTCTCATACACTACCGTCGAATGAACTGACCTGGAAGAACTATGCCAGTTAATGGTTTTCTGTCGACTGATTCTATCGCCTCCACTTTCTTGCCATCCATTCCCTTTTCTTTTATTTTTTTCCTTTACTCTCCCCAACGAAAAAGTACCGTACAAATTTTAGCGGATATGGACACGATGGCACTGTTGATGCGCGCCTTATGTGCGTATGTGCCACAACAGGACCAATGCTTGCTGGAACATGCATGGCGTATAATTATTTTTTTTTTTGTGCTGCATGCTCATGCTGGGGGTATAAAAAAACGTCTTTAAGGCAGAGCATCTGTCTTTCTAAAAGCGAGACTTTATCGACAAGAAACAAAAACAATTGTCCGCGGCAAACCATGACACAACGCATGGACGCCATGGGCACTTACTTGGGCAGTAAGGCAAAGAGTTTCTGGAAATAATGTGGTCCATGTCCCCCATTCATGGCTGCGCTTGTATCATTCTTCATCATTAACGCCCCCTCTAGCGTCTGTTTCCTTAGCCCATTCTTTGCTGTGTTTAGTGCATATGCAATTCCTGCCACTTGCAAGCATCCCCGAGCAGATGTTCGACTGGGCTGCCTTTACAAATGGTAGATAAACGAGCTTAGAAAACACCAATGTTACAAGTATATGTCTACTTGTAAGCTCCCCTGCATGTCCTTGGGAGACAGACAAGAGTGGTCCAATATGCAAAATGCTGTACCAAGTTACCAACGGGAGATTTTTCGCATTTTCTGTCGTATCCTTCCCGCAATGCCCTCTCCCCCTCCTTCCCGCACCCTTTACAAGTGACCCTTGCAGCACCCATCCTACTTCTTAACTACCCTGATTCGAGCGACTGCCCAACTGATGAGCAGACCATTGCACCACATCAGCAATGGTAAGTACTAATCCGGCGGGAGAATGAGGCAGACATAGACCTTTTCTAACAACGTGTTCCTATTCCAACCACTGCCTCGATAGATTTGAAACACATGGAGGTCGACACAGCGGATGATGGGCCGTGCAATCGTATTATTGTCGCCACTTTGAATCTCAAGATGCAATGCTTGGCTTTGTTGGATTGACGGAAAAAAATAATTCAAGGGGATCCCGGGATCTTACAACAACTGGAGACACGCATCGCGTTTTGTATAGTTAGAACCAATGCATGTGTAGAAACCTATCACGTCTCTAATCTCGAAGAAGACCAATACTACTATACAATAGACTACCTAGTCCGCTCTCATCCATATGATCGGGGACGGTGATGATGACAATTGTCACCTGTGCTCCCAAACCTGTCATTTCATGTGAAGCTCCCTGGGCCATGTGGGTGAACATTCATTTAATTAATTAATCATGTGCTGGAGTGTGTCTGCATCCAGGCCGGCAATTTGATTGTCGTCGCCAGGGAGGTCGCAAGATTGTGCTGTTAAAGGGATGCCTATCTCCGCCTCGGCTTACAAATGGCAAATCGTACAGAGAGCGACTGTGATCTGCGAGCCCTTCTGCCTTTAATGATCGTTCCCGATATCGGGGTCTGTGGTACCAAAGCGCAGCTGGTCAGGTCGAAGGGATTTGCACCGCACCGATTATATCCATTTCCACAAATGCTTGTGGCACATGCAATAAATCTTGTCCCATGTCCCTGCGCAAAGTAATTGGGTCGTGGCTGATAAAAGGAAGGACGGGAATCGCATGTGTATGGCTCATGCCCGTGAGGAGGGGGGAGGGGTTTACTAACCCTATCTCTGGCCAACTTTATCGTCACCTCAAAGTGACCAAGCACATTCCAGAGTAGAAAACCGCCCAAGGAATGTGGCGCATCATTTTTAGGCCATGCCCAACAGTTCCTAAAAGATAAAAAAAGGATGGATCGCAGGGAAGATAAAAAGTCGGTCTACATGTCAAAACCACACACACGTCGCAATTGGATTGCGGCCGGTAACTAAAAGATCCCAGGAAGGCAGATTCTTTCACCATTGCACGCTCTATCTCCTTTCGAATGCAACTGGTGGCGAATCCTTCATCTCGGATGTAGACTACACCTGCACCTCGGATTCCCTCCCGTCCCCTTTTGTTTACCAAGAGGCGAGGCAGGAATCTCTTACGACTATTTACTTCATACTGAACACGATGAAGACACAGACGTATTATGGGGGATACATCCCATATGCGGCAACGCAGGACACGCCACAGAACGACCATTCCAAACAGTTTGGGTTCGTTGCGGATAGGGGGGAGATAGACGGAAGAGTGTTCCCGGAAAGCACGATGACCTGACTGCGTTTGCTGCACCTCATCCAGCGAGCTGGTATGTAGATAGCATTAGAGGAGGCGGGATACCGGACTTGTAGACTAGATGTCTATGCGTGTAACCCACCGCGCCTCAGCCGCACTCGGTTCCAAGACTAATTCGTGCCAAAATCCATCTGGTTAGGTAATACGCGCCTTTAACACTAAAAAGACATGCCTTGATGTTTTCTCATTCCACTGTTGTCTGGTTTTGGTGCCGCGATCAACAGCCAGAAATAGAGCAGTATTGTGAGCCGCGTTCCCAAAAACAACCTGGAGCAAACCACAACACAAACAAACAACTCAGGCGCAACGTAATTTTGCTCCAAAGAGATGCAGCTATGCCCTCTCTGGAAGGGGGACCCGCAGCTGAAATGTATCTCTAGCTAGACTGTATTTTCTTGCTTCTGCAGGCTTTCGATCGCGCCCTCTCATCCTATGCTAGCTTGCATTTATTGCGAAAGGTATGGAGTGTTAGAGAGGAACAAATATGTTGTGACACCATCCTGTTTTCAGCTCAGCAAGGAGAGAAAGACCGCGGACCGAGGGTGTAGGAAGAAAGGAGTGGCGGGCATTATGCTGCATTTCTCGGTGAGAGTGATGTGATCTCTATGGACCTTTTGGCCATCTCAGTACCCAGGTCTGTCAAAGTACCTTTGTTTTCGCTGCATATGTATGCAGGCACAAGCTAGTGCGAATGCTAGTAGGTTTTTATGCTTGCAAGTTCTGTCATAATGGTGTAGTTGTTGGCTTGTTATCGTTGGTGGAAGTGTATTTGTAGTTGTGGCAGGTATCTTCATATTGTATATACGGACAACAGCTGGCCCTGAACTGAATACCTTTTACGGTTCGGCATTTTTTTCTCGAGGAAAGAGATGAACCTGCATGCCACATCCATTTCGTCCACCATCCCCTGACGCGCAGCGGCATCTTCTTTGTCCGGACCAAACGATGTTCATTAATGCGGACACGCAAAGCATAAGAAAGAAACGGCCGATACGATACGTTATGATATGATACGATTCAGACATCCTTTTCTTTCTTTCGTCTCCCTTTCTTCACACCTCTCTTCCCTTCCTTGACACGGTCTGGCCGTATTATATTTCCTCCCCCACACCTCTTCTCACACTGCCTCATCGCATTAATGCAAACCATCCCCATCATTTTTAATTTCCGTCGCTTTTTTTCTTTCTCTCTCAAGCTGCATGCACAACTGATCGCCTACATCTGACAGTGGCCGTCCAATTAACCTCCCTCTCTTTCTCGCTTTCCCTCCTGCTTGCTTGCCGCGCTAGCCAGCTTGTTTCTTTCCCTCTTACCCCTGCCTCAGCTCCCTTATCAACAACCAGGGCCCAGGAACCGCCACTTCCTACAGGACAGTTCTAAATACTTCCAACACTGGACTTCGCCCCCTCCTTGCGATCCTTATATAAACCCCGTCTCTCCTTCGTATTTCCTTCTCCATTCCTCGTTCAGTCATGTCTCTTACAAAAAGAAGCTCCACTCTCTCGTTTGCGGCAGAAGCGAAGCAGGCGAAACATGCATCGTACCCGTATCACACCTCGCGATCCAACAGCCAACCCTACTCTACCCTTTTGTTTAGTACCGACACATCCGAGCCTGCTCAGCTGAAGCATGATCCCACACAGCGCCCCCACAGCATTGCTCATCACGCCTCTGTGGCCTCATTCATGTCCAGCTCGACTGCCAACTACACCGTCAACACCAATAGTATTTATACCCATCCTGCAAGCTCCAACCTCCAGCGTCAGGTTGTCAGCAAGAATACAATCCGCCAGAATATTAAGCACCAGCAAAAAGTCAATCAGAAAAAGGCCCTTCCATTGTTTCCAACCGAGCGAACCAGGGGTGGTTCCTCGGTCCATAATACTCTCAAGCCAGGTAAGGTTGCCTAAAAACTTTATTTTTCCCGGAGAGTCGAAACAGCCACGTTTTTTTTTGTTAGCACGGTTCACATTCCAACCCTTTTCATTTAACCACTAACAGTCTTCTATTATGCGATACGCACATTCCTTCGGACATAGTCGACATCACGAAGATCGATCTGATGCCGATCGAGTACAGCCATAAGATCATCATGTGCTGCATTGACGAGATCAAACTGCGGGGTAAGAGAATAAAAAGACGGGATCCTAGCCCCTATCCCTAATGAGCAAATCCGCTGCAGATCTCGTCACCATCTGTGCTCTCGCCCCTACTGAGCAATTTTTTTTTTTTTTTTTTTTTTTTTTTGGTTCTTTGGCGTACTTTTAGGACTGAAGCACAAGCATCTCTTTCGGAACGCATTCTACAGCCCTTCCGTTGAGGGGGCTCTGAAGCTACTGAAGGATCCCAAGAAGAGCCAGCTGTTCTCGGTCAAGATGATGCGTGTGGATACCGTCGCCGGCCTCTTAACAACTGTGCTCTCACGCACATATCCACCCCTCATCCCTCCACACGTTCAAGAGATGTTCCAGAATCCCAATGGCAAGTTATTCATTTTTTTACTTTACATGGATGACAGATCTGAGCTGTGCTCATAATGCCTTTCACTAACATTCGTAACAACTACAACTACAAACACAACAACAAAAAAAAAATTACACAGGGCGCTTCTTTTTCGAGCTACTGAGCCTGCTTCCAGAGTTGAATCGGTTCCTTTTTGTGGAGATTCTGGACCTCTGCTGTGACCTGGTAGACAATTCGCTATACAACCATCTCAGCAGCAGTAGACTCTCAGTCTATCCGGGGTCATGCTGCTTTGGTCTGGATGAGTTCATGCCCACATGGGACACGCGTTATCTGCTGTCGACGACCGTTAAAAAGTTCACAGGCGCATTTTATCACATCATTTACGCCTATCGAGAAGAACGAGATCTGTCTGCAGATGAGCTCGAGCAGAAACTGGTGACGCGAGACAAACTCTTGGCAGAGCAGCGTCTGGAGGCTCTGGAACGAGAGCATGGACTGGAGGGCGCACACAATATTCTGAAGCGTGAGGCCAGGATCGCAAAGGGACTGCCACCGGATTCTCCAGTGGTCATCCCACATCTGCCAGCAGATGTGAAGGAGATCTCGCTATATGCAAACAGGAAGGAGCGGGTCGTCGCTGATGACGCCATCTCAGTGCTGGATATGCAGTTGGACGATGGAGCCGATACAGCTGTCGTGCAGAAACTCCAGATTGTCGAAGTGAAGACGCAGGAAGAGGAGAATGTCGAGCATGTGCTGGCGGATCTGCGGAAGAGTATATCTGTGGCGACACTGGAATATTACGCGACAAGGTCATCGTCCTCAAGGACCCTCTTGAGCAACTCTTCAACATCCACACTTGCGTCTTCACGAACGATCTCAAGGTCCCACCCTCTTCGCAATTCTCCAGCGACGCGACCCAATTTGGTTCGCGCAAAGTCATCGACGGCACGTTTCGGAACAATCGAGCAAAACATATACCCGGTCTCCCCTGGCGATATTTTTGGAATCAGTCAACATGCGATCCAGCGACGCGAGCTCCAGAACTTCCTTTCCATTGCCAGGACCGAGAAGAAGCGCAGGACGATCACGTCCAAGAGAATCATGCAACTGCGTCTGCAAAACAGGATGCTTCGACAGTTCTCTTCCATTTCCTCCTTCACTTCCTCTTCGGACTCTGGATTGTCTGGTGCAGTTCCGTCGAGACCAAGGACTGGAGCGGCGGTACCGATTTGCATCATGTATAGGAACCGGGATATGCACTCAGGGCAGAGACAGCTGTACAGAACTCATACGCAATCAACGTTCTCGCAACTGAAAACGAGCCCAGTATCCACACATGGCCTACGCCGAGAAAGAACCCGCCAGCTGCGTAAGGAGCTCAAGGTATACGAAACACAAGGGCTTTCGGCAGAGGAGGCGATGGAGCAGCGAGAAATCGATATGAAGAAGAAGCGTCGGAGAGAGAAACGGGCCCGACTGGCCGCACAGGCGAAGGCCGAGGCTGCAGCGCAGGAGGAGGCGCTCGAAAGGGCAGCAGCTGAAGCGGCCGCAGCGATTCAGGCGGAGGACGATGTCACGATGGAGGAGGCCGAAATCTTGGAGGCGTTCGATTACTTGAGCGACCAAGAGTTCGAAGAATTTATGGCCCTGGCTGGTCTGACAATGCAGGACGTCGAGCGGATCCGAGAGAAGGCTGCAGCTGCAGCCTTGAACCAGGTTACGAAGGACATTCAGTCGGTCGATGTCAAGATCACACCCTCAAAGGCAGAGACTGACCAGGATTCCAAGCAGGAGATCTCCAATCACGATTCCGGCATAATGGTTCCCACTATAACGACGGCGACAAACACCATAGCGGAACCTTCAGCAACTGCGTCGTCCTTCGGAAGTGCGTACAGCCTGGTAGCCGAACCAACCACACGACAGAGACGACCCCTTAGTATCCCGCACATGACCTCAATGGACCTGTTGCTCAAGAATGCGACTATGATTGGCGACAGCAATCTTCGATGCTACCCAGCCGAGAAGCCAGTTACGGAGCCGACACATGGAGGACTCTTGTCACAGGCTGCTGCCGTGATTGCTCAACCACAGCCGAAGGACGAGGTTGTGGCACCTATCACAGTACCCAGCGTGCCTACGAGCGCGCCGGGTCAGGAACAGCGGGAGGAGAGGAAGAGTGAGGAATCGACAGCGTCCTCTACAGAAACCGTCGTTGTTGTCGAGTCAACCGAGCCCGCCATGAAGAATTATCGCCCATCCCCAGAACCGTTGCTGATTACAAGGTCCATCCCAGACGTCAAGAGCAGAGCCTCTAAATTTGAGCAGGCCATGGAACGCGCGCAGAATGCTCTCCACTCCAAGATCCTTAACCGAACCAATGTTGAGGTCGCTCCACAGCCTGCAAAGATTGTGATCCCTGCAGTCATCCCCAGGAAGGTCTTTGACGTTTCGTCCGTGTATGAGGTGCAGCGAGATGAGGATGAGGACGATGATGATACGGAGGGCGAAGAACTACAAGTGCTCGAGGTCGAAAGCGATGATGGGGAGTCGACTGTAGAGCTCACCATGGATGAACTTAAAGACTTTGACGAGGAGGCTGAGCTGCGAGAGCTGCTGGAGGCCATGACGGAGGATGAGCGTCAGGAGTTCGTGCGACTCTCACGGCAGGAAGCGATGGTCTCCAACACCTTCTCTGAGGGCGTGTATGCTTAAAATACTATGCTAATTGTAATAAAACCACGCCAATAGTTAGGCCAATCTTAGTTCTGCCAGTTATGCTATATTACAGACGCCCTCAGATTATACAGAAGACCTATATACATGAAAGCATACAAATTGACGTATGCTATGCCTTAGAACCCCTTGCGAACATTCGCATTGACGCCGTCCTTCACAAAATCGACCCACATCAGCAACGCGCCTACTTTCGCCTTGATGTGACACACCACATCGACCTCTAACGATCCACCCAGAGCCTTCTTCAGCGCCTCATAACCCACTGAGGACAGATCAAATGTCACCGGCAATCGAGGAGTTTTCACATATCCCGAGGTCTCGTTCTGGTGGTCGTTGGCTGGGATCAGGATCGGTTTCGGACTCGCAATATCGTGTTCAAAGTCGACGAGGACATGCCCAAGACGCTCATCCTTGTACGTGGTCGTAGCGTTGACATATAGAACGGTGATGACCGTGTCCAGAGGGTTCAGGAGCTCGAGGACGAGAGTGTGAGAGAGCAGGTAGAGAGTGGCGGAGATGAGGAAGTCTTGCTCGATCGCCGGCAAGTGAGTGGAAATCGAGAAGGAGGACATCATGGGCTGGAGCAGAGGGATACGCGTTGATCCAGCATAGCCTAGGACGTCGATCGTCGTTGTATTATCGCCTATGTAGCGGGTGGTGTACAGAATGAAGGGGGTCAGGTTTATGATAGGTTCACCCCCACCTATAATCCAAAGAATAGCAAAGAAGAACAGGAGCACTAGGACATACCAGATATGTACTTTGAAATAAATTCTCGTGAAGCATTCCTGGCGAGTCCGGGGTCGCAGCTGGGATCAGGCTTACGAGCGCAGTCAATCGATGGATTCATCATACCAATACACTCGACCGTATTATTCCCAGCGTGCAAGGTCAAGTCCGGGACGGTGGCCATACCAATTAGATATCCGCCATAGGACCACATGAACGACAGGTCGCCTAAAGTTGCGCTGATGTTGGATGGGTTCCAAAGAACCAGGGTCGCCTTGACCGTCAGCGAGTGCTCTGTGCTATCGACCACGTCCAACTTCTCGAGCAGTGGCGGAACAGTGACAAGTCCACCGAGACCTAGGTGATAATGTATTCACGTTACGGAATATCAGGTTAGCAAACAGGGCATACTGCACAGGGGTGCATATTCTGCTGTCCGTGTCGCGCGTATACGCTTACCTCTCTGGGTGGTAACGACATCAAAGGGGATCGGTCCCAGCTCAAAGGTCCCAAGCCCCGTGTCAACAACAGCCGAAGCTTCACCGGTGATGCCAAGCTCGATCCAGTCGCTCGTGAATGACGAGTTCAAAAATCCGTAAAACTCTGGCAATCGCTCCGAGAGCACCTGCAGTGGCGTTTCTTCTAGCTCGACTTGTACTTCCAGAGTCGTTCCATGTTGTCGACTCACTGTCGGTAAAAAATCATGGATATTGAGCGACGCCATGCGATCGCCACCTGGTGGTTTGAGCCACACTGTCGGCTTCATCTTGAGCAGCTTGATCGGGAATGTGACATTTGGTGGAAGCTGAAGCACGCTCGACAGTTGTCCACTCAGTTGGGCGGACTTCTGGTCGTGTGTGAATCCAAACTCAAGCTGGTTCATATCTAACGATCGAATAAAATCCTTCGTGGGTGAACCAGGGAAGACCATGGTCAAAACAATGGTCTTGAGTGCCTCAGATAGCCACAAGGGCATGTTTGGGTCCTTGCTGAGAGCTCGCACCTGGATCGTCGAATTATTTCCCTGAATGAATCTCGACAAGAGCTGACCCAACAGCAGCTGTTTCTCCGACCCCAACCCGAGATCGGGTTCCCGCCGTCCTTCTTTTTCGGTGCGACTCCAGTCGTCGAGATGGAAGAGCCGACCCATGAGCGCAATATCGTTCGATTTGCCAGCTTCGAGTCGCAGCTCTGTAGAGGACACCTCTGCAATCTTGTACAGATCCACATCAGGATATGTCTTGGAGGGTAGATAGATCCCAAAAGTAATATTGTCCATCTGTAATGAGACCACGCTAGATGGGTTCCTGATCCGCGCCACACCCGACATGATCACACCGCCTAGAGGATGGTTATCTGGAAGTTCCAACGAAATCAAAGCCGCATCCTGAACGCCCCTCAGCCCCTCCATCGGTACCACTCGATTAATGCGCAATTTCATGTACCAGAGTGGTCCCAGTCTCATCAAAATCGGACCCTGTACTGCCAAGTCCACGGTCGATTGCTGCAGTGTCTTTCCAAAGAACTCGGCCATAAGTTTTGAATCCGTCACTCGGACATGTGTCGCAATTTCGAGCTGCAGGATATCACCCATTCGCATCTGCTGTCGCTCCACCTCAAATTCGGCCATCTGGACATCGACATCTGCGCTGGGAACGTTTAGCGTCAAAGTGGTGGGCTTGATCGTCATGGTCGGTCGGAAGACGGCCTGCATGATCCCCGTCAGTCCCCAGAAGCCATCCTTGGCCGAGTCAAGGTAGATGGTGCTCTGGATCGATATCTGGAACCCTGTGTCGTCCATGTCGTGGATGTCCGTCTTTTGGATCTCGAGGACCATAGCATGGTCGAGAACTCGTTGGGCGATCCATGGGAAGAGCGCTGCGACGAGGAGGCAGAGGAGCAAGAGTGCGCCTATGGTCTTGACGGAGATGGAGTACACGCGGCTCCAATGGTTGAGGCGTTCAGGTGGTACGGGCAGGAGGGACGGCTGTGCAGAGTTGGAAAGTCCCTGTTCAACATCGGAGGCATTGTGGAGAGCTGAAGGCGGCTGGTGTGTTGTGCTGTGCTGCTGCTCTACTGCAGTGTTGTTACTGCCGGACAGCAGAGGCGTCGTTTCGCTGGCAAAGTCGTTGTTGTCGCTTGCAGGGTGGTTGTCATTGGCGTGTCCGTCCTTACTCGTCCCATTCCCATTCCTATTCGCATTCCCATTGGTGTTCTGGAGACCGCTCATGAGTGGCAGTACGTCCTCTACGTGTCCTTCGCGTCTACAGGTGCTTTGTCACTGTGTGTGTGTGTGCTTTGGTGGCAAGTAGTGGCAAGTATGTTGTTGGTGCGTGGTAAGGAAAAAGGATGGTTAGCCGTTGATCCTCCCCTGTACAAAACTCCTTTTAGTCTTTCCTTCCAATATGCTCCCATCATTTCCTCATCATGCGCTGCAAAGGAATGACCTATCTTCTTCCTCGTAGGCCATCAACGGATCAACAGGGTGCAAAACAAAAGAAGTGGGTGCGCGCACAGGGCATTTGCTTTGGTTCGCATTCCCGCAATTCCTGCAGCAATGCATAATCCGGATATGTTGCAGAGCTGGATGGCAGGCAGGGGATGCCAATGATGCTGCGCTACAAGGAGCCTCCCTGGCGCTGAACCGATGCTATTCCGTTCAATGATGATATCCTTCTGCGCCGGAACAACGTCAATTGCTTAGGGTATCCTATGAAGATCGTTGATGCGTTGATCTTCTGCCTTTCCCCCGCAGAGCCGCCACTGAGCAGTTCGATCGGCAGGAATAAAACCGAGCCCCAGGAGGGAGTTTGACTTTGAAATGGTGGAGAAAATACTGCACGTGAAACGATGGGTGTGATTGGTCAGTGACTCCGGTGATGTGACAGACGGCAGCCTGCTCCAGGAAGCACCTTCTTGCGCCCAAACTGCGTTTCCATGAACCAAATGGAACCAACGGTCTCCTTCTTCTTCTTCATTCATCTCTCAATCCCCCTGTCCTCTTGGCTGCTCCAACTTTCCATTCCCAACTCTCAACTTATCTAACGTACGCCCTATCACCACAACACCACAACACCACAGGAGCATCAACACCATGATTCGCTCCAGCTCCTCCACACCTATTCCCCGCACTCTACCCTTACTTCCCCTCCACGACAAGGTACTCTTGCCTGGAGTTGTCACCCGGATGCAAATCTCCCGACGGGATTCCATCCCTCTGTTCGAAAAACTCCTCCGCACAGTCGATAGCAGAGACCTGAACAAGTGCATCATCGGTGCCTTCCCTGTCCGTATTTCCTCAGCATCAGCCTCCCCCACTTCTCCAACTAAAGTGTCACCCGCGTCCGACAACGGTGACACAAGGAATGGGAAGGGTGGCAAACCCGAGTTCGTCATCCCGGGGCCCTCGCCTGTGTATCCGGTACCAAGCAAGGGAGACGGTCAGCTTGTGAGAATCGGGGGCTCTCTGGACCCCGCCGACATCCACTCGACCGGCTGCGCGGCTCGGCTTGTCAGATTGGAGCGTGCAGTTGGCGGCTTTACCGTTGTTCTGGAAGGTACAGTCAACTTTTCGCTTGATTTTGTCATACAGATGTCGTGCGACAGGGACTCTTCTTTTGTGCCGCTTGCGTTATTGGCAGGACCTGGGGTATTAGGATCAAACGGCCTATTGACCTGTTACGCTTCCCACTTCTCCCTAACCGCTACTAGGTCTGGTTCGTCTCCGCTTGAACAAGATCATATCCCAGTCGCCCTTTTTCGAGGCTGAAGTTACACCTTTGCCCGACAAGGCCGTCGATAGGTCCGATCAAACGCTGCAAGACCAAATCGTGATTCTGAGATCAACATCGCGGGAATTCGTATCCCTCTTGCAGACTCTCAAGCTGCCTGCACCTGTCTTGACACAGTTGCAAAAGTTCCTCGACAATGTGACGGTCATCCCTGGCCAGGTTGTTGATCTACTGATGAGCACGATTGAAAGCACGATCGAGGAGAAGATCATAATTCTTGACGCTGTCGATCTCAAGGAGCGAATCGCAAAGGCAGTGGAGCTCTTGACCAGACAGATTCACGTAAGAACTCAATAATTTCCTCATGCCTACGGTTGCTTACATTATCTCAAAACTAATCATTTCTATACCTTGTTGTTACGGAATGGGCTGTATAGGTGCTGAAGATTTCACAAAAGGTCCACGATAATGTCGAAGGAAAGCTGAACAAGAAGCAACGCGAGTTCTACCTTCGTGAACAATTGGCAGCAATCAAGGAGGAGCTCGGCGAGAAGGACACGGGCGATGACGACGAAATGACAATCATTGAGAAGCGACTTGCTGCAGCCAACTTGCCTCCCGATGTCCAAAAGGCTGCTGATCGAGAGCTGAAGCGATTGAAAAAGATGCAGCCATCCTCGTCCGAGTATTCTGTTATCAGAAATTACTTGGACTGGCTTGGCGATTTGCCCTGGTCAAAGTCGAGCGAAGATATCTTGGATGTCGAACGAGCGAGAAAGCAGTTGAACGATGACCATCATGGATTGGAAAAGGTCAAGCGCAGGATTTTGGAGTACCTGGCTGTCGCCAAGCTACAGCAGCTGAAAGGCGATGTCCGAGGACCCATCCTTTGTCTGGTTGGCCCACCTGGAGTATGTGTTGTAGCTGCAAAGAAATGTTGTCGGGACATTTTTTTCATGATCAAGAACATGTTCTTATACTTTTTTTTTCTTTATCCTTTATCCTTTATGACATTTAGGTTGGAAAGACATCACTGGGAAGATCGATTGCTACGGCTATGGGCAGGAAATTCCATCGAATCTCTCTGGGTGGAGTGTGGGACGAGTCCGAGATCCGAGGCCATCGTCGTACATATGTCGGCGCCCTACCTGGCCTTATAATTCACGGGTTAAAGAAGTGCGAGGTCAACAACCCCGTCTTTCTTCTTGGTAAGAACAAAACTGCACTGTATGGGAATTGTGGCATTTGCTCTGAGTGAAAGCGTGATGTACTTACGGACAATTCTGTCATTCGTTTTTAGACGAAATCGATAAAGTAGGGTCCAGGGGCCATCATGGAGATCCCTCGGCCGCATTCCTGGAAGTCCTTGATCCTGAACAGAACAGCACCTTTGTAGGTCATTGTACTTTGTTTTTGGTTAATGTGGTCAGAATCAGACTCCACCGCTAACGTCTCTACCAACTGCTGTGTAGACCGATCATTACCTGAACGTTCCATTCGACCTGTCCAAGGTTCTATTCATCGCCACTGCCAACTCTATAGACACCATCCCTGCACCACTCTTGGACAGAATGGAACTCATTACCATTCCTGGATATACCTATGCTGAGAAACTGGCGATTGCCACCAATCACCTTTTGCCCAAACAGATTCGGCAGCATGGGCTCAGCGAGGATGATGTTCAGGTCACGCAGGAAGCCTTGCTCAAGGTCGCGACCGGGTACACACGCGAAAGTGGTGTTCGCCATCTGGAGCGAGAAATCGGAGCTCTTGTCCGCTCAAAGGCTGTCGAATATGCTGAGTATCAGGAACGTAAGCAGTCTGGTACAACAGACAGCGCTGCTGAATACCAGCCGCTGGTTACTTTGGCAGATGTTGAAGACATTTTGGGCCAGGAAAAATTTGTGAACGAGGTCACGGAGAGAGTCGCCGTTCCAGGAGTTGTCACCGGCATGGCGTACAATGGCGTTGGTGGCGGAATCATGTTTATTGAAGTCTCGCAGATGCCTGGCAAGGGTCATCTCCAACTTACAGGTAGTCTCGGAGATGTGATCAAGGAGAGTGCACAGATCGCGCTGAGCTGGGTCAAGGGCCATGGATATGAAATCGGCCTAACCAATAGTCCAGGCCAGAATGTGATGGAGAAGGCAGATGTTCACATCCATATGCCCAGTGGTGCAACTCCAAAGGTACGAAAGTGGCAAAACCAAGTGTCATGTTATGTCTGGTATACAATGTCAACAAGAAGTATTAACGCGCTCTCTTTATTATTTGATCTCACGAATAGGATGGACCTTCTGCTGGTATCGCCATGGTATGCGCACTGGTCTCAATGTTCTCCAATAAGACTGTCCCCAGTACGACTGCCATGACGGGCGAGTTCACGCTCCGTGGACTGGTTATGCCTGTGGGAGGCATCAAGGAGAAGGTCATCGCTGCCCACCGCGCCGGCGTTCGCAAGATTATCATGCCTCTTCGCAATCAAAAGGATGTTGCCTCGGATGTACCCGCCAATGTCCGTAGCGATATCGAGTTTTACTATGCTTCAACTATTTGGGAGGTGCTGCGCGAGGCTTTTGAAGGAAGAGCGCCTGTCCGGGGTGCTTCAGCAGCGGCTAGCATCGATAGTCGCTTGTAAACCATAGATTCACGCCGTAGTAAACGCGTTTAGACCTTACACGTGATGTGACTTGGAATATATGGGCGGACCTGGTCTGTTCTCTCTCTCTCTCTCTCTCTCTCTCTCTCTCTCTCTCTCTCCTTGTAAAGACCGCTCTCTTTTCTCTCTCTATTCCTGTCGCCTCCGTTCCTTACGACCACTCTCACATATTCTTCTAGTTTCAAAATGATTCGTGATGACTCTAACAAAGCAGCGGATCCTGCTACTGAATCCCTCAAGCAGAGGGTCCGCAACGAGAACCGTGAGCGCAAGAAGCGATGGAGAGAGCAGAACGAGGAAAGGAGTAAGTCCGATTCACCTCTTGCACCTTCAGGATGTTTGATTCCACTCTCTGGCAGATTGACTGTCCGCCCATCTCTTTCGCCCACCTCTCTTCCCCTTTGCCTAGTCCACTCTACCGCTCCTTGTACAGTGACTTAGTGACTTGCATCCTCTTTATTCAGAGTTCTTTCTGAGTTACACCCTTTTAAAGTACACCCTCCTGTATCTCCCCTACCTCTCCTGTCAGTGCCCCATTGATGTGATATTTTTTTTGTATCCCTGGAACCCCTGGTAACTCCCTGGCAGGTCTAGGACTCGTCTTCTCAGAGGAAGCAGTCCCCATGCGTCCGGCCTCTTTTCACTAGTCGTCTCTCCTCTTTCTCCTCGCTTCCTTCAACTGTTTTGTCCTTGATATTTTTTTTCGTCCGATTTTTTTGTGACGATTCTTTCTGAAGCGAAGTCACAGCGCATCGATTTTTTTTTCACCCCGCTCAAGCAAAGTGGCAAAGCCCGATTGTTTTGTCGCGTGCAACCTTGATTTCCTAATCCGTAAGCGTAGACTAACGGTCTCACTCGCGCATCTTCTATGTCTAGACAAGGATAATGACTTGCGATGCAGAGTCCACAAGAGAGCAAACAAGCTATTTGGTAAAATGGAGAGCGAGCACAAGACCCGATGGATGGAGGAGGAGTTTGAGAAGCGCCAATTGAAGCGCAAGGAGAAGGAGAGGCGGAGGAACCCTGATTCAGCTGGATCGACAGAACCCCTGTCTCAACCATCAACGCCGTCCATCTCTCTAGAGGAGCAATTGGCACTTCATCATCAAGCACGACAGCAGATCCAGCATCAACAACAGCATCAACAACATCAACAACAGCATCAACAGCATCAACAGCAGTTTCAGGAGGCTCAACTCGCGCACCCCCAGTTTGATCCGACAACGGTCAAGACAGCGCTGGCGCTGAGCGATTTGGTCAAGAAGAACGGAAGCCATCTCGACCTTGCCCAGTTGACAGGTGTGCTCACGGACCCAGATCTTGCCCGCCAGTTGATCGAGATTGAAGCCAACAACCCGATACCGCCACCTTCGGCTGCCATGATGGTCCTGAACGCCCCAGTAAAGCCCGGACATGAGATCAAGACGAGTCATATGCTTGAGGCTGATTATCCTATGGATGCTGTCTTGACCCTCATGCAATTGAACGGCGCCTGGAAGGCATAAGACGAACACCGAGCGCCGGCTTTTTATTCTCTCCATCCTCTCTCACGCATCACGAACCTGCCCTCTCTTGGTCAAGCCTGTCATTCTGTTTCGAAAAAATATATGGCACTTGGCTGAACGAAACCATTCTCCATTCCTCTTCCCCCCTTATTTTTTTGTATATCAGCAAGACCCCTTTTTTTATGTTGCATCTACACCTCCACACAAACTCTCTCCGCTCACATATCCTCTCTTCATACATTAGTACCATAGCTTTTTTTGTTTTGTTTTCAAATACTGTTGTTTGCTCATCATAATATTGCATACATATTTTATTGAACTTTTGGCAAGTAATGTGAATGAGGGTATGGAATGTAAAAAAAAAATTACAGTTTATGTGTACCGGATATTGTCCATGATCTTGTTGCGCTCATCGCTCACGATCGAGTGCAGCATTCGCTTGAAGTGCACCTTCTCATTGGCAGCCAGAGGCCCCAGAATCTTGTCCTGCAGCATGGCTCTGAGCGGAGCATAGACGGGCCAACGGGGTAAGACCCTACAGAACGCGGTCGCGCCTAGCCATTGGACATGTCGTTCTGCGACCTCGAACTTGACACTTGCAGAGATGCCGACTGCAGAGCGGCGACCGTTATGGAGCAGGCCGTAGCAAGCGCGAAGGATTCCCATAACGATCGAGGGCAGGGCCGTGGCATGAACATGTTCTGCAGAGACAGGGTCGAGACGGAGTTCTTGGCAGTAGGCATGAAATTTCATCGCGCAGAAGAGAAAGTTTTGGAAGATATTGAGCATGACCTTGGAGAGGGAGTTGAAGGTCGTGTCCGAGAAGGCCATTTGGCACATATGCTGCATCCCTCTGTAAAAACATGGAGAGTGAAGAAGGCGTTAGAGGGATGATAAAGCGTAAGGCGGGTCGACTCGAGGTTTGGAGGAGAGAAAGACACGTACTTTTTCATCTTGAGGGTGATAGAGCGCCCGGGGTGCATATCGCGTCCGACTGTGAGTAGATTGCGTATGTCTAAGACCGAGTATTCGTGAGGGTTCATGATGGTCATCATTATTGGGATGTCGAGCATTCAGGAACATTTGGCCGCGTGGATGTAATAATGTATACCTTCACCATGATATCGACTGTAATCGGCTCTTATTTCCAGCGTCCTGGTATGAAGTAACAACCCACAGTATGGGAACTCTAAGGAATGGCAGATAAAAAAAAGGTGTTGTTAAGGACAGCGTGTATTGAGAGGGCTGCGGTCCAATATAGTCTGGCAAAAGAGTTCGACGTTACCATTCCCCTGACACGTCTGCACAGGTACACCGTTCAAGGTGACATCGAAGTTGACGATGGTCTTCTTCTCATTGATAAAGCAACCGTAGTCTGGATGACCTTTGGCCATGATCTCCAAGAATGAGACGGCCTTCTCTCGACTTTGGCTTATGAACAAAAAATCGTCCGCCAACCGTATCAGTTCCTATTAGTAACGGGACATGCCAAAAGAAATGTTGTGAGGGCAAAGTTCAACCATAATCGCGATTGTTAAACGTTGTCTGTTTGGGATATTTTGGTTGGACTTACGCTATCGCTGCTTTGGGTCAAATCTGAGAGGACATTCAGCTCCATCTCGTCGTAAAAGAATCTACGAGTGAATCGAGCACATAAGCATTATGAATGATACAATAGAATGCTTGCTTGATCTTGAGCCTCCAGTACAGCGCATACCTGCAGAGAGCTGGTGAAAGGATTGATCCTTGAGGGATACCCGTCGTTTGGCGATAGAAATGTTTTCCGAATTTAACAATGTTCGTATTGATATGGTCCCTGATCATATTTATAACTGCGGTCTTGCCCTCGTAAGAATGCACAACCTAATATGATAAAAAAAGAATCTTTGTTAGGGACGCGAATGAAAATACGGACCAGTACGTGTTGCAGGACGGCATTGTCGGCTTTCTCGAATGACATATACCTTGTCAACAATCACAGCATGCTTTGACATCTTCGCTTGATCACGCGCAAATTCCAAGAAGGGCGGCACTTCGGTGGCAGCGATGGCCTTTGGCAGGAAGCGTTTCATTATTCGGCCATTCGAGGGCACAACTTTGGAATGTCGATGTATCATGTACTTATCCTACAAAAGAAGCACATTGCATCGATTAAATGCGGGTTTGCTGATCAAATTTTGCAACTCTCATCCATAAGGATAAGAGGCCTACCTCTTTCAATACGCGATCAATAATTTCGAGCAGCTTGTCCTGGTTGATTGAGTCGAATGACTTTTTGATATCTACTTTGACCATGTATAATTTCGGTCTATGCGTCGAAAGAATGCGCAAACGTTAATTGATATCGCAAATGTTGTCGAAGATGTCACGACGCGCAGCTGCTTTGGCCACAAATCGCCCACTTACGACTCAGATCCGGATGAATCGACAAGCCGACTCTTGGCCTGCTTGCAACGGTAGAAAAGATCACTCATTCCGATCGCTGAGCTCGTTCGCTGGGCCATTTGACGGTCCCTCTCGTATGCAAGGATCAAGAACGGATTCATCAACTTCTGGTTCATGGACTTCACGCCTATCGAGGAAGTTCCGTTCACCTAGTGTTCGTGTCATGAATAAGACAAGAAATGCATGGTTATCATCTCATTCGACAGGGAATGGCTTTTTTGAAAAGAGAATCATCTCAACTTTGGCATCTTACTAGCTTGGACGACTTTTTGCGTAGATTGATTATGGGTCTGAGGTCGTGTATCTTTGGTAGGAGTCGGACTTTAGCGTATGTTTGGTTGCATTTTGCAATCTCTCCCTAGGAAAAAAAAAAAAAAAAAAAAAAAAAGAGGACGATATTAGTGTTGGCCTGCGAAAACAGTAGCTGCCAGGAGATACGCAAGCGGCTAGAGTTATTTATGCTCACGTACCTGTTCCAGTTGAATAAACATGTCTTTTTGGATCGAGGCTACTGCGGGCTTCGTTATCAATTGCCAGAGTTCATGACGGTAATAAAAAATCTTGTTTCGTTGGAATGAGCTGTCTGTAATATAGAAGCTGGCCTGCAAGGAAGAAATCAATGGCCGGATCTTACGTAGCTGATAGGCGTACTAGATTATTTCTGTCGACAGCGTACCTGAAGCAACGGTATCAAGAACCCGTCAAACATCCAGTAGAGGAATTCATGCAAGATCTCGTGTTGTTTGTCTGAAGCTGTTGGCGGGGTATGGTGGACGCGACTATCTGGCTTCCGAAGCCGGGTATCTTGAAGCCATTGGCAGTCGCTCATTCTGAATCCTTGGAGCACGTATTGAAGTGACATGGTCTCGAATTTTCGTAGGCGTATAAAGCGCGTCATGGCTAAAGATACAAAAGAAGCGTCAAAATGCAATTCTCATTGCATCCAATCAATTTTTAATTGGCAGACAATGGTATAATAGGTCTTGCAATAATACCTCGCAAAATGACTATTCGATTTTCCTGGGATCCAAACATTGCGAGAGGAATGACTTTTTTAACGACAGCATGGACGAACGAGGTTACCTATGAGGAGCAAGTCAAGGGAGAATTGGAATACTTAGAGGTCAAAGGAATATTAATATACAAAAATAAATAAAAACCGCAACGAAGAAACGTATTGTACCTGGTCGAATGAAGAATGATATGTCAAAAGTGCAGCCGACGAGGTGTCCACGGTTACTGAAGGCTCATCAATTGCCTGTTACGAGCGAACGTTTTAATCAGCTATCCTTCTCGTACTTAGAAGTCTTTGCGATTAAATCAACGAGTGAAAGAGTTCGTTACCTTTACAGGACAATAGTACTGTAACAACAGCTTGTAGGCGCACATGCTGTTCAATTCTAGCATTTTTTCGACCTGCTCCCTCATTTGGCGCAATCTCCATGGATGACGAGGGACCTTGGCGCTAGCTGCCGGCGCCATTGGGGCCGCCGTGTTGTATACTCCAAACAGCGAAGTCGAGCGGGCTGTGTCACATTGGATAAAGACGTTGTTGAGACCGTACTGCCTGGGAAACATTCGCATGATTTGAGCGTCCACTGTCGACATTGGTTGCGAGGCCCCAGGAACAGCGATAATGGCGCCATCTTTTTTTAAAAAAAAGGTCCTAGTTAGTACGGCTAACACAGCGATATCAAGTACAAACCCAGTCGATCTGTCGCAACTTACAATTGGATAATAAGAAATGACGGAGCATAGTGCTTGCAGTATGATACTGGTTGAAATAAAAGATCCTTGTTCGTTTGAAAGTGATTGCCGGTAACAACACCCTGTTCTCGATTTTTCTCTTTTTACACACGTGCATGGTTTTCATCTTGGAATTGGATACATTCAGCGAGGTTGCTGAAATGCTACTGATTGAGGAGTCGTTGGAGTGAGATACTAAAGAAGGTGGCGAGGAAGACGACGTCGCAGAAGCTGGTCTCTTCCGGGAGGAGAGCGACGCGAGAAGATCCCTCTGCAATGGTCGCTTTGCTATGCTCTGCTCGCTTATCGGATGACCTGTGATCTGGCAATAGCAATTGTTCGGCAGTGCGACGAACATGGATGTGTTGGTCAACAGATACAGCATGGCTGCATCTCCGATCCTATACGATCGATAGCGTGCAAGCTCAGCATAAGATATGGCGGCATCTTCATCGGACAACATTCAAGTACTCCAAAGAATACGAACCTTCTCATCAATGTTTCCCATAGAGAAGATCTCACAATTGACCCCAGTGTGTTAGGAAATCGGTTCTCTGACCCCTGGCAGTAGGTCTTCTTCGACTGATTTGTGGACATGAAAACATGTATCAGATTCTGCAATTGGAATTGGGCATACACGAATACAGTTGGCGTCACTAACGTTCGTGTACCCGGCAGCGAGGATATTAAACGGTTCGTTGAACCAGGTTCGAGACCTCGGACATGTCTGCTCTATGGCCAAATCCACAACCTGGAAAGACATAAGATGAATACACTGAAGCTGACTTGTTTTATTCAACGCATGCCAACCATTGCTCGTTCAAACGCGATACAGAAGCACGTACATCATTCTGGCTGCCCTCCAGAGTTGGTTTACTTGTTGCGGGGAATGGTTTGACAGGACCAGGTTTCTCACCTGTGGCCAAATTGGTGCCGTTGACGGCAACGAGTGTGCTTTGGAGGAGCTCTTTGTACTCTGGCGAATCGTCCTCTTGGACGATTCTCAAGCTCTCTTGCAAATGTCTCTCCAGATAGTCGCCGAGTCGACATAGGTCCGGGAACAGTGTGAGAAGAACCGCATTCTCGATGGCGTCCTGTGATCTTGACATTTGGTACCTGTTTGATGCATCGACAAAGAATTCGCGTTTAGGTCCATTTGACGATTGTCTCTTCTTTTTCTCCACTTTTAGCTAGCTGTTTTCTATGGACCATCGCCATTCGAAGATTCCCCTCATCTCCATTAGCCGCACTTGGTCAAGTTACAATTATTTTTCTTTGTTCCCGGACGCGTTGCCAAGATGGATTAGAATGAGAAGCGCGCCGTCGTTGTTCAGGACGTCTTTGTAATGGTGTGGATTGACAACGATCTCGTAAACATGCCTACAGCTATTCACGGAATCGACAACCCCGACTGCTTCGTGCTTACACAGCGCAGCAGGCCAAGAATCACGAGTACCAATGGTTCAAATATTCGGCGCAAAGATGTCTTCATGCCTCGCGTGATTGATGACAACAGCCGGTATTTGGCCAGTGTCGATATAGTGGATCAACTTCAACAGTACTACACGGTGCAGATGTGCACGCTCAGAAACTGGTTCTCTCTTTTCCTCTGGCTATGGGACACCGCGATCATCAATGCATACATTATGCTTTTCGCCTTGACCTTGTCCCTCAGCTTCTGCACCATGCGCTTATGGTGGGAAACAACGGCAAACGCGAGCCGGTACTCAACAACGATGGACACGAGCGATCACACAACAAGGGCAAGGAAAACATGGGCCCTATCCAGAGAAAGAAGGCCTCAGTATCGTTCGCTGGCATCTACCCATCATCATAAAAAACAAAGGCTCCTGCCAATGGTGCAGAGTCAAGTCGGACTCTCGGAACAAAATGATAAAATTCTACTGATCCATGTGAGGTCCAAGCAACTGATCCTGGGAATATCATAACGAATAAAAAAAGTTTATTTGTTGTATGGTCTGGCGACGCCAATTTTAACCTCAGAGGAAGGGGCTGTCTTTTATTATGATCAATGTTATAGACTACTACGCAGTTTTACTTGTTTCTCGGAGCCTATCAATAGCAACAAGCGACGTTAATGCTAAAACAAGGGCTGGCATATGTGCATCCATCATCTTCAAATACTCACCTTCAGTGTTTCTGCAGGGCTCGTCATGTTGCGCTTGGAGAACGCCGTGACATCGTGCGGCAAGGCAACAACGATCTGGCGGTCCTGACCAAACTTGAAGTTGTCTGCGACGACATCGTCCGCATACTGTTTCATCTGGTACTCGTAGTGTCCGTTCTTGACGCGGCGGAAGTTCCAAGTAATGACATATGGCCCGGTACTTGTCACAATCGTCTTTTCCTCCTCGTTCACGCCCGTGTTGAATCGGGCGGGCGTAAACGAAACAGCCTGCTTCATGGCAGCAACATGTTCGGGTTTCAGGTGCAGCTTAATGCACTTGGGCTAAAAAAAATCAAAGCAAGCTATCAGTAACATGCTGTCATGCGTCGATAACACAAAGGGATAGGCGTGCCAAGACAGACATGCTAGTACCTTGCCCTTGGCGGGAAAGCTGGCGTCAAATCCAAGCTTCTTGTTCTCCGAATTAAGGACATCAATCAACATTAGGTATGTCTTGCAGGTAGCAATGATATATCGACCATTACCGGTAACATCGATACCGATGATAGGATCGCCCATGCCAGGCAAAGCAGTCTTTGCGTTCTTGCCAATGACATTGAACAACTTGATCTCTCCCTTCGATCCTGCCATGGCAACTGACCCATTATCGGTTGTTGTAAGGCAAGTGAAATCGTTGCCCTTGGCATATTGCTTGAGTTCGGTTTGTGCAATCTTGGATCCAGAGAGACGAGGATCGACACGGAACATGGCGTTGTGAGAGTGTCCGACCATGGTTTTATTGTCCGTCAAATGCGAGTACTTCGAGTCGCCGATAAGGTTCAACACGCCTGAAGTTCCAGGCATGTTCCACTCCTCGACAATCTTTCCGTACTCGAGATCCATCTTGTACGCAGTGTTCAGATCCTCGGGGTCCAACATCACCATAGACCTGTCCTGCTCATGCAAAACAACCTATGAACCATAAAAATAAGAGCGCAAAGTAGTAAGTACTGTAGTCAAGTGGGCGGTTCACAAATTAGAATATTCAAAGATCTTAAGGAAGGCACCTACACGAGTGGGCTTGATTTCTCGGCCCTTGGAATTACTGATATTTTTGATCGTCGTCGCAAAATCCAAGCCGTCGCGATCAGTATGCTTGAACACTCCGATCTTGTTTCCACGAACGACAAATGAGCGATCCTTGAAGCCGACAGCGAGCTGACTGTTCCGGGCCGTATCCTGTTTGAATCCATCCTGCTCTTCCTCTTCCTCTTCATCATCATCTTCGTCATATTCATCCTCATCGTACTCACCATCAGAATTTTCTTCGCTACCCTCGTCCTCGACCTCCTCTTCACGAGCCTCGTCCTCGGTCATGTCGACATCGTCCTGGTAAGTCTTAATCATGTATTCTTGGTCCTCGGACTATATTGCATCCGAAATTAAATGGTTAATATCCATACACAGGTTGTTTCGTCAAAAATTGAGATCCCAGAAATATGAAACACTTACCGAAACCTTTGCCCACGCCTGCTGGTTCAGGGCCTCGTACATACACTCGCCAAAGACGCCCTGGAACTCGCTCAGAGCAGCCTCAGTAGGGAAGCGGATAAGCCATGAAAAGACGTTGTGCTGCTCGTCAAAGTAATTCCAGATAAACGAGCGATGTGTCTAGAGGGCATGGAAAAAAAATCAGTAACTGTTGTCGTGCGAAAATGCGGGATACGCGTTACACGAAAAAGAAACCAAATCCTTACAGAACTGAACACAGGGTTCATCCTTGGCTCCAGAGGCTGTGCGAGCTGCTGCTTGCCGGCACTGTCGAGGACGACAAGCCAGTCTATAGATCAAAAGCAAGTTAGTGGTCAGTAGTCCTTGTCAAATGAGAAACAAAAATCTTCGAGCGATTTGCAAATCTTACAGGTATATTTCGCTGTACGCAAAAGCTGACAGCGCACTTTATCAGCCTGAGCCATGAATAGGTTTGTCCTGGGGTCAAAAAGATTCAGCTCTCCCACAGTCTCAGCCACACCATCGTATGTTGTGGGAATGTCGCGAAGAGCTGGTTTTTCAATGCCCTGGTCCCGCTCTTCCGCCTTAACGGCAGGCTCCCTCTGCTCCTTCTTTATAGGATATTTTGATGCTCCTTTGGCAGTTGTTTTCGAAGATGCGGCTGAATGGGATGTTGAGGGTGAAGTTGAATCATTGGCGCCGGAACTATATTTGGAAAGGTGCAATTGTTGTTAAGTAAGCAAAACATGAAAGAACCCTGGAGGCGCGGCAAGTTTGCAGACACGTCAAATGTTGATCGGCCTTACGAGATCTGGAACTTCAGAATGTCCTCCTCCTCTGCAGAAAAGTGTGATTTCTGGTGCTTGCGCTCGTACATGCACTGGTACATGGTGATCTCAAAGTTGTTTGCGGTGAATACGGTTGTCTCATCATCGCAAACGAACTCGTACTCCACTCCTGCGTCCTCCTAAAAACCAAGAAATATAAACATGAATGTGGTCAATTATGACGCCACTGCTTTTTGTTTGCCAAGAACCTAAAATTGATGGTTGCATAACTTGTAGATCACTTACTGATGAAAGACCTTGCCAGGTAAAAGCGGTTGCTCCTGTGGAAACGCCCTTCTTGAACCTCATTCCTGCGTCAATCAAAAAGATCTTTTCGTCTTCCACTATGTTTCATGCCCAAGGAAATGAAGGCGAGGGCCATTAGTTTATGCTCTTCCAATGACCGATATTAAGACATTTTTGGCCATCTAAGCGACGATTCAGGCATACGTTCTTGTTCTTCCTCTTGGAGGGTCTCCTCCCCCTCCTCAAAGACGCGGCTAATGGCGAGGACAAATTGGAAAGGCTGCGAAGTGCGGCGTATAGTTGCCATGGAGTCGATATAGCTGTTGTAGGTGAACATAAAGCAGAGGTATGCATGAGTGTCTACTTCGCGTGTTATACCGAGCTGTTCGCTATCGCGCGTGGGTGAGAACTTACATGCACTCCCTAGTGCGCTGGCGTACTCCGGTGGATTTGTAAATGTAAAACTGTCCTGAGGAAATCTGGACCAGCTCCGGGTTGGATGAATCTCCCCAGATGAGTTTTCCGAGAGACTTGAAGACGTTCATGGTGAGAATGTATGGTAGGAAGGCAAGAGGTGCTGCGGTGACTCTGCTTGTTCAGCTTAACAAATGTATGCTCGGTTTAAGTTCACCGTCACCACTTCACGCCAGGCTGCCTACCCCTTTTGCCCTTTCTCGTTACCCCCTTTCGCTTCCTCATCATTCAGCGCATCGCTTTCGACAAGAAAACCATGATTCTGGAGTCACCTCCCCTGGTCAATCTGACAAAGTTGACAGAGATACATGAAGGTATCACGCCTCGTTTTCTCCACCTTCTGCTTCCTATCAGGGCCAATTGCTTCAGAGATATTGCGATCTATCCAAGGTGCAACATTGACGACTGACGGTCAATGGCTCTCTGCTTGTACCTCCTACAGTGCCTATCCACATCCGTAATCCTATCCATCCCAACTCCGCCAACAGGCACAAGCGTCTCGGTCTTCAGATGTTGAACGAGCTGAGTCGTATTGAGATGTTTGTCGCTAGGATCGAAGCTGTGGGCAAGGTAAGCCGTCTTCGAAGACTGACTGCACATCATCAAGTATTGAGAAGGAAGCCTGGTCTACATAATTTCCTTAGTAGTATTAAAATTAACAGCTTCATTTCAATCAACGAACTACTTGCGATAGCACGAAGAGACAAGCGCCGAGTTAACTAAAACAATTGCGCATCTTGAGCAGACACTGTATACATACGAGGTGGACAATGGGCAGGCAAATCGACTCGAGAACACATCAGGGCGTATGATGCTACAGGTGAGAACGAGGATGTTCTAGGACGCAGAAAATTACTGCTGTAACCTCAAAGTAGTGGCATCCCGCCAAACGTTTTGCCTAATGACACACTAACCCTTCTCTTCAAATAGAGATACATGATCAGAACTGGACTCGCGGAAATGTTTCCGAAGTCCTCAGAGTACCTCGGTATCGACCCAATCCTGCCAGGCGGTAGCTTTATTGAAGGTAGCGTTGCGTCCGCCATGTCTTCATTCGGCTTTAAGCTGCCTCCTCAACATTTGATCCATAACATTTTCTTTCAACTATAAATATATAGCTCATTTCCGTCAAATGGCAACTATCAACCAACTTGTGTCGATCGCACTGCAGCTCCAGAATGACTTGCGGCTATCAAATCACAAGTTCATTGCACACCAAGTTGCCTTGCTTTATGTGAGTTCAATTTCGCCGTTATTTCAGTAGTGTATCAAATTGACTCTGTACATCTGTTTTTAACCCTTTGTTGCTCGTCTAAATAGCAATGTATCAATCAAGCAGGGCCGCAGTTTTCGAAAAAATACAAGGCTCGTGTGGAGGAGAACTTCGATGCACTCAAAGAGACTTCCAATATGTCTGAAGAGCCTCGCCTTCCTATCGAGCTGCAGGCCTGGTACGATTTTGATATTTGGCGTATGTGTTTGCACTCGCTATTTTACGATCCTACGCTGACTGATATCGCATACCTCGCTACTCATGTGTCCATAGGCTATCAGATCTCACAACGGACATTGTTTCCGACGCGCTGTTCAGTGGCCGACCCATGTCCCAGCAGACACCAGAGGCTGCTCACCTATCGGATTATATCAATCGAGTTTCGTCTGGCAATTCGTTAGAGGAGCCGGCAGCAGCAGCTTCATAGGCTCAACGATACCCACTACAAAATAAATTGGACACATTTTGCCACCGAAAATATGAGTTGAAAAGAGTACGTCAACTTCATTCGTCTGCGATTCGTCTTTTGCCTTTGTCCATTCCAAACTGCGATCATGTCGGCGCTACCTCTTGCATTCCAAAAGGAAATCGTGGCAGAACTTGTTGCGGAGGATGCTTTGCTTATTATGGCCAAGGGACTGGGTCTCAAAAGCATCCTCGGCGCATTCCTCCAGATATATTCACAACCACAAAACCTCGTTCTTCTTATCAACACTAATACTGAAGAACAAGCTACCCTTAGGGACGACCTTCTGCGCTCTACCAGCCTCGGACAGGGTGGAGTATACTTCCGAAGTATTAACAGCGAACAGAGTCTCGCAGACCGCAGCGAATTATATCGCTATGGAGGCGTGATGGCCATTACGTCTCGCATCCTTGTCATGGACCTGTTGACAGGCCGAATCCCAGTGCATTTGGTGACAGGTATACTCGTTGCCAATGCCCATAGGTAATAGCCCCTAATTGAACATTTATTCGAGTAGCGTGAGCCTCAATGGCACTTCTCTCATATGCGATTGTCGCTACATGCTAGGGTGACAGCCACGTCCACGGAGGCGTTCATTCTCCGGCTCTTTCGACAGGACAATTCAGAAGGATTCGTCAAGGCGTTCAGTGATCAGCCAGAGACGTTTTCGATGGGCTTCGCAACCTTGGAAAAGACATTGAAATTACTCTACCTTCGAAAAGTGAACCTGTGGCCAAGGCATGTCTCCGTATAACGATATTAATGATGACCAACGAATATGACCCTTCGAAGTCGAGCGCTGACCTTCACGTATGTTGGTATTTTGTAGATTTCATGTTACGGTGACAGAGAGTTTGGAGTCGCATGCAGCAGACGTAGTCGAAATCAGACAGCCGATGACAAAGGCTATGAAGACGATCCAGGCAGCTATCATTGAGTGTATGGATGTCTGCCTACAAGAGCTACGTCGGTCTAGTTCAGCAGTACGTACTCCTCTCTTTTGAACACTGTATGGAAGGTTACGAAGGTCAAGCACTGATATCCGGATATTTCTTTTCAAGATCGAGATCGACATTGACGACTTCACGGTGGAAAAGGCAATGTTCAAATCTTTTGATGTCATTATTAGGAGACAGCTGGATCCTATTTGGCACCGTGTCAGTTCGAAGACAAAGCAACTCGTGGGGGATCTGAAAATCCTGCGCAATCTTTTGGCGTACTTAGTATCGTACGACAGCGTGAACTTCAATCTTTATCTCGAGACGATATTGGCGTCCCATAATCCATCTTCGAGCAGCTACTGGCTCTTAACTGACCCTGCGGACAAGATTTACTCTGTAAGGGCATATTTAAGACATTGCATAGTACGTTAGGTATATTGCTTCGTTGACACCGCTATGCTGTTACATGTAGACGGCGAAATCCCGGGTATTCCTTCACCAGGCAGGATACAAAGACCCTGACGATCCAAATATGCTCCCGAATATGAGACCGATTCTGGAGGAACTGCCCAAGTGGAATGTACTATCCGACATTATGGATGAAGTGGAGCTGGAAATGCATCATGCTCCGCAGCCAGAAGGTAGGCCTCTTCTTGGCTACATTTACATTCATGTTGTTCACTGCCTACTTGCTAAGAATATTTTTATTTTAATATTTACAGGGTCGGATACTGTTCTCATTATGGCACAGGATCAGAGGACATGTACACAGCTGAGGCGATACCTATCGACGCCAAAGACAGCCACCTCAACAAGGGGGAAACCACTGATGAGAGATTTGTTACATGGATACCTTCGCTGGAAATCCAACATGAAGCATTTCAAGGATAACGTCGTCAACAAAAAGCCCGCTACACCTGCAACATCCTCATCGACCGGTAATAGTTACGATCCCTCAAACTAAGATTATTTATGGCACACTCTGTCATGACTAACTAAGGATGGCTCTTATATTAGTGAACCATGTCTCTTCATCAATCCGCCGCCCACCACCGACTAAGCGTCGACGCGTCCGAGGCGGCGGCAATATGATGGCACCTGTAGCAAAGCACTCGGCCACCTCATTTGAAAAGGAAGCGGAAGTTATTGCGACATTGTAAGAATATGGTGTATCATTGAGCTACAGGCGCTACTTACTGATCCTAGTTTGCAAAACCGTCCCTAATGTTTATTTTTGTCCGCATCAGTATCCAGGCTACCCAAGAACACCCAGTGTCGAATGCGTACGTGTATGACCATGACCTCGAGGAGATGGACGATTTCACAGACTATTTTGGTCTTGTCGAAGCCAACAGTTTGGTTGTCGTGCATAGCTACGCTGGCGAGTCCGACTCGAGATTGCTGGAGAGCATTAAACCACGGTTTATTATCATGTACGACCCGGATGCGACATTTGTACGATGCGTCGAGGTGTACAAGGCGTGCAATCCTGGGAAGCAGGTTCGCGTCTATTTCACGGTGTATGACAACTCTGTTGAGGAGCAACTCTACCTGAGCGCACTCCGTAGAGAAAAGGACGCGTTTACAAAATTGATCCGTGACAAATCGGTAAGTCCATAAACTATTAAACTATTAGAGAGTGAAAAGAGGCTTGCATCTGTGATATCTAATTGTTCCGATGGCTTTGCTACTGGCCAATAGATGATGGTGTTACCGATAGGAGACATCCAGGCGAAGCAGGTGCAGGATCAGTCGCTGCTCAGGAATATCCATACCCGAATTGCCGGAGGCGGAAAAGCGGGCGAAGATCGTCCACTACCCAGGATCGTCGTGGACTCGCGAGAATTCAGGAGTTCTTTGCCCTCGATTCTCCACTCTCAGGGAATGCTGCTTGAGCCATGCACAATCACCGTTGGCGACTATGTTCTGTCCCCCAATATTTGTGTCGAGAGAAAGAGTATCTCGGATTTGATCAGTTCCTTTGCCTCTGGAAGATTGTAGGTCATCGTTTATTATTTATGTCCTTTATGTCTATTTCTGTTCGTGGTATTGATGGGGCTGTTGTTATATTATTATATCGCATATTCTAGATATACCCAAGTGGAAGCAATGACAGTTCATTACAGTCAACCGGTGCTTTTAATCGAATTTGATGAGGACAAATCGTTTTCATTACAGGTATGAGCTTAACTTCAATGGGAATCGGCAACTCTTTAGCTTGTCTGAATCGGTCATAAACTGAACTTTGATCTCAATACAATAGGACAAGTCAGAAATCAGAACAGATATTTCAATCACAGAGCTGTCTTCAAAGCTAGTTTTGTTGACCATCGCATTTCCAACGCTGAGATTGATTTGGTCCTCTTCAGTCTATGCGACGGTAGAGATATTCGAGGATTTGAAGGTATCGATCCTATGCAATACTAATATTCTTCTCTAACAAAGCACCATGGGGCCACTGTTTACTGAAGTGATTTTTATTTTAAACATTCTAGAGATCAGAGGATGAACCGGATGTACTGAAAGCACAAGCGGTGGGCGTTGATTCAGAGCAAGAGATCGAGAGCGCGTTCAATCTGACACCGCAAGATATTCTTCGTAGTTTGCCTGGGATCACATCCAAGAACTACAAGCATGTTATGAACAACGTAGAAAGTATCCGGGAACTTGCTGAGATGGACATTGCCAAGCTTGATTCCCTCATCGGTGAGGGTCCCGCACAAACCCTTTGGAATTTTTTGAACAGGGACTCAAGGCTAGACATGATGTGAAATAAATAGACACATGTGAATGGTCATTATCAGATTGTCCAAGGCAGCACTGCCGCTAAATATCAATATAGACAAGCCTGTCACAGGGTATGTACATGTACCATGTACAGGTAAATTGGCGTTCCCCGGACCACAGCATTGTTTCTCCTCATCTCATCCTCATTCAACGCCTCATGTTCCCCGGGCAACTTTACAAGACCGAGTCTGGACGTTTGTTCCACGCAGGGGCCATTGCCATCATCTTTGTGGGGTATGAAGTGAGCCACAGCAATGCCTTTTTCGTCCGGCTTGCTATACTTGCCATATATCTTAACATATATCGCGCTTCTTCTCACGGTTATCAAGTCTACCAGCGCGTGGAAAAACACATGTGTCGCGGTCGCTCAGTCGGTACCTGCGATGGCTCGGTCTTCAGACAAAGGTCTTCAGCGTGGGCAATTACCGTCGCCAGATTATTGGTGTTGAGGTTACCAACGACTTTTTTAGTCCAGGTATTACTCATGGTCTTGCTGGTGATCTTCGCTAGTTTCTGAAGTAACTGGAAAAAGCATAATGTCTAACCCATCCCACCTGTCCCTGTACCATATCGTAGTCAATGCGGCTACGGCGGATCTGAGGCTGAAGATAGCAAACGCATGTCTTGACGATATGGTCCAATGGTTCGCAAGTGGTGGCCAGGTCGGCATTTTGGACGGCAGTAACACAACAGAGGAAAGACGTCAGGAGTTGATAGACAGATTGAAGGCCGTGAATGTCAATTACATGTTCATTGAGTCCATCTGTGACAACCCCCAAATCATTGACGCCAACATCCGCAGTGTCAAATTGTCCTCGCCAGACGTGAGTGCATCATCGATAATTACATTACCACTGCTCTGCCCTATGTGATCTTCTATTTGTAATGCAGCCAAAAGCATGCGAGTAAAGAGAAGCGTTACTCACTCCTTCCTAGCGCCGAGGAACCTGAGTGAATATTTTTGTCTAACGCTAGGCTATCTCTGCTCTCTTCATAGTACGTAGGATGGAAGTCTGCAGATGCTGTCAATGATTTTAAACGCAGAATTGAGAACCACGTTCCATCCTACAAGACTATTGCGGACCTCAATCTGAGCTTTGTAAAGCTGATCAACGTCGGGGAGAAGATCATTGTCAATAACGTGCAGGGGTTTTTACAGAGCAAGATTGTTTACTATCTTATGAATTTACATATCTCCCCTCGAAAGATTTATTTTGCCAGGGTATGTTCACCCCTGCAACGGTCTGTTTAAGTATGTATGGTCCCAAGTCTTTGCACTAAACTACTGTCTCTCACTGGCCGTAATTATAGAATGGCGTATCGTTAAACGAACAGTCGTACAAAGCGGATGCGCCTTTGGCGCCAGCAGGCCACCGGTACGCCGAGAATCTCAAAAACTTTCTCTTGACGCTCCGCGACACGCAGGCGCAGGCCTTACAACAGGCTGGTTTTATTGAGACACCGAGGCAGTTAACTGTTTGGACATCCTCCAGAAAGAGGAGCTTTCAGACTGCAGCGCATTTTCTGGACCACGAGGAGATAATTGTCAGGCAACGAAGCGTGCTCTCGGAGAGAAATCCAGGCGTGTGTGACCAAATGACAGCCGAGGAAGTCGCGAAAAAGTATCCAGATGAGTGCATGAGGGCTAAGAATGACCCTTACCGACACCGATTCCCCCGTGCTGAGGTAACATGACTGCGTATTGTTTCTTGCCGGAATCACCATTTGGATTGTGGTGTATAGGTCGAAAGACTGACAAACTACCACTCCTTTGTACCTTAGTCCTATTACGACTTGGCAAACAGGTTAGAAAAAGTGATCCTGGAACTCGAGAGAGAAAAGAACGATGTCCTTATCATCGCGCACGAGTCGGTCATCCGGTGCTTATATGGCTACCTCTTTGGGCTTTCCGAGGGGGATATACCTTCATTGGAGATCCCGGAGGGCACGTTATTCGAGTTATCGCCGACCGCGTACATGACGGAAGAGACGCGCCATATCATCCCAGACTCGCTCACGAACGTCGATTGGCAACTTCAAGCAGAAACATTTCTTTCCCTCGCTGGTAAAGTGCCTGCGTCCCCGGCGTTTATTGACCACTATCTTCCGGATGAAAAGAACAGAAAGCAGCATGATAGTAGCACGACGCAGTCGACACCCTTATCCTCACCTTCTCTATCATCAATCAACACAACGGAGCTGTCGCCGATCAAGAACCCACAGGGTTTGGTTTACGAGCTGGGTCAGGGACAGGAAGCGGTTTTTCGACTGTGAGGGAAGCAGCAGATATCCAGGAGTGTTTCTGGACTCGTCATTAGTGTCTTCAGGCAAGATGTATTCTGGGTATTTACGTATAGAAAAGAAGTTCCTCTCCCTCTTCCTCTCCTCCCACTCTTCCGCACATGTATCTGTTTGATGCCTGCGCTCCAATGAATAAAAGATAGAAATGATGATCGATGGTGAGATGAGGATTTGGGAACTGCCATGAGAGCACGTTCCTAAACGCGACGCGCTGATTGTGCCATAAAAACGTCATGTTGACTATGGTTGCAGTAGATGGAACACCTTTGCAACATCAATCTATATTTTCTACAGTCGAAAATCAGATCTACTACAAAATTTGTAAGATGCCGTTCCCAGCATGCAGGGAATGGACGGGAATGGATCGCCTCGGGTAATTCTTGTACGACCTTCCATGAACGTGTTTTGAAAACTTTGCAGGTCCTTGAGTGAAGAAAACACAAAAGACATTGAAGTCTCTAAGTAGCATGTGCTGGATCTTCTTGTTGCTCTTGCTTGTAAATGTCAGGAGAGGGGAATTATGGCGCTCTCCACAATAAAAATAAAGAAGGGAAGAAAAGGGAGCCGCAGGAGTCAAATCAGGAAAAGAAAAATAACGGAGACGAGGAACATTAAGGCTAGAGAAAGGAGTTGTTCTCAAGGGGAAGAGAGGTGATCGATATATATGATACAAATAGATAGAATAGCATCTTTGTTTTGCCATCTAATAACCTAGACAGCAAAGCCCCTCAATACCTTACAAACTATGAGCGGTATCTTCTTGGTAGTTGATATTTTCCCACCTTGTCGCGAAAAAAAAGGACACAGTAAGAGCGACGAGTTGCCTTTTTTGCCTTGCTTGCAATTAGAGTTCGTATATGTCCTCATCCAGGGTATCAGAGTTGTCGAGGAGGGTAGGTAATGCTGATCTTGCGAGGAGTCCTTCCTGCTGAGTACGTCCATTTCCTGTTTACATAGTGAGACAGATCAATTGGTGTGAAAAAGAATGCTGGCCAGTTTAGTAGGGGGTTCATGTAAGCAAAAGAGGCTGTGGGCACAAAAACTTGCACGGCGGCAAACAGCACTTTATACTTTGTTGTAATCTTTGGTCGTACGCCATCTGGGTTGTCTTACATCTCTCCTCTCCTTGTTCTTTATTTTTCACGCTGTCCATTATCCGTTGTTCTCTCCTTCCCGTCGTATTTTGTATTAACCATCCTCCGATTGTCTTTTGCTTCTTGTTATTGTTCATTCTCATCCTCATTCGCCTTCACTGAATCTCTCATTCGCCTTCACTGAATCTCTCATTTGCATTCGAATCACTTTCTCATTCCTATTCTACTACGTACGTACCCTATTCCTATAGTAATAACCATCCTACTTAACCGCCTTGATCGCTATTCATACTTACCCTTCTCTACCACAATATCTTACCCTGGATTATCTCTATAGATTCACATCTTCTTCACTCCTTGCCGACGCTATACCTCCTTTGCCTTTGTTCGCTCTGTTCATATCATCCTATTCTTCACGTACAAAAGTGGTCTGTGCCTGTGTTACCCACCAGACGCGAACTGAGACCAACAAGCTTTTCTCATTTCTGATTGGCGGGCTTTAAATGAAGAGACGCTTGGGCCAATAGTCCACTTCACCAACACCTGTTGCCACCAGTTTTCTCAATGACGGTCCTCAATGCATCCCAAACACCAGAGCTGGTACCAGCACCAGAGCCAGCAACACAGAAGCTACAGGCACCAGTATTATCGTCGTCATCGTCAAGGTCATCTCCACAGGGCGATAATCTTACTTTAGCATCGCCTTTGCGCATCTGTTCTTCGTCTCTCTCACTCCCCTCGCCATCCCTAACTCTGCAAACATCCCCAAATACACCGAATTCCAATGTCACACAACCGGAGTTCTCCCCTCGTCTCCACCGTTGTCGCCGTTCCCGTCGTAATCGATCTGCCTGCCTTCCTCTTGTCGCATTGTATGCTTCGTTCTTCTTCATCCTGTTCTCACTCGTCATTGCTCCCACCGCCACTACCACGTACGCAGCTGTCGTTCCCACAACACCGTCCAAGGTTCCCAATCCGTTCACAAACAGCAATGGTGCTCAGACTCCGTTCCTGCATACGAAGTCGCCTCCTCCAGTGGACTTTGCCGCGTTGGGGCAAGTAGCCCTCCTCGGAGACTTTGACGCACTGACGCCTGTCGTGACCATAGGACAGCAGAATACGTTCGAAAGCAATACATTCTCGATCCTGGAGCTCTGCAAAGTTCCGTCACCTGCTTCAGCCAATGGCAATCAATCAGACGAGGACAGGGTTTTATCTGTGCCAGTCCTATTGGCCAGTTTCACGTTGGACGCGCCATTATCTTCACCTGTAGGATCGTCACCGACAGCCGCTGAGTCTTTGACAAACTATGGCATTACAGCGACCTGTGTGTTGAGCAGCGCTCCACATCAGGTTTACATTGGAGGGTATTTCACACAGGTATCGTCCGCTTCATCATCATCTATCAACAGCAGCAGTAGCAGCATCGCCACACCAACAACCAGCAATCCAAGGACGGGCCTCAATTACATTGGACTGTACGACTCCAAACTCAAGCGTTTCCTGTCCATGGGGGACGGAGTAGATGGCCCCGTTCAGAGCTTGTTGTGCGATTCGAGTAAAGATCAAGTCTATGTGGTTGGACGGTTCAGGGCGCCTTTGCAGGATATAATGGCTTCGGCCGAAGGCAGTAGCAACAACAGTAGCTACCAGGCTTTGGGCTCCTTCGGCGGAGGCGTTGCCGTCTGGAAACGGGCTCTGCAGGATTCTGGCTCTGAGCCAAGCAACAGCAGCAGTGATGATAACGAGCAGAAGTTTCGAGCGATTTCGCAGGCGTCAGGATCTTGGATGCCGCTACCGTTCAAGGGCGTGAATGGCGTGGTTGCATCCGTCGCCCAGACCCAAGACGGGACGTTTTACTTTGGTGGCAAGTTCGATACTACAGCCGATGGAGAGCGCTTCAGCGCACCTGACACCCAGCTAGTGAACATGGACAGAGTCATGGTATGAACAATATCATGAGTGAGGATTTGTATTTTATTCTATTTCAGCACAGCATCTCAAATCACATCCGTATTGGTATCTTTATATCAGGTAACAACTGGCAATAGCGCAGATGCAGCACAGGACAAAAGTATCATTTGCCGGCCATCCACAGGCACTAGGAGCAACTGGATCATGCGCGACAACATCCCTGGACACTGGCGTGCAGAATTCCCGCTTCACATCACCCCGACGCTCTTCCGCCTCTGGAACATTGACAGCACCGAGGACGCAATCCCCTTGGACCGCGGGACAGAGACGTTCTCTATCGTGGCACAGCCCTCCAACCAGCTCTTGAACCTCAGTTATGTAGATCCTATCACTCATATCGTCCAGCACTGCACCGTCTGCATCCTCTACCCACGACCTACCTCCACCTCGATTCACCAAGGCTATCAGGATTTCTTGGTCATAAAACCGGTCCTATTGCATGCGGTTCAAATCAACATACTATCTTGGTACGGACAAGGAGGCGGTCTTGGAGGCATCGAGGTGTATCAGTCTGAGATTTTTGTTCGAGCTGTGGACGAACTCAACACTGCTTCAAAGTGCACTTCGGGATTTGCTTCGTCTTCGTCTTCAAGATCACTACCCATGAATCTCACAGCGCGTACAAACAGCCGCAGGGATAGCAAAGACATGACCGCGTACTCAAGCTTTCTAGGTGCAGACTGGGTCACGATGGATATCACAGGTGGCTGGCAGACTGTTCTGGCAACCAGAATCTCTACGAGTGACCAGACTGTGCGCAGCAAAGCCTATGTGGATCTATCGCCCTATCTTGAAGAGTCAGGAATGTACGATGTATACTTGTACACGCCTGGCTGCAGCGCCGGATCTACCGGCAATAGCTCGACCGCGCCCTCGAATGCCTGTGAAAGCCGTGGCTCGGTCGATGTTAGCATGTACTTTGCGTCGCCTGAGAATGCCATGACTATCACTCTGTCTCAGGAGAACACCGCGGACAAGTACGACAAGATCTACTCAGGAATGATTGTGCACTCAACGTCGGATTTCAGACCCCATGTCGTGATCAAGCCCACAACAACTTGGACAGGAGCCAGTGGTGCCCAAGATTCTCAGACCATCATTGTGGACTCAATCCAGTTTGTGAAGCAGGCGACCTGCAACAGTACCAATAGTTTACTCTTTTATCGTCCTGGTTCAATATCAGAAGCACTGACTGGGGTCAAAGCGGGAAAGGATCAGGTAAAGGGATTGGATTCCTCCACCTGGGGCAATTTGCCAACCCAGCTTCCACCTGGAGCTGTGGTAAATTCCCTCATCACATACACTGGCGCAGTCGGATCATCTCAGTCATCATCTTCCTCGATGCTATTTGTTGGTGGGGCGTTCCAAGGGACTGAATATGCTAACGTAGTCGCATGGGATGGCTCGGTATTTGTGCCGCTTGGTCAAGGCAAGGATCTCCCATCGGGCGTAGATGGTACTGTCACCGGCATGGCAATCTATCAGTCGAATCTCTATGTCGTTGGCGCATTCCAGCAAGCATATGGGTCAGGAGCAGGGGCGACTTCCTGTGGTGGGCTTGGCGTGTATGATATCCAGACCAGATCATGGGCTCTATTCGGGAACGCCACGCAATATTTTCAATCAGACGCCCAGTTCCGTTCTATTGAACTCTCGAGCAGTGCCAGTGGACAGCCCCAGCTGGTTATCGGGGGAAAGTTTACTTGGGCACAGGGACTTCAGACAGTAGCCGTAGCGACTTGGGATATTAGCCTTCAAAAGTGGATCCGAGAGGATGCACAATCCAATTATAACGGTCAAGGTCCGTCTGCCTTCCAGCTCGGATACGCTTACGGTCAGATCTCGTACCTTATCCGAGTCCTAGGATCGAGGGCGAACGGAACAGCAGAGAACCCTGTGGTGCTGGTTGCAGGAGTTATTGAATCTTTGGACACATACCAGATTCGCCAACCCGAGAACATGGCCTGGCTCACTGCCTCTGGAAGGCTCAAGACCGTCAACCTGTCACCTGCTCTATCCATGAGTCCAGCTGGCGTTTTTTATGGTGCCAACAGCAATAGCAGCGATAACGCGATCAAAGCAGCAACGCAACAAATTGCCCAAGCACCCTTACTGTCAAAGGTCGGCGCCGGAATCATTTATCTCAACAAAACCTCGCAGCAATGGATTACGATCGTTGGTGGCGTCCATGCGGACGGCAACATCGGAGCGGGATATTTTTATACACCAGTTATCCCATCCCTTACTGAGAACGATTTGCTGAGCTACGTCAAACTAGATTTAACCCAAACACAGCCGTCCTCATCGATTACAGGCGAGATCTTGGCGCTAGGCATCAATAAGGACGACTCGACGGGGTATGGATCAACGGATGCTGGGGGTGATCTGTTGCTGATCGGAGGTTTGTTTAAAAGCAGTACTCGAGGGGTGAACGGCCTGGCATTGTACGACATATCTATCAGCCAAGTTGTATCCTCGAGCATCATGCCTTCTTTGCGAGGTGTACAAGGTCGCGATCCCATGGTTCAAGTAATCAAGCGTCATCCAGGCGATAGCAAAGGGGTGCTGATCCTTGCAGGTGATTTCTCTGGCGTCGGCAGTGGTGTGGCGTGTGAGCTGATCTGCGTCTGGAGCCCTGCCGCGGCACGAGAGGCGCTCGATAAGGAAAATCCCCTTGACAGCAGCTTCAAGTCTATCTATGGCGATGCCGACAGCAAGAACCGCCTAGAAGTCCTTTCGGGTGTCGTGAACGACATCGCGTTTGAAGATGTATTGTCCCATCGCCTGGTTATCGCCTCCCTACCCCTATATAATGTGATGTGTATGACACTGACTCATTGCTATCTTGCTATCTGATAGGACAGGAACATGTATGTGGCAGGGGATCTGGCTGTGAATGGTGTCGCGTGCGGAGTTGCTAGTTTCAACTTTGACACCTTCAAGTGGACGACGTTTGGGTCGATGATAAACGCGACCGGCGACTATGGTGCCGCGGCCCACCCTCCTGAACCTGACGCGCTTACGGGACCCGTCACTGCCATCACGCATGACTCGCGCTTCCACCAGTTTTTTGTGGCTGGAAGGTAAGGAGGACAAAAGCTTCATTGCTGGATCCGTTTGCTGGCACTAGACACTAACTACGCATCCAAACGTACCTAATTTATTTCTTGATCCATCTAGGAGTGCAATAGATAATTCGACATACTTCAGAAAGTGGAATGGATCTCGCTTTCTTCGTGTTTGTAAGTCTTAATCTAGCATCCGACTACAATATCTTTAATGTACATCCTATACTAACGATTATGTTTATGACTTTTAATAGCATCCGAATTCATGCCGAGCAGCGAAGTCCACCGCCTGGAGATACTACCTGCATTGAGCAATGCGCCCGCCCGCACAGCTGCCTCTGAAAATGACTCAAATGATACGATCAGCATCCTTGAACAAGGGTACATTATCCTTGTCTCTGGCCGGATCCTTCTCGGAAGTCCCTCCGGCTCTGCAATGTCCTTTAGTGGAGCTGACCACCAAGAACTGTCTCTTGCATTCTTTGACGGACAGACATGGTTCCCTTTCATACAGAGTTCTCAAAACGGCACCTCCTCAACAATCGCAGGCCCCAAGGCAGGATCCTTTGGCCCCACGACACCAGTGGGCACATTCCTCGATCCCGGTAATAACATTCTTCTGAACCCCCATCCATTCGACTCTGGCCTTGTCAAGAGAGCTACTCTCGGTGACGCCGCATCCGTGCAAATGCGTCTTCGCGACCAAGGCGTGTTCCGGGCTCTGGCGATTGCGCATCTGCCACGGATCGTCGCTCAGGACTACCTGCCCCTCAAATACATCATCCTCATCGCAGTCGGCATTTCCTTGGGACTTATCTTCTTTATCATTCTGGGCGCATTCCTGTACGTCTGGTTGAAGGGCCGTCTATCTAAAGGCGGACCAACTAAGCGTCCGAAACTGGGGTCTTCGTTTATGGAGGACGGATATGCTGGGCACGGAATTCGGAATGTAGGGACGGATCCACTTGGCCTGAGACAAGGCACCACCTTTGCTAGCGATGCGGATTTCAAAAGCGAGAAGGTGGGATCTCTCTTCAAGTCCAAGAAGAACGGTCTAGGGAATTCATCCGCAAACCTGGCATCATTAAGTATCTCATGCGCGGCGATCGAGTCGGCTAACAACAGCTATCGACCGAACTCGACGATCGCGGAGACGACGGATGCGCTGGTGACCGAGTTCGTGAGAAATCATCAGCAACAGCTTGCAGGTGAACCAAGCGCGTCCTCCGAACAACAGCAACAAGAAGAAAAGAGTGGGCCTGTAGCCCCACCATCGCCCGACAGACGCAGCAAACGGCCACTCAAATGCAAACCCCAAAACCAGAACTCGAGCAGTAGCGATCTCACGAATCCGGTTGCGCAAGCCGGTCGCTTCCCAACCCTCCTAGCCGTAGGCTACAATCCCTCAACTCCCAACTCCAATGCACCCACATCACCAGTAACAACCATGAGCACACCAAGGGATATCACTGGCGCCAGCACCGCAGCCGTAGGCGCAGAGGCCTCGAATATGAATGACACCAATAATCCAGCTGCAGCCGCGGCCGTGCCAGGGGGCGTGTTCTACTATGCGAAATATCCATTCCGCGCACGCGAGATCGGAGAGCTAGGTTTCCAAGCTGGCGCGCGCATCTTGGTCGTCGACATGAGCGATGATATCTGGTGGATGGGCGTGGTTCAAAACGCCAACGGCCAGCAAATGCATGGTGTCTTCCCTTCCAACTACGTCGGACCAACACCATAGAAATACATAGACGTACTTTTTACTGATAGACAGCCATCCATTTCATTCATTCATTCATTCAAATTGTTCAGCTTACAAGTGCGAATAGACGGAGAGACAGAAATAAAGCCAAACGCTGGTTTCTTGAGTGGAAAACTAGTCGCTATCGCCCTCCAGTTCATCTTCCTCCACCTCATCCGCCTCTGCCACCTCTACCTCGTCAGTGTTACTTCCGTCACCCTCATCATCATCATCATCATCATCGTCGTCGTCGTTGACTTCTTCTTCCACCGAGACATACGAACCTCCTTCCTCATCCTCATGCTCATCCAACGAGTCCACCATCGAATCCACATCCTCTGCATCAAGCTCCACAACGATCGAGCCCTCCGCAGCTGCAGATAGCAAGGAATCTGAACCCTCATCATCACCTGCTACGCTGCTTCCTGCTCGATCATCTTCGAATCGTCCTCTCAGCTCCGCATCTTCCTTCTCCTGTGCGGCTGTCCGCAGATCTTCCACAACACCTTCCAAACTGCGCTTGCGGCACTGCCGTGCTTGCATCAACCATGAGCGAGACACTGTCTCGTGGTAACTTCTCGACTTGGTCCTCGCATATTTGATGTACTGTATTTGATTTTTTTTCGCAATGATGAGTAAGGAGCATAGATAAGTAAGACTTGTGAGTCCTGGGGTCAGCAAACGGTCAGTTCAAACAGGTAATGAGCAACGAACCTTGGACTCTACAAGGCGGATGTTGCGGAAGAGAAACAGTTTCGTGTATCGAATCGCTGCCATTTTGCCCTCCTTGTACTTGTCTGATTGACGTTCTCGAATCTGACGCACACTCGGCATTTGTACACGGCGCAAGGAACTCGGTTCCTGATCGTTGACCTTTCAAAAAATAAAAGGAATGAGAACATTGAGTAATTTATATCTACATGGGCCCTGCCACATTTACAAAAAAAAAAAAAAAAAGCGTCCTCAAGGCTTACTTTGCGACGTCCAGCCTTGCGTTTTCGTGCATCCGTCTTTTTGCCGCTCCGTGCTGAAGATTGTGGGCTAGGTGAATTGCCCGACTCCTTGCTTTTGCTGACTCGCTCACCAATGTAGCCTCGGCAATTGGGAGCTCCGCATCGACACTTTTGTTTTTGGGCACCACGGAACGAGGAGAAGTTGTAGTCGTAGCTGATTTCCACTCCTGCGGGTATATCCTGAGACGCGAAGATACCAATGCTCATCTCTCCGTTCAAGAACCACTTTTCAATTTGACTGTTGGGTGAACAGCTGAAGTGTTCATGAAAAACAAGAAAGTATTAAAGTTAGGCCAGGCTCATTCACAGAAAGATTCTGTCCTGCTTAAAATTCGATCATGATTTCTATTACCTGTGGTTGACAAATCGGGCATTGGTTCCTTTCTGGCAAGCATCAACCACCTCTCCCTTTTCGTACTCGAGGAAATAAAAGTTCTTGTTGTTTTTGTATATGGTTTCCATGCGTCTGTGACACTCGCTCTGCGATATCACTTCGCCGCGATACTCGATCACCAGGGTGCCCTTCTTGATGGGCTCTATCGTCTGGATACCAAAACCTCTCTCCTTCGTCTATTAGCATCCAAGAAGAATGACGTTTAGGTCAGTACATTATTAGAGTCAACACACTACACTTCCATCAGACCTGAGCTAAAGTCAGAACATAACCTACCCAGATGACCCGGAGATGGTCCTCTTTGTGCTTTTTTTGGAACCGCTGATTTGAGCATTGGTCTCCGCACGGGCAATGTGCAGAGATGCACTCGTAGAACATGACGCGATTGTAGCAGTCTTCACCACACCCCACTCTTCCTGCTCCTGGTGGTGGCGGCGTGCAATGGCACACCATAGGACTTGTTTCTATACGCCGTTTCCGCTCAAGAAAAATATCTATAAGGTGAAATGAAGGGTGTCTCAGTAACTTGATTCCGTAGCTGTATGATATTCACTTGAGCGGACAAACTCTATGATATAGCGCATACTGCTCCGAATCTTGATAAAGGGTTCCGGTTGCATGCTTTTGCGTAAAAGGCCTGCCTGCCATGCCTGCATAATGTCAAAGGGCAAACAGAAGTCCTTCTGTGTTGACATCAGTGCTGCACCGTAGTTGATAGGAAGCTGGAAAAAAGGCCCTGAATTTGACGAACTGCTGCCTTTGAATCCCCTCTTCATACGCAGAACTAATGCTTGGGATGACTTTGGACCTGACTTTAGGGTCACTGACTGTTTCAAGTTGTTAGGTGGGTTGACCTTGAGATCAGAGGAATATAGTCCAGATTTGAGGTAAGCCTTCCTGACGAGACGGACTGGTTCTTTTGTCGAGTCTTCCTCTGCAGATCCTGAATCTTCGTCCTAAAGCAATGATTAAAAATCGTCCAGTGTTATTACTACTATTAATAACAGATCATTTGTGCAGTATATAGCATACTACGTGCCCTTACATCTGTGGTATCGGCGACAGTCTGTTTGCCCTTAGAATTCTTGGCTTTAGTAGCGGTGATGCTAGCAAGAGAGGCGCGCGTGCGCTTCAAGGGAACATTTACAGTCGAGCACGATTTGAGGGTGCTAGATGAGGTCTTTGGGGGCCGGCCTGGTTTCCGTTTGATCTTTTCGATCTTTACCGGTGAGACCAGACTTGGATTCATGGCGAACTTCATAGCATTAGATGGTCTTCCTGGCCCTCTCTTGATCATGAGAGCTGAATCAGATGAGACAGCGGTCAATGAACGCGGTCCAGTTCTCCCTCCGTTACTGGTCTCTCCAAGCTTCGAATCCATAGACGCTGCCCTCCGGGTGATGATGCTCCTTGACGGCGAACCTGCGCTCGTCGATGTTGTGCTGATGTCGTTTCCAGATTTTTCGCTACCGTCGTCTGAATCATCGTCACCCCACGTCATTGAACGCCCACGTTGTGAAGAAGCCGATGAAGAGGCGTCTGTATCCTTGCCAGAGCTCCTCTTGAGGACGTATGTATGGTTTTTTGAATTCATGTAGACACTGGGATCGTACTTCTCCCTCGGCTTGTTCGTGGCCACCCTTTTAACCCTCCGCTCAATGATGTTTTCCCTCGTCACATCGCTAGGGCTAGGAGTTCGCTTTCGCTTAGCAGCCGCCGAAGTACCTGAGGTATTCGAGGTTTCTGACGTGGGAGGGGGCGTTGGAGTCGAAAGCCTTGCCCCTATTAATTCCGCTTCCAATGTCAATGTGTGGAGCTGTGGTATCCGCTGTGGTGGCTTAGGCTTATCGATAGGAGGTGCCAATCCTGCTGCCACTGCCGCCGCCAAGACCGCCGCCGCCTCCGCCTTTGCTTGCTGCCTAGCCTCCCGGACAATAACCGAAGGTCGCTCAACCGTACCGCTACGATCGCATGGAATCTTGGCTTTGACGCAACGCAAGCAAATGGTGTTGTAGTCGCACTTTCGGTGTTGATCGCGACAGGCAGCGCACGAAGTCGGTCCTAGAAAATATCCGCGAGGTCTTCCTGGCCGACGTTTGCCTGTGGGCAACAACATATCTGCTTCTGCAGGTGCATAGGTGCTTCGCGCCTTTTGCTGGATGATTGCTTTTGCGAGACTTGGTTTCGTCAGCGCGTCAATTGGAATATCAAAATCGATCTCAGATAAATCCTCTGCCGGCAGTTCACCCTTGTGCTCCTCTGGCGACAGACTCCTTTGATCTGTTGATATCCTGCTGTTGGCGTCCGCGTTCACAGTGTTTGGGTGGGATACTGTTGATGAGGACCGTATGGCATTGTATTCTATCGCATCTCACGTTTCGGATGTTACATTAGCGAGTCTGTTTCGATGATGCAGTAATTGAGTGGATAGCATATGTGCGGGCATTGCGGACTTACCCAAGTCGACAGTACGGATTTCGCGATCAGATGGTGGTGTAACCATGGCGACAGTTTCCCGTTCCTGAACACCATTCCTTGAATGTGCTGACTTAGAGCGCGTACGATCTGCGGCCCCATTTGCTTTTGTAGCTGATCCATTTAATACCATCATCGAGCTGCCATTCATCCCTGAACTCTGGGCATCCTCATCCATTTTTGACGCGATAGTCGTGGCGGTCAGGATTTGTTTGGCGACTGTCACTGCCTCGGCCTTATCCACCTGCTTCAGGAGTCGAGCAACGGCGAGCATCTCTTCCTCCTGACGTTCCAGCTCAGCCTCGACCTTTGTCTGTTGGTTTTTCCCTTCATGATCTCTTCTGGCGGCAATCGACAGTCTCCTAAGAAGTAGATATGATTTTTGTCCGCACCCGACAAAAGAAGCGTGGTTGTATTAGGACTCACGAGGTACCAGTTGGGGACAGAGAGGAGCATTGCAGCACACGTTCCAGCGATTGTCCAGGTGGTTGTCATGAGGTGCGGATGAAATTCTTCGGATAAAGGTAGGTGAGGTACATGCGGAGTCGATTCTTGCAGTGAACAAGAGGCCGCAAGATTTGGATGTGGAGGAGAATGGGTAGATGTCACACGAGTAGAAAGAGCATACCTTTTCTTCGCCTTGACCGCCATGTTGAACGCAGGGATTGTCGGTGATTCAGGGACGATCGAGGGGAGTGGTGTCGGTGGAGTAGAAAGGGACAGCAAGCAAAGGACAGTGATGGATGGGATGGCGGATGAAATGGAAAGAAAAAATAAAGGCCGCTTGCGGTGGAAGAGAGTTCAAAATAGCGTTTGAAGCAAGGAACGAATAAAAAGTAGTCCTTTTGGAAGGAAGAGGGAGGAAACAGCACACACTCCAAAGACCGGACTTGGATCGCAAAAAATGAAGCAGCAGAATCAGCAAACGGCTGATGCAAGGAATGATACCGCGATGGCAAAATGACGATCGAGAACCAGAACCTCAAGGCCAGTAGGGTCGTGCCACAGCCAAAACGCGTTTCAGGAAGTACTTTTAATGGCAACAGAATGGATGTGTCAATGTACCAGCGGGAGACGGCGGTACTCTGTCTGATATGCAACGAGAGAGCGAAAGACAAGGATAAAGGAAGACGGAGCAGAAGTACTCAGGTCGACGTTCACCCGAGGAATCATATTAGCTTTTTTATGCGGGCTAGACTATAAGAGACAAGTGAGCACATACCGATCCATTCGCCCCCATGCCATGCACCCTTTTCTTCATGCTTCCCTGCGAAAGGCAAGATGAATCCGAGTCAACGTTTAAAAAAATAGCAATACAGAAGTTAGGTATACAAACCATCCTTGCTACCTTTTGGTGCAACCACCTGGAATTCAATATTTTTGTTAGAGTCGCCATTGGTTTGTGAGAATACCAGTACAGGCACCATTAACTTAACTTTGGCGCCATGGATTTCTGATCTGGGACTCAGGATCCACCCTTAGCGCTTTTTTCTTTTTTTCTTACTATTTTTTCTCTTTGGAATATAATGCCGCACATACCGTGTACACAAAGGGGGACATGGGACGTTGACGGGGACATAGTCACCATGCACACCACGTCCTACGGGAATGATAGTAACATGAACTATCGATACCGATGCACACGGACCCGTCATATTTTTGTCCGCAGGACAAAGAGTCAAGCGTTCACCAGCGATCATTTGGCTCCAAAGAGCGTTGTCGCTCGATAAAAGGACCCTTTTGGATAGATATCCTAAACCGTAGACGTCTGTCCCACAAAACCGTCCTTGCCGGCACTTTAATCTGAGATTGCAGGACTCATCTCCAGCTTTTTTTTTTTTTTTTTTTTTTTGCTGTGCTTTTTTCAATTGGTATGATGGAAACTCCAATGTGTTAAATGAAGAGATAAGACTCTACAAAGCGCTTCTGAACGGAGAGTACAAGTTAGGCTTATTATTGCTCTCAAGGTCTGTGCTGCTGATCTCCAAGCACCAAGAGCTATCTCTAACCTGTCCGATACGCCAACGATCCGCAGGCTTAGCTCGGAGCGCGTTCTTCAAAAGATCTCGTGCCCCAGTGCTGCTATCCGTTAGGTCCTCGTATCGGCCATTGAGGGTCTGTAACTGAAGTCGGGGCTCATACTCGTCCTGAAATGGGAGTTTGTTAGTCAAGAATGCATAAAGAACAACCCCCAATGACCATATATCCGAAAGAGGGCGCCGGAGTGGCCTGTTCGACCGCAGTTGTTCCGTAGAGCAGTATGCTAGTGATCCACCTACAATCTCCGCATCCTATTGCGTATCGTCACTCGTGGTCTTGGCTCCCGTCCTCGAACAACTAGTCTCTCCGCAGTTCGGTGCGCTCAAATGGCAGGAGAATGTGCCTGTTGGGGAAACCAGGCTGTCACCGAATGATACTGCCGCGTCCTCATCCTGGTACTCTGCAAGACCAAAGTCGCAAACTTTCCATATGCCGCTCTCGTGCCGAAGAATGTTTTCCAGCTTGATGTCTCTGTGCACGATTCGCATCCCTTCATGTAGGTATCTTACACTTCCACAACCTGGTTGAAAATAGTCCTTGCTTGCTCCTCGTCCAGAGGCTTACCGGTTTTGGGAGACGTTGGAGAAGTAGCGGATGGGATTTCACCCTGCAGTAAATATCCCAGAAAGATGGTAAAATTCGCAAAAGATGAATGTTTCCGTCGGCAGCCTTTCCATTGTAATAAACGGTAGTGCGTTCGAGTGCGAGATCTGGCCCCACATCGTGATCTCCTTGCCTTCCTCAAGAGCCACGGGAACCGATCGGTATTGAAAACGGTCTCGAAAACGATCTCGGACCCCCTCTTGAAAACCTGCTTTCACTGCAACTCTGTCTCCAGCTACAAGCAATGAGAGCTCAACAACAGGAAGCGCAAGGAAGAGCAAGAGAAACTGAAAATGAAGAAGCATTTCAGGAATGCGAACGCGAGTTAGAGTACGCTTTGAAGAAACTAGGTAAACTAGGCGATGTCGTTCATGATGTACGCCGCAGTGCTTCCAAGAATACAATACATATTGTCGAATGAGTGTGTCCCTGTGCCAATTCAGAATTTCCAATTAATAAGAAAGGTTTGGCCGTCTACGCCACATCTTTTGGTGACGTTTATGCTCCCTCCCTCTTCATCAACTCGCTGCACACCTCCTTTTCATCACCTCCGTCCGCGCGCACACACACTTACTTTCCACCAAACTTTTTTGCGTCTCCATTACCGTCCTTTCCGTTCACCGTGATCCAAACGTACGTTCTGACTCCTCAAAGGTATTCCCCTCAGTTTTGTTTCGTCCCGTGTGAAAACACCATGTCATGATCGGCCCATCTTCTATTGTTCCAGCATATATACCTCTGGGCTCTGTCGAATGGGGGAGTTGCTGTGACAACGGTGGTTCTTCATGGCAATCCAGTCAGAGGCATAATGTGACTGTTCTGCTCTCTCTCTCTCTCTCTCTCTATCACTCTACACTCCTCAATATCTTTAATAGAGCTCCAACTATGTTATGTGGCATCTAACAATTTCTCACATTATCGCTCTTCATTCATGCCTTCCATCCGTAGCTATCTAGCATACTATCTATTTATCAGTATTCACGCGGGGTTGAAGGTGCGTATGATTAAATCTGCCTGTTGTTCATCCACTACACTTTTGCCTGCCCCCTTTACTCCCCTGGCTTCTGCTGGTTTGATTTCTATCAAATTAGTGGAGATTTCAGAGCAGTAAGGGAATGGGTTAGATTCGTGATCTTTGCTCGTCATACGGCTCGCAAGTTAATGCCCCCTGTATGTCCCCCATTGATCCTGCTCACATACTCGTTCGCTTTGTGCGGGGTATGTGGGTAGTCGCGACTGGCAATTACAGAAATACGTGTTTGGTAGCGCAACACGTATTTTTCTATATTTCGTTTTAAACTTGATATTCTTGCTTCAGCTTTACTAACACTTTTTACTTTTGTTGATTTCTTTTTTTGTGTGAGTCGACACCTTGGGACATTAGTAGAGTATTGCTGTCTACAGAACTCGTCATTGCGATATCTAGCTATCATGAAAAAGAGTCCCAAAGATTCTATGTCAAATCCACAAGCTACGGGCTGACAAGCTGAGATCAATGCGGATCGGGCTGGAGCGGAATATTTTTTGTCTCAGCGAGGACGAATGCACTTTGACCCCTTTGAGTATATGGCTTTTCGCGCATTAGAGCGATCATGCTCGTCACAATTGTTGTCGGAATGGGCGCGATGGATGCAAGATCTACAGAATAGTTCTTATGAGTTTGTCTGTCGGAAGGCAAAGGCTGCGCCACGATTGACGAACAGCGATATCGACAAGTACTACGAAAACCGTATTGTCACAAATCACGAGTTGGATATTCTTGAGACTTCGTCTAATCAAGTCATCGCAGCGGGTCGCAAACTAACGTCTATTTTGCAAAAGCGTCAAGGTAATGAAGAGAAATGGCAACTTTAAAAGTGTCAAATTCATGTGCCTAAATAGCAATGGAACTGAGATATATCAACAATTGACAAATAGCCTTCTCCAACGTTACCCGTAACTGATATAGATAACTCCGACAACTCCAACCTTCAACGTATGTCTAGTTCCTCCACAGAGATCTTAGTCAATCTTAGAAAAAAAAATAGAGCAAGGACATGGATGTTAGCTCTAGAGGAGACCAGTTCGATTTTTTGAATCGTTTGGCTGACTCTTTCTGTCACTCAATCTTCCATTATTATTACTATAGAGCCAACCTCTATACCAACAGCAGAATCATCATCATCAACATGTCGTGTTTCAGAGTACCCATTCATTGGAGAGACTGGTGAGGTGGAACACAGGGCTTCTCCTTCCTATCGCGCACTCGAGGGCATCAATGGACACAAGAAAAAACGACAGGCTGAAAGACGGAGATTTATCACTTTCGTTGTTTTCAAAATCATCAACGCCGCCGAAGGTAGGGTACTATCTTCATCTTTTTCTTTCTCACACTCTCTCTTTTGTACAACTGACTTATCAAGCCAAACATAGACGTTCTACCTCGATCCAGCCACCTTCGCACCTATGGCATACTCCATTGGGGTAGACAACATAGGCCAGGCTTTCCACAAGCTCCAGCTGTATGGAGTGGGACTAGCCAACGACGAAACAGTAAAGGCAACTATGGCAAACTTCCAGTGTTTTTTGTAAGTTCTCATTGACAATACTTGACACTAATTTAAGTGCAGGCATATGATCAGTAGCTAATTCTATTGCCCATGTTTTCGTCAGAGCAATAAATTACATTTGGGATACTTCGGCCGAAGTAGGTATACCGCAGACGACAATCATCACGATCCGATCTCTCTTCAATCAGCCCAGGTTCAACTTTTCCCCATCAAACAACCTCTTGCTCTGCTCCCTTGAGTCAGAACTCTCAGCAGGGAAAATCGAACAAGAAGCATCGAAGGACGACGTGGTTGCAGTGGACGTAATCGACATATTTCGATCAATGTACGTAAATCTAAACAATATATTTGATTATATTTGGAATTCTTCGATCCTCAATTCATTTTCCTTTTTTAGAATATTTCATCCTCTTCTTTTCTGGCCCGTAGGAAAAATGATCTCCCTCAAACATATTATCCATTCAGCGCTGATGAGGGAGAGGATAGCTTTGTACACAAAGCACTGCACGCAATGATCTCTACGGTATTCAGCGACTTTAAGAAGAAATGGGCAAACAAATCTGCCGAGGGATCCAAAGAGAGGCGCAAGGAGGATGACAGAGAAGGTCTTCGCCCCGATCTGCAGATCACTATCAACAACCAGATCGTTTTGTTCATGGAAGTAAAACCACCGTCGTGCGCTACCGAGCTGAAGTATTTAGCTGATCGATGGAAGCTGGCAAATTTAGCGAAAGACGAGCTAGATGCCAGCCTGCGCAAGCACATAAGACTTCCATTCGTCACCACAATCCAAGTTTTTGGTAAGCCACATTTCTAAGCGATATCACTTTTGTTCTTAGAACTGCATTCTAGATTGATTTACCATTCAATTTCTATAGGCCACAGGATGGAGATCCACACTGTCAGTCTTCAGAATGGACTTTATCATTTCCACCAACAATTCCAAATGTATGTTCCGCGTGCCCGCGATGACGCTGGACCTGTTCGGGCCTGTCTTCAAGCTCTATACAGTGTCAAGGTAACGAATGAATTATAAATCGCTGCATGTTTTGTAGTATGTAAACTCAATTGGTGTTTTATCTCTGACCACTACAGAGCTGGCTCCAAGATCTGCGCCTCCCACCAACCTTTGAACTTGTACAGTCGCGTCCTCGCCCAGCTGAACTCGATGATATCAAAAAGAGTAAAATTACACCGACTAAGCGTATAATGTTTTAACCCCCATCTTGGCGTCAACATTATTTGAAGAAACAAGTAAAAACCATAGCCGCTCTTTATTTTTTGCCACATTCAATTGCTCCGGCCATCATGTTGGTATTAGGGCGGCACCCTGGAACTAAATTTGCTCTACAGGTCTGGGAAAAAAAAACCCCAAATTCATCCGTTGGCTGTGTTTCAGAATTTTTTCACTTTGGAGGAATGTTGCTGCATTTAAAGCTTATTCACGCTTATCTATTTTCTACAATAAATACCTTCTCGCATACCACTGCTCCCGCAACCCGTAAGTCTAGTCAACTTACTCTTGATCCGCAGTAAACTTGACTTCCTGTGTTCAGGACGACATTTTTTTTTTGTTCTCGACTTGGTCATTTCTTCTTCTCTGTTCGTCTGAACCCGATGACAGGGTACCAGGAGCCTCTGGTTCAGATCCAGGTGTTCAGGGCGAGATTTTTTTTTTTGCGTTCTGATACCTGGCGATACGTTTATCAAATACCTAGCCAATCATCTTGAATGGAGCTTCACTCTGCTGTGGGTACCCTGCCTGAACCAGCAGCAGCCTGGACAAAGTGCCTGCAAAGGGTATATCCCAACCTACTAGCTAGACCCAGTAGTGGCGGCCAGCGCGGGGGAGGCATGAATTAGGATTGAGCGGAATGCACTCTCAGACATTTTCTTAGTGCATTATTAGCAGCCTAACACAGCACGGCGCAGCGCAGCACAACAGTGCAGAAGGAGGACCGGATTCAAATGCGCTGATACTACAATAGAAAAAGTCTGCATAGGATTACGATTGGCATAAAAGATAGGGATGAAGAAGGTAGACTTATATTATTATAATACAAAAGGCTAATGTACAAGGACCAAACGACTAAAATAATGAACAATAACGAATATACGGTCTAACAAACAGAATTGAAAAGGAGGACGAAATGCGCTCAGGCATTGCTGGAGGCATCTTCGCTTGCGGCTCGCACAATCTCTCGCTCGAAGCCACCCCGAACTGTGATACTGGTGGCTGCCTGAACGCCATTTCCGGCCGCTGTCGAGTTTTCTCTAGAAGAACGCAGGTCCTCCTCAGCGTTGACAGTATATTGGACTGCGTCAACCAAGCTCTTGGGAAGCATGGTCTCCAGCTCATTTACTGACACCGTGTTGAATCCAAGGTCCCCGAGGATTTCTGTGTCGGAGATGATGCTTAGCTCGTCCTGTTGAGGGATTTGAATCTCAACCATTGTCGTCTCCTGGCCTGTGGATCCCTGTCGCTTGCCCTTGTCGCTGTAAATATGCAGAAAAAAAAAGTCAACAAATGCTCCATATCAACACCATTACTGGTTTGTCCTTTCACATCAGTCCTTAGATAACTCACCTCCTTCTAGACTTTTGATCCGCACGGACACTTCGCATGACAGAGATGCTTGATTCGGAGTCTGAGCTCTGGCCAGTGTATCCAGGCATGCGCACAACCACAAACGGCAGCTGGACTTTTTCCTGTTCCTTTTCGAGCCTCCGCTGAGCTCGCTTATCCTTGCGTTCACGCCTCTCTCGCCGTTCTTGCTTTCGCCTGCGACGCGCTTCCTCTTCCTCTTCCTCCCCCTCCTGTTCCTCTTCCATACCATCTGCGCCGCTTGCTTCCACTTGACCCTCTGGTTGTCCTGATGAATGCCGATGAATTCGACGGCGTCGAGGACGGTCTGACTTCTGGCGCGTATCATCATTGTGGTCACTTGCCCCTAGAGGGCCGACATCGGTCATGGTCGGATCCTGATCGATCATCATAGCCCGGACACGCTTCTCCTCCTTTCGTTGTCGCCTACGCTCCTCCCTTTCCTCATCTTTAGCCTCTCTTCGCTTATTCCGTTTAACGAGATTCAAAACTTGCACGTGCTATGAGCATTGTAATTATTAACATTTAGTATCCAATCTTCAGTGTACATCCGTTCAACGAAACAGCGTGCAGTAACTTACTCGAGTAAGCTGGTCCTGCAATTTGGCTTGCTCCAAATTGTTCTGAAGCCTCATCGCATCAACTTCTCTCTATTGTTTTTCGCGTAGAAAAAGGCATTGTTAAGCAATAAATTCAACAGTAATTGTACAAATAAAGAAGTATTTCGATCTGCTGGATGCAAAAATGTACCTGCAATTTCTCAATCTCCATGTCGTCGTCCTCAGGCTCCTCGCTTTCATCGTCACCGCCATCACCTGGTCCTTGACCTTGCGCCAAGGCTGGTGCTGCCGTTTGACTTTCCGTGACTTCATGAATGACTGACGATTGTTCAATACCGACCCAATGGATGTCCTTATTGACGAACGAAATTATGTCCAACGCCTCAAGCACATTGAGAGCATCGTACACGCGGCGACGAATGTTCTAAGGATGTTATCGAAGACATGTAGCATGTTAGACCTCTTGTAGCTCGAGTTATCATCAGACCCCTGTTGAGGTTGTAACAGAATATATCAGAAACGTGTTTTTACTTCTTGACCATGAGCCTCTGGAAGTTCATCCACATTTTCACCCGCGTTACCACCAAAGAGATCATGAACAAGCTGCAGTTGCAAACATAGACATAAACAACAGTTAGAAATGCTCCTAATTTTGCGCACCAGACATATCAAAGACATCAGTGGAATTAAGGCGTATAACCTACCTCGTTGTACGATGTAGAACGCTTAGCCTCTACTTGTTCGCACACGCGTTGGGCGTAAATGCGGAGCCCTCTTCCAGCCAATGATTGGGGCCCTGTCTCAGCCTGGGCGTCGTCCTCGATTCTATTGGGGTTGTTAAATAAAGTCAGTCTATCATCTTCCGTACTTGATGGTGTGGGAGGGCGGTTCGGAAGGCTTAAGCAACATACCGGTCAAGAGCCTCACTGGATACTGGAAGTGAGGCGCGTCGAAGGCCACGTTTCTGTGCCGCAACCTTGCCCTTTTTGCTTTTGCATGCGGGTGCTTCGTCCCCGTGAACGCTGCCGGACATACTCTGCTTGCGACTGCTTGACGTTGAGGTCAAGGCACTCTGCCTCCCCTCCTCGCCAGCCTCTCCTTCTGCTCCGCCGTCGTTAGTGCCTGCCCTTGCTTTCCCAGCCCCATCGGCACCCTGCTCAACAGCGCTCCTCTGCGTGTTTCGGGAGTGAGGCATCGTCTTGGTACCGAGCGATAGCCTCAAATCGATAGCGCCGAGCTTTTGCTTCTTGATTTGACCTTGTAGAATGCTGTCATCTTCGTACTCATCCTCGTCCTCACATTCGCCCTTGCGTGCATCCTCTGGTTCAGAGCAGCGCTCCATGTCGTGTTCCTCATGATCATACTTGCCTCGGAGAGTACTGGCGATAGTATGTCGAAGACTGTTGGGCTCCCGATAGTCGAGTGGGGACTCTGCAAAATATGAATCAGACGAGGACTGGCGCAGGATGGACATTGGCACGTGCGCAGATACTGATCGTGGAGTGGCAGGCGATATCCGACTGTCAGCGCTGCGAATGCTCTGCGAATGGCTTAATCCGCTCTGCAGAGAGAGCGGTGGACAGTCGCGCGATACGCCGTCGCTCCATCTTGTACGGATTGGTGGCGGTATCCTAGTTTGAGGCGACTTCTGTTGCTCAGAAGGATCAAGGTGCGGCCTCTCTGCTTGCTTTAATAAAAAGTGGTGTTCCTTAGGGTTCCCATGGGAGGGCCCTTGGCTGTGATAGTTTGGCAACTGCCCATGCGATGGCTGATGGTGTGTCTGCTGATGTTCACGATGAGGGCGATGGTGCGACAGCTGGAGCGGACGATAATGATCTCGATGCAGCCTTTGAGAGGGCGTCATAGGATACGAGTACTCGGGCAGGTTACTACTGATGTTGCTATGATTGACGCTGTCGCTGGCGCTGCTGGAGTTGCTGCCTAAGCTAGAAGATGCCTCGCTTGCGGAGTGAGATGAGGATGACGCCGGAGGGTAGGTGGACTGGTGCAGAGGACGATAAGAGGAAGGTTGGACGAAGGAAGATGAGCTAGACGACTGGCGGCGGCGTGCGTCCTGATCATAGGTCGATGTCCTGGAGAGGGTGCGGGGAAACGAGTCTGCTGGCAGTGACGACGAGTAAGAGTAATGCTGGTGATTATTGAGAGGGAAGTGGGAGTAGGAAGCAGGCACATGCTGTTGATGGTGCTGGTGCGGGTGCTGGTGCGGGTGCGATGGAGGGTGGACGTGTTGGTGGCTGTGCTGATGTTGCTGCTGTGGGTGGTAGTACCTTGAGGAGGTTTCGCCTGTGGAGGAAGACGGATCCGTTGCAGCGACGGACGCAGGGTGGAGGAAGACGGGCGGCGGATGAGGGTCAGGATGATGGTGGTGATGATGGTGATATTGCGAGGGTGGATGCGGGGATGTGAGGCTGGCGCCTGGGGAGTTGATTGAGCGTGGGTCCTGGTGCTGGTTCGTGGCGGAGACTGCGGTTGCGGTCCGCAGCGAAAGTGGAGTCGAAGGGGTAGCAACCGAGGACGAGGAGGGGGTGGGGGCAGCCATGCCGATTTGTTATCTTGAGTGTGTCTCTGCTCGTTAGTATACTGATCAGCCCAATTACACCGAGACCCGTCTTGTCCTGTAGGGGGGTCAAAGTCTCGCCGTCGCGCTATGTTGTGTCCAGACAAGGTGCAGATATAGGAATAAGAAGCAAGGGCTGCGGATGAGAAGGACTGAGTGAAGAACAGGCAGCAAGAGAATGTGTTTTGTCTGTCTGCTTAGGGTTGGGTCGGAGGGGCGGACAAGGGGAGGAACAGACGAGTGTGGGTTTTCTTCTTATTTTTTTTAGGGTGAAGAGAGGAAGAGGGCTGTTTGAACTAGTGTGTGGGCACTGGTTAAGGTATGGGGTAGAATGAAACAGGGTAAGAGAGCGAGTGAGATAGGCAGCTAGTGCAGGGTATGCTCACCAGTAATGGGGGTTCATGTCCGACAGCCGTCCTGTAACGAATGTCAAATGAACACGGGAGAGAAAGCCTAGGAGCAGAGGAATAGAGACTGGTTCGAACCAGAAGGCTGTCGACAGGCAACGGTCAAGAGGAGAAGGGGATGAAAGGATAGGTACGAGAGAGATACAAGGGGAGAGAGAAGACGGAGAGAGGAGACGGAGAGGGACAGGCACAGCAGTCGATGATTGGGATAGAGGGGTAGAAAGTGTGTGAGAGAGAGCCATACACTCCACACGCGCGGAGGAAAAGAAAAAAAACTGTCTGCTCTGGCAGGGGTGGTCAGGATGGCAGTGATCGGGGAAGGGGAAGGGGAAGGGGAAGGGGGAAAGGAGGTGCGGGTTGTACACCATATCATATGGGGAATAGTCTATGAAGGATAGATTACTATAAAGAAACATGGTAGCGAGACGACCGAAGCAAGCGAGCTAGGGTCGAAAAGGGCCGAGTCCCTCTTTTGGAGATTCGTCCCATTCGACAAGGAATTGAATGAACTAATCATTCATCTCTCATTCCACACCTTCCTTCTCAGAAGGCCAGAAGAAGAAAAATAAAAAAGAAAGAATGATCAAGGGGAAGAAGGGGCGGGACAAAAAGAAAAGAACTTATGCTTGTGTGCTCAAGCTTGTTGCTTGTGCTTGTGAAGCGTATGCGGTGTGTGTGCGGTGTGTATGTGGTGTGATGTGCATGCATTGTGGGATGTGCTGAATATCATAGGCACTGCATGCGATGCGTGTGTGGGATGTATGCAGGATGGATGGATGTACCTGCAACATGCACGAATTGCAGAAAAAAAACAACAACGAGATGTGTATCCGTAGGTGTGTGTGATGGAAAGAAAAAGTGTTCGGTCTGCCTAGGATCGTGAGGATAGCAGGGTCGTTGATAGAGATACTCAGTCCCTTGAACCATCACTTGCAATCGCATATCCATTCATCTTTCCTATTCTCTTTTCTCCTCTCTATCTACCTTCTTGCTCTCTCGGTGCTACGTCTCTCACACTTACTCGCTCTCATTCTACCTACTCTTGAAACATTTTCAATGTACTAAAGTGCATATGGACCGGAGAATTTTTCGTTCCAAGGAAATAGGCTGGATGGAGTGTGGATGGATGACAAAGCGACCGACGGGAAGAAGGACCGAAGTATAAGAGAGAGCCGTGGGATGCAGGAGCGGGTTATCGCCCTGACTGAATACTAGGCTGCCTATGGCGAGCATAGCATCTTTTGTTGCTGTTACCTGTCTTCGTACTCTCCTGTGATGTCTTGGATGTGTGTGCGTGCGTTATCAGCAGCTACTTGACTGGAACAAAAGGTAAAACACGGCACAAAAAAATAAAATAAAAAAACAAGCCAGCCGGCAGAGTGATGTTGAGGGAGCGGAGTGCGTGCTGGATAAATGGAAAGGAAGAAGGAGAGAAAAAAAAAAAAAAAGAAGCGCAAGGTGGGATGGGAAGGAAAGAGGCGGAAATATATATCGATGGACCATTGGCATGCGACATGCTGGTAAAAAAAACCCGTATACAACACGCAGTACGTTAAAAAGTAACGGGCAAGAAAACATAAACAAACCATGAGATGTTACGATAGGGCTGGACAGACCAGGTTCTTCGAGATATACCTTCCTGGTCTAACCAATGCAGTACACAGCGCCATATCTTGCGCACTTGCCATAGAATGTTTAGTGCAATATGTATTTCATCAGGTAACATAAAAAGAGGCGAGGACTTTTTTTTTTTTTTTTTTTGTGAAGCGCCCTAGTGCGGGACGCGAAAGAGGGATGAAAAGGGAAGGGAGGGGGAGGGAAGGGAGAGGAGGCAGGGACTGGGACGGACGCAATTGCCTAAACCCGCGCTCTGTTGTTCTGCACATGTTTCCTTTTCTCTTCTTACTTGGATAGCCTTCCCCAACCTGGTGCAGGATCATGACTCAGACTGGGCATGTGGTTTAGATACAAGGCCGTGGTGAATAAGATTGTCTGGGGCCGCAAACGTTTCAGCGCCGTACGGAGCCGGCTTCCTTCCTTGTATTTACGTTCGCAGATTGATAAATTATATAAGGTGGCGGGGCGAAACTCAATGTTTGTCCCAATTATCCCATTGCCGCACGGATGTCTGCTTTAATGCATCTCGGGTTCTCGCGTCGTGCGTTCGAAGGAAATATATATTTCTATATACAAACACTCTGAGTACTTGCTCATATGCAGTGTTGATCCCTGCAAATGTGGCGATGTGCAAAACGCGTCGCGTACAGTGAATCGCATTTCAGGTACACGCGCATATTGCTTGCGAATCTAAAACTCCAATCACTTTAACCGCCAGTCGAAGGGAACTTTACCTCTCCGCTTCGCGCAAACATTTGTCTCTCAGAGCACACTGGCAGTGCCGCAGATACCGCGTATACAAACATGTTATATGAGAGGATTCAGGTACACAATCATATCTGTATGCTGTGCCTGAAGTCGTGCTCTTCATAAAGTTGTGCGGAATGCAGACTATATTATTGGGGCTCACTCGCGTATTCACACTTTCGGAGGTTGACCCCAGGGCTGGCGGCCTATGAAAGTGCTCTTTATTTCCTTTATCACAAAAAAAAAAACACGAGTGCATAAGTGCACAAGTGTGGGCATAGCCAAGGATGCCGACAGATGGACGGGGCGAGGGGCTAAGGTTCACTCGCCCATTTTCATTGCGCCCTCCTCAATAAATGGAGCCATGCGACGCTAGTCGGGCAATCTACTTGGTCTCTCAAGCCCACAATTAGGATCACATCGCCCATTCCTTCCTCCTGTCTCCACTCCATCGCACATTCACATCCCTCTCCCTCTGACCACTCCTCAGCCTTTTAATAATCCACCCGTGAGCTACCAACGATTCCAGCCAACAGCAAGGGTACAGCAATCGTTCATTTATGAAGACAAAGAAATGTGTACAGTCAACGATGGCAACTAACGATCTTCAAAAGGATCTCTAGCAGCAATGACCACCGCACAAACCACGGCCTCAGACACATCTCTCCGCTTCCTTCTCCTCGGTGATGTGGGAGTGGGAAAGAGTGCTTTCATCGACACATTTGTCTCGACTCTTTCCAACGTCCAGTCGAACGAAATGCTCGAGGAATTTATTCCCCTACCAAAGACGTCCTATTCCGCCTCAGCATCCACTAGCCAATCGTCTATCCGCCTACCAGCTATCCGCGTCCAGACCGCGCCTACACTTCAGGAACATCAGGACGCCCAACACACCCAATTACATGATCCTCTGGGTCTTCTGCCGCACAAAGTCGAGGTGCCCGCTAGAGAAGTGACTTTTGTTACTCTGCCTGGTTATTCTTCCACGCTCAACCCGTCGACCGTGCTGTCCATGACGGACGACTACCTGAACCATCACCTTCATACGACCAACGCCGTCTTTTCGCCCACAATTTCCTCCGCACAGTTGGCATGGTTCCTGATAACCGGCTCCGGCATACATTCACTTCCCACCTGTGCGTTTTACTTTGTACTCTATGAATTGAAACCAGTAGACATCCTCTATATGAAGCTAATCCACGAGCGCGTCAACTTGGTACCTATTATCACAAAGGCTGACACACTGTCGCAAAAGGAACTCTGGGTTCTCAAGAAGAGGATGATTCGACAGCTCAAGTTGAATGGGGTCAACTTTCACACCTTTGGCATGGACCTGGCGACAGTTGAAGAGATGGCTGAGCAGCGTCAATGGGGTGCAGCGCCCTTTGTGGTCAGCACACGCCGTGATCAGGGTGGTGATCTGTTTAGGAGCGAGCTGGAATCTCTGGTCAACATGTGTCTTTACAAGCGGTTCCGGCAGTCGCAGGAAGATGCGACCCACAAGGTTATTGCCTGGAGGTAATAGCCGACCATGGCGTAAGCACCATTCTACAATGACAGAAGAGATCAACCCATTTATTCTAAAGCAAATCTGATGCTCCCTCTTAGAAAAGCATTTGGTCCTTCCGAAGTGCCTGCGACGACCGCTGCGGAAAAGATTTGGGGTGAGCGGGCCATTGCCCATGGCCTTAGCGAAACATTGCCTGCCGATGCACGTCCTACGGACCTCCAACAGACGACTTCACCGCCACTGGAGGCTCAATTGATGAGTCAGTACGCTGACCACTCTGCCAATGGATTCACGCCTCCGCCGCCTCAGAATCATGTCGTAGTTCCGACCAACTACGTTCCAGCGCTGCCACCGTCCTCGACCGGATTCAACAATGTCTTCGGAACGTCTATTAGCTATTCAGGCATGGCATCCTCGACAAATTTGACACCTGGAGCTGCATTAGCTTCGATTGCTTCGCCGAAGCCGTCTATCTTAAATTCCACCTCTGCGTATGTTCCTACAACAGCTTACTCTCCTCCTCCGCGATCTCCAACAGCCAACTCTGCTACTCAGGCACGCTTGACCCTGATACATCAGTCCACGGGCATGGCTGTGGACAGCTCCACGCGACCTAATGAAATCATGGACGAAAACAACGTGAATACTGTTCATACACAGGCGCAAGGCTTGTTTATGGAGTCGTACTTTACACCTCTACCAGGTACAGGAGACAACAGTATTGTATCGCCGAATATCAGCGATCAGGGGTAAGTTGCCCATAACTCTGGCCTTATGCACCTACTTTGCTGTAATACAGATTGTATGGTTTCCCTCATGCTAGCTTACGCCACCATTTTAGATCCGAAGTCAAAGTTGAGGTTCCTAACTCGGTATCATCTTACCAAGTATCGCAAGCATCGGCCACTCAGACATTGATTGACCTAGGTATCGAGCCACAGAATCATGGGTCTTTCATTCTGCCAAATACCTATCAATCTCCAGGCGCGTTCTTCATCCCGCCGTCTGACTTATACCAGGCGACGATCCTGTCCACGGGCACCGGTGAGATCCTGCCTGATATCTGGGAGGCTGTCGAATTGGGCGATCTGGCGACTGTAAAGCGCCATCTGATCAGTGGAGTGTCACCCGATCAACGCAATAGTTCTCGCTCGACACTACTCCATCGGACGGCGTGGCAAGGTAGCAAGCCATTTGCAGTGATGCACCTCTTGATCTCTTACGGTGCGAACGTGAACCTAACAAACGAGAACGGGAACACTGTGCTGCAGAACGTGCTTATGAAGCATGACGATCCCTCACTGGTCAAGCTGCTTCTCGATAATGGCGCCGAGTCGACAATCCCTAACAAAGAAGGGATGAATACTCTGGAGGTTGCAGCCTTATTCAACAAGATTGAGTCTGCAAGATACCTTCTCGAGAATGATCTGTCGTCCTCTGAGCCAGAGAGTGTCCTCAATGCGCTCCAGAGAGCGCGCAGCCCAGATAAAAAGGCCATAAAGACATTGCTTAAGAGCTGGCAGGGCAAGGAAGGCGAGATAAAGCGAGTGGAACTGACGAAGCGCCTGCGCGGACAGGACCTGCATACCCATCATACCAACCAGAGTCAGGTCCATATATATGAGAGAAGCCTGAGTCAACTCCAGAACCAGAGCCAGACGCTGATCCCCGATGCCGCCAGTGTGCATAGTTTTGACACGAACAAAGGTGGCGACGGAAAGTAAGTAGCACTCTTTTATCTCAAACAGGCCTGGAGATTATTTTTTTGACTTATATTTCTTACTATATACTATTCAGTGCGGGGTCGAGTAAAGCGAGCTCATTGAACCATGAAGGTAGAATGATTAACGCGACCGATATTCGAAAGTGGGAAATAAGACGATCTCTTTACTGATTGACCATGTGCAACGCTAGGTCACGAGTTGGGTCCATCCACAGGTTCATCGTCTACGACTTCCAGTAACCAAGGAAACCAGGCAAAACATATGAGTCGGTTCAATCTTAAGACCATGCGCGCTGCCGCCCCCTCGATGACCAATCTTTTTAACCGCAAGTAGCGACAGCATGCTTTGACGCATTCACACTTTATTTATTCCTTTAACGACCTCACGAGCGTCTTGGCGAGCAACACAATGGCAGACAGGAAAATAAAAGATGAGCGATGTTGTACACGCGCTTGCCTATGATTTACGGGATACTAACATAGCGCAGACGACGTCTTTCTTTGTGCGCAAGCAAGCTGAGAGCGTGGAGCAGAAGCGCGTTAGGAATGCCATGAGGTCAGGTGGTATTTTCGTGTTGGCACATCTGAAATAAAAAAACGTGCCCTGGGACTTACAAGTAGATGATAAGGCCGACCACAGGACAGAGAAAGATGAGGAGAGACCAGAGAACCTTTGAGGACAAGGGGCGGTTTGAGTTGACGACCTGAACCACCGCCACGAGATCCAGAACGAGAATCAGGACACTGGCGAGCGATCCCGAGTAATACACTCCAGGGATATCCAGGGAAGACATGGTTATGGTTGGTGGTTGTCTGATATAATGGAATGGCTCTTTTTGCTGTATAAGGGTGTCTCAAAGGGTGCTGTCTACTGACGAATGAAGAAAACAGACAGTTGGAATGAGGAGTGAAGAATGAGGAGAGAAGAAAAAAAAAAAAAAGAAGAGATTCGCACAAGGTGGAGTGCCAAGAAATATGAAGTCCTCAGCGCGTCTGCACAAAGGTCAGTTTCGATGGCATGACATGGTTTGTGCACAGGGGAGAGGATGTGCCTCTCAGCGCGTTGCCAGATTGAGACACAGTATTGGAGACCCTCTGCTATGATAGGGCTATTGGTACCCATGGAGGAGAACGCAGAGCGTGTCGCGACACGTGTTGGCCGATGAACAGGTGGGTAGTGGAAAGAGATGTTACCGGGTGATGGCGCCCTAACGGGCGCTTGTAGGACCCTGGGACCTACAATAGAAAATGGGTTTGTGTGACATGCGTGGATGTAGAACTGCAAGCAGTTGTACAAAAGCGAACACACCAAACCACCTTTACGGCTTGAACAAATCAGCCAGGCGTGTCGATTACAGTGGATGATGCCATTGAAACGGCGGACGAATACAGCCCTCTTCAAGCTGGGTTCTTTAAGGACATCTTGGGATCTTCAGGAACATGTGTGATCCCCAGGCGGAAGCGATCAACATCAACACATTAATCTCGGACGAAATAGTGCAAGCTGAAGCGCAATTGATCTGCAGACCCTTTATCATAAGGCCGAAAAGGCGGTTCGGTATGCTCGTTTTTGTTCAATTGCTCGGTGATGTTTCGGTATCTCCTATGCCCATGTAATCTCCAAGTAATCTTGAGATTGTAGGTTTCTGCAAGTAAGACCAACAGCTCATCTTCCTTCTCCTCCCACGTGTAGCGTCCATTTATCTTGCACACACACTCTCTCTCACACATTCTTTTCCCTCTTCTCTCCCTTGTTTCCTCGTCTCCTCTTTCCACCGGTCTCCGTCCCTCACCTTACTTTCTATCCAGTCTTCGGCTCAGAATCGTCTTGACTTGTACATCTCCTCATCGAATCGTCTGCAATCAACCAATGACAATGAGCACCAGTTCAGGTCAGTCAGTTAGTCAGTCAGTTAGTCAGTCAGTTAGTCAGTCAGTTAGTCAGTCCAGCGAAACGCACCAAGCTAAACTTACATCTTACTATCTTTTCTTATCAATGCTTACAACCTCCCTCTAGGCTCCCGTATTGCCTGCGTGGTATGTTACAGCCTTGTTTATCATTGACAGCATCACGACTCGGAAAAGATACTGAACTGACCGATTTTTATTTCCTCTACCAATAAACAGACTGTTGGACTTCCCGCAACTGGCAAAACCCTGATCTCACAAAAAGGTACGGCCCGAGCCTAACGGCGAATGACAGCGGACGTGCTTCCATGTAGAAACGGCATACAGACAGACTCATCTGCTGGTGTAGCAAAACCTCGCTTCGACTGGTACCGCATGCGTGCCCTGTCTCGTCTTGTGCTCCTGAGTGTTGAATTTTGAGTAACGACGATTGTCTTGAGCTGTAGACTATCTTCATGGCTAAGTTCTTAGAGTTCCCAGGAATATAGAGAAGCTGAGTGTTGATCTAACATCTGCTCGCCCAACTCACCCGGGATTCACTACTCGTTCAGGACAGGATAGCGGAGTAATGGCGTGCTTTTATTATGGTCCCTGGACTAACGTCTGACACATTATACTGCTGACCCATTATAGTCTGCCGATATCTCCAATGGCTTGGTATCACGACCAAAATTTTCAACGTCGGCAACTATCGCCGAAAGCTTCATGGAGCGCACCAGCTACACAACTTCTTTGACCCGACCAATCCTGATGGCGAGCGTTCCCGTCGCGAGGCTGCTGTCGAAGCATTGAACGATATGATTTACTGGTTTAAGAAGGAACAGGGCGTCGTTGCGCTATATGACGCCACTAATTCGACTCGATCCAGAAGGGACATGCTTTTGGCTGCCTGCAAAAAGCATGATATTCAAGTCATGTTCATCGAGTCTATCTGTGAGGACGAAGCCCTGGTGTTGCATAACATCATGTCTGTCAAGCTGTCGTCGCCGGATTACCAGGACATGGACCCTGAGCAAGCCGTTGAGGATTTCAAAGCAAGAATCGTGCACTACAAGGAGGCATACGAGACTATCACGGAGGAGAATCTGACCTATATCAAGTTGATCAACGTGGGCAGCCAGGTTATCATTAACCACATTCAGGGATATCTCCAGTCCAGGATCGTCTACTACCTCATGAACCTGCACATCGCTCCCAGGAGTATTTTTTTCAGTCGGGTACGCTATTCTATCCGCATTCCTTCTCGTCAATGTGATCAATTGTACTTTTTGAATGTGCTTTTTACTCATGCTGGATCCTATCATCTCTTACTTCTCATTGCGATCAATAGCATGGAGAGTCTCTGTACAACGTGATGGGCAAACTTGGTGGCGATTCGGATTTGAGTGCGCGTGGCAAGCAGTATGCCAAATCACTGCCGCTGTTGATCGCCACCCACCTCGGCAACTCTGACCAGTTGACGGTATGCTTCGATACTACTTATTTTCTGCGCAGCAAAGTGACCCTCACGGATCAGAAACTAACAGGTAGCATCTCTATTACAACCTGTAGGTGTGGACCTCGACTATGAAGAGAACAATTGCAACGGCGGAGCATTTGACATATCCCAAGCTTGCATGGAAGGCATTGGACGAGTTGGATGCTGGTGTTTGCGATGGCATGACATATGAAGAGATCGAGGTATGATTCTCGCACTCATTGCTGCTGCGCGAGTGTATTTGGACCACTATAACGACATAGACTAAGGAGCCCTTTCTTTCAAACATAGGAACAATACCCAGAGGACTTTGCCAACAGAGATGAGGACAAGTTCAATTATAGATATCGAGGTGGCGAGTCCTACCGCGATGTCGTTCTACGACTGGAGCCTGTCATCATGGAGTTGGAACGACAGCGCAACATCCTTATCATTGGACATCAGGCGATCTTGCGATGCATCTACGCCTACTTCATGAACCACTCCCATGAAAAATTACCATACATCAAGATTCCGCTCCATACGGTCATCCAGCTTACACCTCGAGCATACGCATGTGATGAGAAGCGATTCAAGGTCGATATCGAGGCTGTGGATACGCACCGACCCAAGCCCAAAACTGGCGCAGTCAAGTCGCCTGCAGATGCCGCTGTAGATACGCCTGTCGAGGCAACGGCTCTAGATGCCGTGCAGCATCCGATCGGAGAAGGAGAGAAGGATATCGGTGCTACCATCACGACAACCTCGATGTCGACGACTACCTTCAAAGACATCGCATTCCAACGCAGCAAGAGTATTCACCGGTCTTCCAAGGACGCCGGCACCAATGCAGACTCGACCAATAGACAGGCTAAGGTGCTGCAATCTGCACTCGTTGATGCCGCAATAGCCGACTCGTCTGCCAACCCGGCTGTCGCACTGCCGTTGGACCAGATAAACACGCCAGGTGCAGATCCAAAGGATATGCCTAAGAACAACCTCGATGGTGCGTTTACACCTCCCACAAGTTCACAGCCAGATGGTACATCAGGTGGCGAGTCGCAGTCATACTTCACAGAGGTCAAGAATGATGGGTCAGCGTACGCAGCAGAGCCAAACCTCTCCATAAAGACCAAGGACTTGATATCGACTCCTCCAATGGCTCGTCTTAAGAGTGACGCCCTTAATCCGGCCTCAGCCTGGCAAGAGGGGCCCGAGTACGAGCTGACTGCAGGAGCGAGTCCTCGTGATCCTGTGATGAGCCCAGGAGGACGTCTCTTACCAAAGAAGCAGGACAACTATCACTTTCCTGTAAGTTTCAGTTCTTTACTGATGGCAGCGTCCATACTTTGACTACCACAGTCATTTTTGAATGGTCCTGATCAATTCTAATTGCTTTATGATCTTAGTAAATCGGATGCCGTATATCCCGGGACATGTGAAGCAATGATTCATAGATGCAGACGTGCAGTAGTCAAAGATGTTGATTTTCAAATGTAACAGTAAACAGCTGGTCCCACCTTTCTTTGAACGAAACCACATAACGGATACGATAGGTCTGCACTTTATAAAAGTCGTTTTGATGACAGGGCATCGCGGAACATGGAATAGAGAAGATCATATAAATTATCATCCAAGGTGGCCCTCGTTACTGGGGTGGGCTGGCCTGCGACGCCTGGGGATCCCTCGCTAAGAATATTCTTGCCATGCACAGCACGGCGCCTATCTGCAAACTTCTTACCCTTACTCCTATAGATTAGACACAGCTTAAGTCGTCTGTTCCCATCAATTAAAGTGCGCGCCATTTTTTCTAAATCGCAAACCCAACTGAATCCTTGAACAAAGAGATGCGGAATAATCGAAGGCTCCATGCGCTGCACCAAAGGATCGGATGGCTATATAAGAGAGCTTCAATTTCCTTCCTGCATCCCCACAACTCGGTACTTCGATCTGGTGCTCATATCGTCCGCTTTCACTTTATTCCACATTTTATAATCTCGCTATCAGAAGTGCTTGCTACATTTACATAAATGAAGATTTCGACAATCTGTATCCTCTCTGTAGGGTTGTCGCTAGTGATTCTGAGTGATGCTGCCAGACATAAGGAGCACCACCACAGCCACCGCCAAAACTCTCAGCAACACCACATAGTGGCCAACTCTCAGAAGTATCAACATCAGCAGCAGCAGCAGCAGCAGCAGCAGCGGTACCATCACCACCATCACAGCCAGCAGGTACACTCGCATGGTCATCACAATGCGCCTGCTGAGGTCCCCAGTAGGCCATTTGGTGATTATGATAGTCAGAAAACACATGAGTCAGGTACGTTATGTTCAAAGGGATAGCTTTGCGCTAATGTACCGAAACAGTCGCGTATTGTTTGTCTAACTTGGGTTGAATTCCATTCTTTGCCGCCGCATATTTAGATCATCCAATGGATGATAAAACGCTCAGCGACAAGAAGCACAACGAAGAACGCGGGAAGGGCCACAAGAAGGATCACGATAAGGGACATGAAATAGGAAAGGCTCCAAAAGAACTGAGTAAGGACATTGAGAGCTCTTCATCACTGCTACCAAATCCCAGCGTACACAGCAAGACGCATGTGGAGGTCCCTCGTCGGAAGGAAAAGATGGTGGTCGCCTACTGGACAGACTGGACCTCATCCGTGATGCCGCCTGAAGCCATCCCCTTTGATAAGGTCACGCATGTGAACTATGCGTTTTCGATCGTCACTCCAGACTTTCGCCCAGTGTTCGAGACTGAATACCTGTTGAATCGCGTTGTCCGAGCAGCCCATGCCAAGAACGTCAAGGTGCTCATGTCCATCGGCGGATGGACCGGCTCACAGTACTTCAGTCCTCTTGCAGCATCAAAGCAGGGGCGAAGGACGTTCATCGATGGTGCGATCAAGATGGTGAAGGATTCGAACCTCGATGGAATTGATATCGACTGGTAAAAGTAGCTTCGTTACCACTGGGTCAATAGGACTTTGCTTTATCTTAGACACACTACTAATCCATTGATGATGTGGTCCTATTAGGGAATATCCTGGCCGTTTAGGAAGCTCGTGTAATATCTTTGACCAGCAGAACGACACCAAGAACTTTTTGACGTTGCTGCGAGAGCTGCGTCAGGCTCTCAACGCACTTCCGAATGGCAATCAGCTTGAGATCTCCTTGGCAACGCGCATTGTTCCATTTGACGGGTCAGATGGCATCCTGAAGGATGTAAGCGAGTTCAGCAAGGTGGTGGACTTCATTAATGTCATGGCCTATGACATTAACGGTTCTTGGGGAGATGTAACAGGCGCGAACGCTCCTCTCATCGGTAAGGACGAGCTGACGTATGAAGGAGGTGCGCAGGCCTGGATCAATGCTGGCTTCCCAGCTCAGCGAATCAATATGGGGATTCCCTTTTACGGCCGATCCTTGATCACTAAGACAGATATGACCCAGACGCAGTCGATGGCGGCGCCATTCCACAAGAAAGTGCCCGCAGGAGACAGGGATGACGGTCTCTGGACAGATCCCTGCGAGAAGGTGGCAGCATATTCTGGCGTGTGGAAGTTTAAGAACATGAGGGAGCAGGGACTGATTGGCCAAGATGGCCAGGCAAGATCACCATGGGTACGCAAGTTTGATCCAGAGACGAGGACGCCATGGCTGTTCAACCCGGAGACGAAGCAGTTTATTAGCTATGATGACAAGGAGAGCCTGAAGCTAAAGGTCGACTATGCAAAGCAGAAGGATCTCGGAGGAGTGATGCTCTGGGCTCTGAACCAGGACTCAACGGACTTTGAGCTGCTGGATGTGTTGCAGGAGGTTCGCCGCTGAGCCAGTGTTGAATCGTATACCCTTCTTTACACAAAGAGTAGATTGCAATAATAGATTGAGTTGAATAGTTGTATGGCAAAAAACGTGAGTTGCCCTGAGCGTACGGATGCATGGTGGCCAGCATGAGCAAGGGTCTGAAAGGATTACACTTTGAACTGAAGTGATCAATAGCACATTTTAGGTTGGACACCGATCAATTTTCCTTTCCGTTCCTGAATTCCTCCTTCCTCATCGCCCACTCACCGCTCCGACATGGCAACAAAGACGATGGCAAGACGGGCAGCCCCTGTCCTGACAACGCCATCTTTCAGCCTAATACGACGAGCTCACAGCCCACTTTATCACAGGCTTTCGAATACTACAGCCGCATTTAGTGTCGCTCAAAGGAGTCTTGCCACTACGAACGAGGCACATGCGGCCGTGCTGCAAGACCAGGAACAACAACAACAACAGCAGCAGCGAGCAACATCCCTCTACAGCTTCCACGATGTGTCAGAGCGAGATACCCTGTTGTCCGAGATGAGGCACCACCATGTATCCTGGACCACGATTAGCGATCACTTCGGTATCAGCCTCGCGGATGCATTCATGACCTACATCGGCGCTGCTTCCAAGGCTTATACGCACGGTTGGTCGCCCAGGATGACTGCACAGGACATTGAGCATTATCTCACACGACGAAAATGACAGAAGAGACACGCGCTAGACACTTGTAGAGATGAACATTCAAAACAGATAAACGACCATTGGCATCCCCTGGTTTTTTGGCAGCACATGCTTGGCAGACGCCCTCCCTATTTTCCTATCCGAGTTCGTGAAGCAATTGCATGAGTAATGATGCTACTGCTAACGATATCAACGACGACAGTGCGAGGATAAGTAAGGGTGATTCTGACTGACGATTCTTCATAGCACCCGCACAATGAGGGGTACAAAAAGCAGTTTTGCCACACAGCATCCTTTGCTTAACTCAATTGAGGTGTTCGTGCTTCCACTCTTTCCCTCTCACACCCCACACTCTGACTCATCAGGAATCCCATCGTCTCAGGCATCCTCTTCTCTCCTCTCTTTTCGCCCTACTTCCCTTCGGCTCCAAACAGATCGCGGTTCACTAGACAGTGTCGGAACAAAGAGCTCTTACAGCAACCATGGCAGTCCTACCCATCGTTGCCGGAACTCTGGCATTGATTGTGCTCGTGGCAGGGTTGCTCAATTACTTTGGCAACAGGGTTGAGCATGCCTGGTATGTGAGTCTCATCGCCTACATCAGCTGGTTCTTCCCCTTCTCCATCGTTGTCCTCGTTCCTGTGGACCTTTCCTCCGTAAGTAGGAGATCGCACGACAGCTGCTTTTTTTCCGTTCTGAGCTGCCTCCAGGGAACGACAAACTCAAACGCAAGGAATATTTCTTCGATTGGTGATAGACCTTGGCGCGGGAATGCGAGGGCGAGGACATGTGCAAGGAGCCCTTCATGTACGTCTCGAGCGAGTTCCTTATAGCAGCATGGAGGACCATTTACTGGTGCAGTTTTGCGCTGACATGGTACGTATTCATCGTCTTCTACATTGAGCAAAACCATAAACAAGGCATTTGTCCATTCGGCACTCTCTGTTTGTTTGGTCCAACATCGTCATGCGGCTATTTGTTCGAAAGCAAGTCTGAACGAATGCATGCAAGCATGATATGGCTCCTACTCACATCGCTTACTCGAATTATTCAATGCAGGGTGATGATTCCATTGCTGCAAGCATACACGCAGTCAGGAGAATTCACGGTCATAAAGCGTATTCGTCATGCAGTTCGATACAATATCATCTACCAGCTCATTATCGGATCTGTGGCGCTTTTGGGCTTGGTCTATGTTTGGTACTCGCAAGGAAGCAGCAATCTACGTGCGTACGTGATGGCATTGAGCAACAGCTGGGGCCTGGTTCTAGTCGTCATATTCATGGGATATGGTATGGTGGACGTACCCAGGAGGCTGTGGCATAAAGGAGACAACGCGCGCGAGCTCCGGAGAATTGGCTTCAAGGCGAGTGTGGTCAAGGACAAGAAGCAGGACACAGAAGACGAGGTCCTCAATGTGGCCAAGGTGAGCAGCTGCATCCGGAAGCGTGGGGAGTCGTCACGGGAGACCCTTGGGCTTTATCCTCATGACTCTCAATTCAAGGTTTGTTACCAAAAAATATTCTGACTGACTTCATATTGGCGCCCGTTTTAGGAACTGTCGGTAGTCTGTCATAAGGTTCAACTTTCAGATCCCCTTCGACCATATATTGATCGGATGGTTGAGGACTTTCCGGCGGTACGAGGTGTTCAATTCGAGTCGAATAGGACTACCTCGCCTATCTCCTCTTCACAAGGGCAAAGATCGGATCCTGTGAGTACTGCGAGCGGAGCGACACTGAGCGTCCCAAGGGTTTCAGGAGGAGCAGGCGGACGGAAATACTCTCTGGAATCGCTTGTACCAGCGGTTATCACAGAAAAATACCTGGCAGATTTGAACGCCAGGATCAAAAGAGCACTGCGGATGAAGGATCGTTGGACAGCGTAGGTGACAGAAACGAAAATAGATGCGCAGTCGGAAAATGCAAATTGATGAGGTCGCTGACAGATGAAATTTCTTTGCACTTTTGTTTATTATGAATAGAATCTGGCACGACCTGTTGAAAGCTGGATTCTTGGCCCAGGATATTCAGGAGAATGCAGATAATCCTGAAAAGTAAGCTGGCACCTCAGCTGTAGCCATCTTTACTTCTCCTATCGACCGGATTGCTAAGTGCCTTTATTCAAATATCCCGTCTCTAGGAAGTTCCGATCTAGTTTGAGGCCTATGACATCGAAACCAAAGGAATGGCAGTTGTCGTTTGAGTGGATCTGGCACTTGAAGTTACGTCCGATTCTTTTGCGGTCGCTCTCTGTCATCTGTGCCACTCTGTCATTGCTGATCGTGTGGTCCGAGATGACATACCAAAATGTTAATCCTATCCTGAGTGTCATCGGGCTTTTGGTACAAATGGCGCGAGATCGCATGTCCTATGGAGCCATTGAGGTACGGATATAGCTTGTCATCCTATCGATATATCACACTTTGGTTATCATTCGAACTGTAGTACTAATGTAAAGCTATCTTCTCTGCATGGAATTTATATAGGCAATCGGTTTTTTCACCATGCTGTACATGTGCACATGTGCCTACACGACGCTTATGAAGATGAAGCTTCTGAACAACTATGTTCTTGTGCCCAACCACCACACGGATGAGCCAACTCTGCTTTTCATCGGATCTTACCTTTGCCGTCTAACGTGAGTAGAGGACGACTTTGGCCTGACTGTAGCGTATACTTTTTGCGAAACTGTGATATTAACCAGAAATACTCCTTTCAACTTCTAATAGGTTTCCTTTGGTATACAACTATCTCACAATCTCAGCAATTGGAAAGGAGGACAGCACAGAATTCTCAGCTGTACGTATATCTGCATGAATACTTTGATGGCATTAGAATGGCTGGACGGCCCGCTAATTTCCGCTCATCTTCAATATCTTTTTCCAATAATAGTACATGGGAAAGATCGACATGGTTCCGTTTCTGGGCGAGTTCAACTACTATATGCCCTATGTGATTCTCGTTCCTACTTTGATCACACTCTTCAACGTATTTGCCAAGATGTTTGCCATTTGCAGTATCTCGGACAACTTTTTCGACAATGACGATGAAGAAGGCGGCATTGGCGGAGACCTCGAAGAAGGCCTCCAAGTTCTCAAGGATGGTGCGTGGTGTGCTTTTTTTTTTTTTTTTTTTTTTTTTTTTTTGGTAGGTACGATGTTTCCGAATTCGGACGGTACTGATATCTTTGTGATTTCAACCTATAGCTCGAAGAGACGAGGAAAGACTGCTGTTGCCGGATCGAGCTGGATTGAACAGAGATTTCGCCGCTAGACGTGGGGCAGCATTCGAGGTTTGTCCTTTGTATTTTCTGCGGTTTCTATAGTGGTATCTCCAGGAGCGATCTCCTAATATCGTATTTTGCTTTCAATATTCTCCAGTCGTACAACAGTAACAAAAATCGAAGGAGAGGCGATAACACGGCTCACAGTATGCTTGGCGAAGGATCCAGTGCCAGCGTGTGGCGGGATGTCAGACCCTATCCGAGCGGAGTAAATCAGCGGCCTATCCAGGAACCGTATTTTGACGACTTCTCAGATGATGAAGACTCTGGTAATACGCAGACTAGGTTCGGCCACAGGGAGTCGTTTGATCCGTTCGGGGGAAATGGTGGAAGCGTAGGGGCTGGTGCCAATGTTGGAGGAAGCATGGGCATCGGACCTGGTTCTCTGGATTCGTCCAATCGGCAGGGCACGACCTCGAATCGCAGTTCACACAGGAACCTGGCCAAGCTCGATACCCAGCCCACACATAGCCCTTTTACGGCCTTGTGGCGGAAATTCGTCCGACCCAAGCAGGCCATTTTTTTGGACAATGCAGCAAGTTCTGATCTCGTAGACAGCGATGGAGCCCGGTCGAGCATCGAGAGCGCGGGGCAGAATGATCATCAACGTCAACAGCACTATACGGGACGTCAAACTATCCGGCCAGATCGTAATTCGTCGGCTGCAACACGGACAGGTCCAGCATTGATGTTTGCCTCAGTGCAGCAGCAACCTTCGGGCTATAGTCCGTCGGTGCGCGATGACGATCGGGAACGATTGCTTTCCGTGGGTGATTCTAGATCACCCAGCAGCAATCAGAGTGCATACTCTTCGAGAAACCAGAGCCCCCAGGGTCAAGGGGTACAGCAGGCATCGGTGGCGGGTGTTGCTGGTCAGTCTGGAAGGAACAGTCGGCCGAACAGTCGAGTGTTTGGGTCGCCAAGTCCGACGGATGGTGGCAGCGGCAGATCAGGGAATAGCAACACAAGGGTGTTTAATTCGTCTTCAAGGAATACGGGACCTGATCGTCGGCAGGCTAGTCCTTTGGTGAACATCTTTGATGAGGACGACTGAAATAAAACCGGAGGAGTTGATCGACAAACGAAGCTTTGCATGTTCCCCGACTACCTATAGGGCAGTCGTCAATATATGTCATGAGAAAAAGAGTTTATTTATTTATTATTAGTCGGATTGGACCAGCCTAGAGAGAAGAGGTGAATTAACTTTAACTGTAACTATGGGCATTATGTGTGGCTAAGCACCCTGGCTGGAGTCGCGACACAACTCCATCAATCGCTCACAATCTCGTCGTTATCCACTGTAACAAGACACTCAAAGTGAAGAAGAGAACTGCTTTATTATAACTGGTGTGTACGAATATATATATGTGGTGGCTATCCGTATTTTTATGCGAGTTCTCTGGATAGCTTGGGTCGGGCTTTGGTGGGTCGATGCGGAGCAGTGAGATATTTTGGGATTCAAAATGAGTGAGAAAGAGATGTGGCTCCACACATCACACCGATTAGGTATTTATTTGTATTAAATGTAATAGTGAGCTGGAGGTACACTTGTTAAACTAAATATACAGTGAACTCTGGTGAAATATGCGAAAAGCAGTACAATGCGGCCCTTTGAGCAGTAAAGCGTGAACTTGAGGTTTCTCTTGGAAGTACCTTTGCACCGCTCCTGCACCCACATCTTGGCCATACAGTATTTGCATTTGACCATATGACCAAGATAGTGGCGGTTATTTTTGACATCAACGTCTGTCACCAAGCCTTCAATGAAAGGCCGCTGAGAAGTATATGGGACGATAAGTCTGTGAAAAACGATATGCCCTTTTAATAGTGGCAGATCGTGCCTTATATACTAGAGAATAGCTATAAATGCATCTAGTATAGGGGACTAGAAATATAGGGGAAAGGGATAACGCATCTAGATCTAATGCGTGATCACGGCGATTGTAAGCGGCAATTAATTCAGCGCGCCTGGTGAGAAGTACATCAGCGGTTAGTTCAAACTGTTCTGTAAGTCCACCTCGAAAAAAAAAAAAAAAAAAAAAAAAAAAAAAAAAAAAAAAAAAAAAAAAAACCTACCTTTCGAGCGCGTTATTAGGATTCTCAGGGCAGTCCCTGAAGGTGATTCTGGAGTGGCCAGTTTGATAGTTTGGCCACATATGCATATCCGAGGTGTTTGAGAGGTCCTGTAGCAGGGCCAGACGCCAGACCCGCATGCTCCGGTTCGTCCAGGTGGCGATTAGACGCTCACGCCGCTGCTGCCTTTCACGGGCGCACTGGTCAGCATAGGCGGAAATTAGCGCAGCACGCCTGGTGAGAAGTACAAGCAGTTAGTTCAGACTGTTCTGTAAGTCCACCCCATAAAAAAAAAAAAAAAGAACCTGCCTTTATGTAATATGTGACACTTTCGGGCGTGTTACTGGGATTCTCAGTGCTGCATCAGGGCAGTCCTTGAAGGTGATTAATTCTATACGAGGTCAACCAGACGATTCCCGTTTACTACACCACAGGACTGACACGTTTCCGTCCCAGTATCGTCGCGTAAAATGCCAGGGACCCTACTGTGTTGACTGTACTGTAATGTGTGCAGCATCTGCAGGTGGAATAGCTGCATTACAGGCACCGTCCATTCCGTGCGATAATAAGCCGAAATATCATTCGTTTCCCGTTATCGAAAAGAGTCGGCGTCACGAGGCTCTGCCCCGTCAAACGAGATGGTCTTGCTTCCAATGCCCGTCGATGGTGTATAAAAATCCTTGATCTCCCTGCATCGATGACACGGATTCACCCTGTGTTCCATGTCTCATTGTTGGAGCCCTATCATGTCATTGGGATCGCTGGACGATAAGCAGCACCCACACCATCTATGAAGTTGAAGGATAAATTGATTATGAGGTCAAAGTCATCTTGGAATCAAGAATGCGCAATCGCAAGTTGCAGTACCTAGTCGATTGGAAAGACTTTTCTCCGGATGAACGATCGTGAGAACCCGCTGCGCATTCATTGCTGAATTCCATCGTCAGTACCCGACGAAGCCGGGTCCAGCCCCTGTCGCTCCTGGGAGCCGTTTCTGGAATAAAATAAGGTTTTACCAGGGGAAATAACTAATGAAACAAGAGAGGGATCTTTAATGGCCCCGCCAGAACACCCATTTAATAGATGACGGGTGACCCCTCTTACTTTTGCACGTGTAATCCAAGACGCGTTGAGCACCATTGTACCCTACTGCAGCATAGTTGCTGGGAAGCACAGTTATATGATTCTCCTTTCCATACTGCGCTCAGCACGTACAACATATTGGTGGACATCGTTTCGCGGACTCTATTTAGATTAAACTGATCTGCCTCCAACCAATGAGGGAGACCAGTGATGAGAATGTAAACAGATCAAAGCGGGCCAAATACACTACAAAGGGAGATGTACGCTCAGTCCTATACCTACCGATAATGCAGTGGCAATAACGGATGCTCATGGACGACACCAGAGACGATCGGTAATTTGGAGTACATGGATAGGGCGCTTATATTAATGGGGTGACGAGTATGGTAGGCTAACATCAGGGTCTTGTTGACGTTGGTGCCAGTGTGGTTGGACAGCGAAATGCAGTGCAACACTACCGGGCTGGGTTAGGGATCGTCCCAATTACCATTTTAAAGTTAAAGCTGAAGGGATCTGAATTTTAGTGCCACCCTCAAAAGTCTCTGCAACAAGGTCCAGCAAGATACTCAACTGACTCACCAAGACGTCGATTGAATTACGCAGGTGGTCTATAGATGTTTCCGCATGGAGCTATCTCGCGATACCCACCTATATTGCTGCAAATGTTATATTGTGTTAATGGTCTCGTTCGACATCGTCCATGTCTAGGATGGTGTTCATGATTTTTTCTCATTCGAAGATGAGCCTATCCAGATCAAGATCGCCAATCTCTTTTATTCAAAGACAGCACCAAATCAAAACCTACTTCGTGCTCAAAAAGCAAAGCAACGATGGTCTAGCTGGGTTCAGGTAAGTTACTGCGGCCGTCGCTGTTGCCACCTTTTTTTACTATTATTATATATCTGATATCTTCGCCCAAATTTAACAAACATTCGGCAGACTGCTTTCATCCTAATCTCACACCCACCGACCCCATGCTGCCAACAGTGCTGTCGAACTAGAAGTTTTCGTACACGCTGTTTCAAGTACGAGCACTGGTCTCGGTGGCCAAAAAGAGACCTTCCCTGAAACGGCCAGAGCCAGCAAATGTGGCAGTATTCCCCACACCGGGAACGCCTTATCGACTAGCGGTCATGGGTATCAAGACCAGAGGCGAGAAGTAAGAAACATTGCAACAAGTAATCAAAGTGCAATTTCAATGTCAAGTCGTGAAAACAAAAGACCATTTAACTTACAGACTCTCCTCGTGTCATGGATGATAGCGAATCGGGGGCGATACGGTATGTCGATCAGGATGGGGGACGACGTAAAATCACTTTATGAAGGGTCCAGTCAGCAATGTTCAACAGGATCATTTTTGGGCTACTGTATCTCGCTATTAGCGACCATTGCTTGCAGCTATACTGCCCTGGTCTTGTTGACGTGTTGTTTGCGCCTAAATCTTGGCCGGCTCCATCATGTACAATCAAGGAACGGACAGGTCCTCATCGTAAATACGGTGGAGGTGTATGGGCCTATGGGGACCACCAACGCATAAAGAGAACCGTTCAATGAAAAAAGGATGTCTCGGCCCAGAACTCCTTGCCACCGTCAAGGCCCCACTATGCTGGCGTTTGGCCTCTGATCACCTTCGCCGTGGGCGACGAATGGCTCGTCATCAGGACGCAGTCCTTTAGCGCGCTGGCCACCTCGTCTCTGCGTCTAAACACCAAAATCCAGCTTAATGTTGACGAGACGGCGCCCTCGTCCCTTCTAGCGACAAGATAAGGCTCCCTTGCCACGCGAATCCTTTTGGACGAAGAGTCAGCCGAAACAGACCTCAAAACAACAACGAATAAGGAGGCATGGTTGATAAATGAGACGAACATTCATGGCCAGTTGTGTTCAACGAAGATCAAGCTCCATGGTGTATTGACATACTGTTCTTGCCGCGCATCAGAGCATCAGACACACTCCTACGCGCCAACTTGGACAATATGATCAACATCCTAACGATTTGACTGTACTGTTCTTTTTAATAAATAATGGCACCCTGCCTGCAGGATTTATTTTTTCAAAATAAACCAAAAAAGAATGAATGATTGTGGTCAAAGCAAAAACGGTTCAAATGCTACGTTTTCTCCTTCAGTGACTGGAGGACAATCTTGCGAGACCCCGCTTGGTCAGGGGAGGCTTCGCAGAGGGGTCATAGATCTCATTGAGAACAGCAGCCATGCGGACGCCGGCCATGGCGAGCTGCTTCTGGAGCAAGTACTTGCTCGAGGGTCCAGTAACGGTCTTGAAGTAATCGGTCGAGTAGTCGCGGGTAGCGGAATAATCGACCCAGACGTAGGAGCAGTCGAGGGCGTTAGCATCGACGGCCCATTGGATCGGGCACAGGGTCTTGAGTGAGCTGGTGACATCGGACCAGGGGTTCTTGCCGTTACGAGCAGGGTCGCAGTATGTCCAAGTAGAAGCGTCGGACCAGTAGGTCTTGGCCAACTTCACAGTATCATCCAAGTAGGCCTGGGGATCATTATCAAAACGGTCGGTGACGTCTTTCTATGTTGAGGAAGCAGAACACAATGTTCTTGGGAAGGTCAGGGACCACCGAAAGCGGATGAGCATCATGAGACGAAAGAATCACTTACGGTGAGGAGCAAGGTATCCCACAGGCTGTGAAGGTTGTTCTTGGCGCGACCCCACTTGATGGGAGCCTGGTTTCCGCCAAGAAGAGGGGTTGAGTCATGAAGGGGCTGGTGGATATCGCCCATGAAATGGGTAAAGAACTTGAGGGCCTCCTCACGGGTCTTGATGTCACCCGATGAAGTGGGCGGGGTCTGCTGGAACTGGTACAGAGTTGCTGTCATGTTCATGATCGCGTTGACGTTGTCGATGCCACCATAGACGTAGTCGGCTGTGCAGCGCTCCGGTGGGTTGTCACCGACGGGGTTGAAGAAGTGCATGGAAGATGTCCAGCTACATAGAAGAAAAATGATAATAAAACAGATGTGTGGAAAAGATATCAGTATTACTGTTAATACATGGAGTGCAGCGGCGGTGAACATGAAGATAGATACATCAGACTTGCCTGTACTGGCTGAGGGGACGGACTTTGTCAGCCCAGTCAGCAACGTTAGAGAGAAGACCGCTATAGGAAGGGTCTAGGATCTGGCTGATCTGATTAGCAGTGGTAGGTGTCAGGAACTGCTGAGCGATCTGGCCAGTCAAGGTGTGGCCTATTTGATGAACAAGATTGAACTGTCAGAAATGACCGCAATAGATTAAGAAGAACCTATGGCTGTAGATGAAATGAGGAGTTCCTGCTTTACCGAGGACACCCCAGGCTTGGACAGTGCTGGGATTGAGCGCCATCAAAGAAGCGACAGCAGCGACAGAGGAAGACAGACGCATGTTGCTTGGAAGTTTGGTTTCTGTGTGTATGAAGAGGAAAGTAAGATCAAGCTGGAGAAGAACAAGGTAAAGAAGGAAACCATGCTATCGAGCGTGAAGTGGGGTAGCTTTTATATTGGAGCAAGGTTGAATATGTAATCCAACGGAATTTAATTTAAAATTGAATCCCATATTTTCTGTTTCCTAGGACTAGTCTATGGATGACCAAAGAAAATAATAAAGAGCATCGACGCGGCATGCCATATGCCATGGACGCAAACTGTAGCCTCCAGCCCTACTCAACATGACCAACCAGATGGGGCTCTCATTCGCCAGTAGGCCCTGGGATCTAACCCTAGCCAATCATAGGGATCAGCATCCTCGGCTCCGGCTCTAGAACAGGGAAACACTAGCCAAATGGTCATACCACGTTGCTAGCCTAGACTAGCGTTTTTGGATGCGCGCGCCAGACGGGGAGTACAAGACTGTGGTTGGTTGGATGCATTGACTCAGGGCACAAATAGGATACGAGGTTTGGTCTCCCACAATCACCTTTCCGAAGTATGGGTAACACAATTATGCAATGCATGCCCAGGTTACCTTGAATCGAGCCAAAGGTACGCTGATACAGGTACGTTTCTATTGAGAAGGAAAAAGGTAAAATATCAAAGGAACCGTTTTGTTCACTGCGATAAAGATATCAAAAAGCAAGGAGGCTGGAGGAGCAGGCGCGGACCATAAAAAAAGATAGTTGGTGCGTGGGAAGTAAGGCACCGCCTTTGTCCTGCATTCTGTCTGCATAGTACCCGGTCGGTCTAGAACAAACACATGCCTAGAGTAAATGATGGCCGATTACACCCTTCCTTGTTCGGCACCTGCATCCAAAGAAGAGTACTGACACCGGATAGGACGTGTATGCCTGCAATTCTAGAGAACGCAAAAGAAACGCGTAGATAAAATTACTTGACAGGTCCCTGGACAGAGACAGAGCCGCAAACAATGCTACATACTTATTCTCAAGAATGCTTTCATGAATGGATGTCGTGGCCCATTCTATTCTTTTTTATTTTTTGTTCCTGTTAAGCCTATCAAACACTACAAAAGAAATAATGGTGGGCTCTTCTGTCTTACGACATGCAGGGACACTCTCCTCCCCGAAGATGCCTCGTCAGCCAATGATCCCATCCGATCGCCTCCATTTGGACGCACAAAACCAAGTACGGTAGGAGCCAAACGCGTATCGGAACCAGCCCCGCCGCCACCATAGCCAATGAACACGCACACGCCGATTGTGGTCTTTCTCCCTTTCTGACAATGTCGCAAGGCCAGAAGAACCCAAGGACCGACATGATTGGGGGATGAGAGCCCCCTCTCTCGCGCGCGAACCATGCTTCCCCTTTCGGCCCAAGCGCATATTTAGCTAATTGCAATAATCTGTGCAGACAAACAACAAAACTGGCCCAAGAGAGAAGACAGTCCAACATCCGTGGCCTTCATGGGAACGCGTAAATTGCTTCCATAGCGCGCGTGTTCTGCATCCATGTAATCACACTAATAAGACGCTGCAAAGAAGGAGTTGTTATCGATGTCTTCCCTGCACATGGCTTCGTGTCTTTCTCTTCATATTTGATCATTACTTATATTTCATGCTGGTTGACAAGTTAACTAAAATTACAGTAAGTGCTCTACAACAACCTATCTTTCTGTCTCATGTGTCGTTACGCATAGTCGCCTCGGCCCTTGCCGCGTAGAGTCGCCAGACGCGCCTCAATCTCCCGCTCACGCCTCCTCAGTTGTTCCTGCATCCTGTGCTCTTCATCCACCTGCTGAGGATTCAATTCTGCATGGTTCAGATCCACATCATCATCAAAGTGAGGTATCAAGTCCGGATTCCGCACCTCGTCAAACGGTCCGATACTGATGTCCGAGCGAGCGGGGCCACCTAGGGGCGGACGAGTGCCACTGCTGTTATCGTCTCCTTCCCCTGTATAAAGATCGTTCGAGGATTCGTTTCTGGTGCGATGCTGTGGCCCTGACACGGAGCTAGCCCTCGAGGCTGTTCGAGACTTCGAAAGGTTCGTAGGCTCATCAAAGATGGTCATCAGAACCGATGATGGTCTCGAATGCTGTGCAGATCCTGTAGGAGAGTGCATCGCACTGCTTTGTCCAGACCGCGGATGGTTTGAGAAGAGTGACCTCGATCTGCTGTTGGATGCGTGAACTGTGAGCTGACGGCCATTATCTTCGTTTTCCATCAGTTGTGTGGGTCCTGAAGTCGGAGTCATAGGACGCTGGAAGTCGATGTTAGATCTTGCCTCAAGTCCAGCCTCGAGTTCGCTCTTTGAGCCTGACTGTGGGACTCCGTAGGCATGAAGACCATAGCCTGCGCCGGCACCGCCTCCGAGGAACAAGTTATCGGGAATATTTGATGCAGATGATGTTTCTTCATTGTTCAGGGGCAGCGTTGGTTCGTGGACAAGGGTAATTGGCGTGATTGGTCCTTGAACCGGGGGTTGCGACGTTGTTCTTGATACAGCGGCGCCGTGTGAAACATCCTGCCCAGCTCGGAACCGCGCCTCCTCGCTTGCATCCATGATGCCTGGCTCGTCTGTCAACGGGATCGGAATCTCGTCTGGCGCTATCTCTCCCCGCTGGTGTCGCCGCTCCTCGCGCGTAAGACCCAGTCTGCCCTTATCATCTCCTTCGACCCTCTTGGAATGCTGCGAGGGATCACCTGAATGTTCCCACAGCGGATTGATGACCCTGGTGACATCGTTACTTTGCCTTGGCCGTGTCTGGTCTGCGCTGATGCTCGCACCTAAGTGTTCCTCTGATGGCCTGTGCGTAATGCTAAAATCCGGTCCTTCCAACGTGCCTGCATCCTCTGCCAACCAACGATGAATGTCGTTCTGCGATGGCCCCAACCTCTGTTGGTTTGCAGACTGGTCCCAACTTTTAGAACGCACACGAGCTACAGACTCTCCCTGTGGTGCAGGTCGACTGTTGCTACCTTGCCATGGGGAGCTCTCGCCCGCTCCGGATTGCTGGTTGTTCTGTCTGAAAACGTCCATGCATGAAGGAATATACCCTGAGCCACTTTCTCTCCGACCATCGAATCCAGGTTCAGTTCTTAGAGCATCACCCCCAGGCCAGCCAGTCGCACCATCGACTGTTCGATTCGGCCTGGCAAACCTGATGAGTCGCTGATTTCCAGTCTGAGCGGTGTTCAGTGGTTGCATGCTTCTAGTGCCGTACAATGTTTCATTTTCGATGAGATTTTGTTGATCCCTTAAGCTACTTCCACGATGAATGCCGCTGCGGTCGCTCCGGCCGATTGTGCCATAGTAACCCACGGTGTCATAGGTATAGGCGGGTTGATCGCTAGTCGTATCGGCACCACCTGGTCCAGAGATGCTATCCCGCGTATCGCCTGGTCGAATGGTCTTTTGATGTGGCATTCCCTTAGTGTCCACGAATCGGATCGTGGTCGGTAATGAGTGGGTTGCATAGTACTCTGCCTGCAGCATTTGCTTTCGTTCCTTGGCCGAGACTGTGAGGATCCGACCTGTTGAGCCCTTTCGTCTATTTCGGTTTCGCTGCATAGTTGACTGCGTCGACTGCTCTCCATCGAAACTACCGTCGTCGCCGAGATTTGGCATCGTGCTTCCGAGATGACTAATGTTGCTGATAGGTTTACCCGCCTCGTCAAGCTGGATGTCGGCGCTGGACCCTTGCTGCTGCAACTGATGTTGATGGTGCAGCCACTTCAGACCCTCCAGACCAAGGATTCCGCTGCGCGTCGTCAGAGGCGCATTCGGATCCTCGTTGCGTTCCCATCCATACATATCATCGTCGTCCTCGTCCTGATCGTCGACGAGATGGATCTGAGTAGCCATCGACTCTGATGACAATGAGAGAATGTACGCAAATACCGCAAGTCCTACAAAGACATAGACATTCCAGAATTCAATCGCCCCTGGTTCCGTGGGCACGTAGTCCCCAAATCCAATCGTGGTCAGCGTTACAAACTATCGTCGGAATAAAAGCGCGCGCTGATTAGTAGAGGCAAATACAGGGCTCTGCTACTTATTGTCCATAGATAAGAACAACGAAAGTGAGATTTACGCAAAAGTAGAGCGACTCGAGATAGGTCCATGGCTCGAATGCGCAAAAGACGCCGGCTCCACCAAACCACATCACAATCCAAATACAGACCATCCTGAACATCATCTTGCGCTTCACCATCATCTTGACGCGCCGCTCCTCCTCGAAACGAGCCTCTGGAAATGAAATGTCCTTGGCAGACATTCGTGTCTGCACCCTTGTGATGTGTGCAGGTTTTGAGAAACGGTCGACGAGTCGCCATTGGAACTGCTCGATGACAGCATTGCGAAGGGATACGACGAAAAATCCGAGAGAGCTGATGCCAAAGAGTCCATAAATGAAAAAGATGATCTGGCCGGCTGGCGTTTTGGGGCTCAAGTTTCCGTATCCTGAGTAGCATGATGGGCAAATGATAAATTATTTTAATACATCATTCAACTGATAGACCACAAAGAGATAGTAGAGAACAGTGGTCTTACCAATAGTGGCAAAGGACACAATGCAGAAGTTGACGGCCTCGTCAAAGGTCCAGTCTTCGAGCGACGAGTAGATGGCGGCTCCAACGATAATGACTGTGGTCATGACAAAGGACGAAATGATGAGGGCCTTGAGGGTTGCAGACAAGCCTGCAGAGGGAAACCCACGCCACCAGTCGACGGTCAGCATGATAGCGACAATAGACGCGAAGATGCTGGTGATTACACAGGCAAGAAACCCATGAGAGAACTGGCTCCCAGGCGGAAGCTTGTGCGTGCTGAGAAAGGATATCAATGCTGCGATGCAGAAGGCGGCTAAGGCACGCATGTGTATTGATGTAGTACAAAATAGTTGGTAAATTGTCCGCTGCGTTAGGAAACCTGCAGATTAATTTGTTTTGCTCTGCAGCATTCCTATGAAATGAATTACGAAAATATTAGAACGGCATGCATTACCTTCCAGATACGCAGTGACGACAGAGATCCGTCGCAGCCATGGCAGCTTGTCCAAGATCCGCAGGGTAACTCCCAAACAACTCAGCATCGTCATCGCAATTGCGCAGGCCAGAAACACCTTTTCGAGGCTGCCGATCTCAGCCATGTGGTTCGCATCACTGGGTGCATTCTTATCGCGATTCACAATCCAGGCCGGGTCTGCCAAACATCGCACAACTGTCAGAACCGTATATGCCTGTAATGTTGCAATGGCAAGATAGGGCCCGACCTTTTCGAGCCGAGGCTGAGGCAATGACACTGTGATCGTAGGGCGGTTCATGGAGTTCAACCGGTGGGGAAGCGAATTGCCACTGGTGTCATTTGGGGGGCGATTATTGTCGTCATTAGCACCATTGTGGTGGCCGTGGTAACTATTGATGATAGCATGGTTTTGGTCGTTGCTCAGGCTGATCCTGGGCGAGACGTTGTTGCTTTGAGTATGCCCATTGACGCCTTGAGACTTTGGACGTGTGGTGCTGGGTGGACGCTTGATGTTGATCTGAAGGTCGGGTGGAGGTGGATTCCACATTGTTGTGAGGCAACGGCTTTTCTGAACTTAGTAAGAGCAAAAGGGGAAGAAAAAAAAAAGCGCCAGGTTGTTTGTCGGCTGTTACAGTGGGTGTCTTCTTGGACGCACAGTGGCCTGCAGAGTAACGTCGACAGATTCCAGCATAGATGGAGACTATGTCAATGGCTCTCTGCTTCCTGCTTTCTGCTTTCTGTTGTGCCTTGCGGCTAGAAGGGAGCGGATGGAATGGAGGAACAGCAGGCCCGATGGATTCTGCAGAATCGAAACTAAGATGAGATGCGTGATGACCAAGCGAACTGATGAGTGGTGCGGTGTGATGCGTGAAGGAGGGTTGATTCTGAGGTTGTGTGGGAGTTGAGGGAAGGAGGAGTAGAGGAAGAAACAAATGGCTATTAAAACGTTGTTCACACAGCTATACCCGCCATTTGAGCCCTGCGATATCAAGATCCGATCCCCCACCTGGTTTCCCATCCCACTGCCCTCCTTTTTATTCTTGTAATGCAATATCGGGTACCAACTGATACAAGATACGTGTAGCACAGCTACATTGCGGAGCCTCCTAGAACTCTTCCCTCAGACCAGACAGTGCCATCGCCGAGGGATTCATTCGGACGCTCGAATGACGCGTATCACGTGCGAGCCCACATATGGACCGTGGGCGATGTTTGCTTCAAGCACTCGACCTCAACTTCGACACCACATTGGACACGCATCTCTCTCGAGGATCTTAGGACCGACCGACACAACACAAACAGCATCACCATGGATGAACAACGTCTAATAGGACCCCGTGCGGGGGAAAAGATCCGCGAAATGATGGTCAAGCAGAAGCCCGCGCTTGCGATCAGACAGATTCAGGAGAGAACGGGTTTGAATCATAGCAAACCGACAACAACACGTCTTTTCTTGTTATTTCTGTTCATTTTCGCTGCTATTTATACTGCTGGATGCTTTTTCACTCAACCGGTTGCCCCGCATGGGTTTATATTATGGAGATTTCGTATGACTTTGTTCGCACTTTTGTGCGTTGTATTTTTTTACTTCCAGGAATCGATGCCCTCTATCCATTGCTTGACCAGAGCGGCAAATCAAGATACGAGATCCATTCGAGCTGTATGAGAGCGCTAAAAGCAAAGCTCTTGCAAAGACTGGAGACGGTGCAAATGGACAACGCAAAGTATGTCGTGGCTGTGCACCATTCATGAATAAGGATTGAGACATGATTGTTCTTACTCGTTTCATCTTTGTATTAGGTTCGACTCTGCACTTGAACAAATGCTGCCATACATTGACGTGGAGGGCCTTCAGGAGCTCCCACTAACTCTCCTTGGTCGATTTCCGGACAGAATGACGAAGGACATCATTGATAAAATTGGCGGGAATGAGGCACTGTTCAAGGTATGAGCATTGACCTTGAATGAGGTTGCGGGACGCCATTATTGTTGCGCCGCTCTTAGATGACTTAAAGCGAATTTTGCGACATGAAATAGATAGCGCCAAAGGAAGTACAGCGCAGGATATGGCTTTCAAATTCAGTCAAATTCAGGGACGATGTCATTCCCATTGTTCAGGCTTATCGGACAGATCCAGAGGTCATTCGCATGGCAAAGGAGATGAGCATCGACCAGCCAACCAAAGTCATCACTCAGAGGTACATACTCGCTTTTGTTATTATTCGGCGCCTTCGCTTTTCAGTCTCAGTGCGTGCGGTAGCTGACGGATATTGGGGCTCGTCTTGTGTCATCCCTTTTCTACTATAGGCGCAACCATCCCAGTATTAAGCAACTACTGGACATCCTTGGCGGGAATTTGGAGTTGTACAACCAATTCGGCTCATATTTACGATCACTCTTTATTCGATCCAACGAGGCCGTCTACTGCACGTTACGTTTCGATCTCTTGATGGCGATGCACGAGGAGAATGTCGGATCTGTAGGTTCAAGGTTTACTGTTGTTTCCGCTCAAGTAAGGCTTCTGGTTCCAATAATGATATTAATTTGCTCTGCATGCTATAGATTACGAAAGTCGATCCGTGTCACGAGTTGGTCTGGAATCTGGATGCTTGTAACAGGACGCTGTCCATGGATGAGAGGCGCGTGGATAATATTCGCAAATTCTTTGACAAGGTCAATCGAGACGATCCAGTTCACGGGTAAGCACTACAGGAAGGATTACCCTGTCTGTGTCTCTGAACCATTGATTCTAATCAGTGGTACCTGTTCCCTGTGCACAGAGATATCGCAATGATCTTGAATGATCCGTTCACCTCTAACATGATTACATCTCGGCTGCTTGTGCTGTTGAACGAAGCGACTCAAAACGGAAGAATCCCCCAGGTACGACGTGTGAGCTCGTCTATTGCTTTTGAAGCGAGGATAAAGACGCGCCACATAACAAAATTTGCTTCTATCTTTCTGCATTTCCAATAGTCGGACCCAACCCTAACGTGGACTGCAACAATGCTCAACCTTGGCGCACACGCAAGGCGGATTATTCAAAACCAAAAGTTCAGGATTCCCAAGGTGGAGGCGAATGTTTCGGACAAATTCATGACCACATTATCAAATTGCATTCTGGACGACACGCTCGGTATGCTGAAGCAGGATGTGGACGAAAATGTGGAGTACGAAGAGGTTGAGTTCACAGAGGACAACCTGGTGGCACTCGATGACAGCGAGGTCGCAAGAAAGGTAACGCAAATGCTATATCTGGTCTGTGGCGATGTATTGCCTAATCGTTGAAGAGATGTCTAACAGCAAGTGGTTGTCAATTTCTGCGCAATTATAGATCTTGTGCCATTATATTCTCGACAAGTTATCGAGTCTAGACATCCATGCACTCGCAAGAACACTACCAACAATCGTCAACAGTCTGAAGCGAAACTCGCCATACGATTACCAATCTTCTCCCGCAGACAGCCTCCATGTCACCTATCAGTCCTTTTTCCACTCTTTTCTAGGAATGCTACTCCGTCAAACACAGCTAACTCGCTTCTTGATGGCCCGCAAGTGGCAGACAGTCATCATGAACGAATTTCTTGTGCCTGCGGCTGCAGTTGACGTCTCTGTTCACGGGCAGGCAATCGAATTCCTGTTAGAAGCATTTAGGCTGGTTGCATCGTCCGGCAGAGCTGGCTCTATTGGCGATGCATTCTTGAATATGGGGCGTTGGCTGGAGACGCTCTGTATGAACCGTCCCATTGCCAATATTACTCAGGAAAAAGACGTACGTTTCCTCGTTTTGCTCAGGTTTAACTTGACAATCGCTCGTTCTTTTTGCATGCGTATTTTGCTGATGTATTCCTTGTTTCCCGTTGCTGTATAGTATGAGCTGCGTGAGACGTATGCCAAGATCGTTGCGGATGTAGCGATGCTTAGCGGGGGACGATACAAGATGAAGCCAGAGGACATTACGAATGTCCTGGCGTACGTGCAGGCATGTGAACAGCTGTATTGACTATACTTGATCTAAGAGCCTCCTTGAAATGTTGTGACTGTATGCTAACAGGAGAACTGGCAACTAATGGTGGCATTTTGGTGTCCTATCACATATAGCCCGTATGGGACCGTCAGGATAACCAGATGGACACTTCGGCTTGAACACGAAGAAGAAGCAAAGGAAGGAGTAGCTTTGAAACGGTCGCATGTACTTTTACAGTCTTCATCCATCTCCACAGACAGCGCACAGGCACTACATTTTTATACTGAGCAAACTACACTTCAGACTCATGTCTATCATAAATGCTTGTATTGTGTAGTTTGATGAGCGTTGGTGTATGAAATGAGAGTGTTGAGCGATTATAGCCTGCTAAAGAACAGCAGAACAGTCAACACGGTGGAAGCTACCATCAAACTCGCAGACTGCATGAGATGATCCCACATGCCACTTCCAGCTTTACTCGATACCCGTGTACCATTGGCAGTCTCGTGGCAGACCATCTTGAAGGCCTTAACCCCTTGGTTTGTGACATTGTAGAACTGAGGCCTCAAATATGACAGCTGCCTTGTGGATCGGAAGCAGGTACTACACTGCTGTAGTGCGTCGATCTCGACATAGTTGTTCTGACAGAAGCAACCGTAAAACGGCAAGAGTTGGACAATCATAGTCAGGTTGACACCGGTTGGAGGGAGGTGGGAGGAGCAGTTTTGAACCGTATAGTATTCCTTCTGACATGCCACGCAAGCATCTGAGGTGGAGAAGATGGGGTTGGGTGTCGTAGTGATTGATGGTGCTGGTGCTGGATTAGATGCAGAAGCAGGTGCTGGAGTAGGTGCTGGAGTGGCAGTCGAATTTGAAATACTGAACGATCTCGAAGAGGCAGCAAGCGAGGGAGTAAATGGTTCAGGAGCGACTGCGGGTTCTGGTAATGGTGAGGCTTCTGGTGATGGTGTGTCTGAGGGATCAGTTGAGTCGTCCTCCTGCGCAAAAGCCATGCTGGGTGCAAAAAACAATAGCACGGACAACAGGAAGATGAGGACCCACATATTGCGGGTGGCCGTTGGGCGAAGTGCGACCATGGCGGGCAGGATTAGCGGGAAAGGAAGGTGGAGGTTGGAAGAGGGTTATGATCGACGGAAAGACGACTGAATGGGAACGATGTTTGGGGTAGCCGAACAAGAAGAAGCAAAAAGGATCGACAGACCTTGGTCGCCATGTACGCAGCAAAAGAAGGCTGGTTATTGCGACTGGATGAAGGGGCCATGGCGCTTGCTTGTGTATTATTAGGACGATCGACTCCTATCGAGATATTCTATGCGCGTTTCAATTGACGCAGGAGTATGGTGTTCTCTACAGGAAAAAGAAAGATAAGCGCGTTCCAGATGAGACCGGCCTGCTTCTGCAGCCTGGTTCTGTAGGCAGCGACTACACGTTCAAACTGCGTGTGGTGTGGATGAAGCTTGTTCCCGCGCAGGCGCGTGTGATTTTGTCTCCAAATGGTTGCACAAAGACAACAGCCAACGACAGCGTGCGTTGGTGGCGCACAGGCCGGGCAGAGAATCCTCTCCAATGGCCCGCAATGAGAAGCAGTCCTGGGGGGGTTTTTTTTTTCTTGTTCCATGCAAGTGGTTACTTTTACCCTAACTCTTTTTCTTTCTTTCCTTACTTCTTTCTATCTCTCTCCTACCCCACGTCCCCCTCCTCTCCCCCACGTCCCCCTCCCCTTTCTTCTCCTCTTGCCTTGCACCATGCACCCGCTGCAGGCCTAACCAACCAGAAATACATCCAAGGACCAAGACTGGCACGATCTCTCACTCAATATGCCCGTCCCTACCCCACCCCGCACACCCCTTCTTGCACACCCCAACAATAACAGCAGTAGCAGTAGCATTAGCAGCAGCATAAGCAACAACGCCTGCAGTAGTTCCTATTCCTCTCCCTGTCTTTCCCCTCGCCTCGCTATCTCCTCGTCAACAGTTGCTCCGTTGTTCAATTCGCACTCTTCGCATTCTCCGCACGCCTCGTATTCTGCCGACGAGTATCTTTTTCGATCGCACCATAATAGTACATTTCCGCCCGACCAAAAAGACCTCATCCCTGACGCACTTGTATCCGACCCCTCATCCCCTGTGTCCAAAGGTAAGAATAGGGTATCTGACAAAGATATGCTCTGGTGATGCTCTGGTTGCTTTTGTTTGCTGTTGTTTACTTTTTTTAGTCTTCCATGCGCTTACGCACAATGTGTGTATGTGGTCTGCCAGCACTTCCTTGTCTACGAAGGGGCGCGATAAAAAATAGCGCAGAAAAAAAAATGCTGCTCCTTCAAAAATGTCTAACCATCCTCTTCTCCATATCCTTTCTCAGTCACCATGCCAACTCCAAATACTATCTTCGGCGCATTACAGCCATCGGGTCTCTTCCCCGCGACTTCCACGACCTCTGGAATAGATCTGCGTTCTGTTGGTGACCATAGGGCAAGCACGCACACCCAACAGGACCATTTACAGCAGAGTCAACCCCTCCGTCAATATCCACAGCAGCAGTCTCAGACCTATTCGCCAAGTCACCACAACCATGGCCATCATAGCCGTAGCCATAGCCATAGCCATGGCCATGCGGGCACCCAATCTGGTCCTGACCCAGCAGTGATGGAGTTCATATCGAAGATCGGTCAAATTATTGTTAAAGCCAGGACAGTCTCACCGATGGTTTCCTTCGACCATGCGCCCTTGACGGGAACAGGATCGGCTGTCTCTCATAGTTTTGGCTGCTGCAACAATTCTTCAATACCGCAGGAACAGAACCTGGGAACGGTCCTTCAGGATATAGATCTATGGCGCAATAGCACTCCTGTGCATGTCAACATCCTGCACAGTGCTCAGCATGTGTTGCTGGAGCGATGGGTCATATCGTATACACCTGCGACTGTGCTGGCATCAAGCCCAATATCCTCAACAGATGATTCACCAAGGTAACGCACAGCAATCGGATGGATTACAGGGTCGCTCGGATATAGGAAGAGATGAGCCTTTTGTATTGTTCTGAGTCGTACTGCCCACGAGTTTAGTGGCCATGAGACATGATCAAAAATAAGGTCTATCTCGCGTGATCTATGAGTGAGCGTCTTTTCGCTAATCTCCCCCATCTTTTCCTCCTTTTCGCGCATGTGTTTATCTTACCACTCATCGCAGGGGTGCCAAGAGTCCATACGCCGGGTACCTCTCTCCCAGGACCAAGCATCTCCAAACCACATCCGCTCGTTCACCCTCTGGATCTACATCCGCATCTTCATCAGCTGCGCCCAAGGATACGACAGATCTTGTCCTCCTATTGCAGTCTTTATATACCCAGATCAGATCGCTACCTCTCCAGAACTGCTTGACATCGTTTGAAGACAAGATAAAGTTGACCAAGGCTGACCTTGCCTATTCCGTCACTTCGGCTCACGAGGATATCACCCAGTCTCACCAGGATAGGACACCACACATTCAACCTCAGAATGATGTCGAGAATGCAGCCATCAAGAATCCTTCGGAGACAGTCTACAATGCTTTTGTCTCTTCACTAAAGTCGACATTACCCTTGGAATTCGTACAGGCAGCATCTCTTAAGGTCATCAATTTCGAGGCATCACACGTGCAGTGGGGATGTGTACGAGTAACAGGAATGTACGACGAATCCGTTGGCGGGAGGATTGCGCCTGAGAACTTTCAGGACTCGATTATAGTCCAAAAGAAGCGGCATCATCGAAGTAAAGGGTCTAGCTTGAGCCATAGCTCTGACGCTGCCGCTGCCGCCAAGGCTACTAGGCGACAGCAAAAGGACACGGGATCATGGACATCTCTCTCTCAGCCAGTTAAGGCGGATACATCGACGGAGTGCGCTGAAGGATCAGCATCAGCGCTGCCACCAAAGTCATCATCTTGCAAGGCTGCGGAGCAAATATCTGGCCCGAAAAGCGAAACCACTTCAGTTCAACCTTCGCACTCAACCTTCTCTCAACAGGCGAACCAAGCTGACTTGTCAGCCTCAAGTTCAGGGGACCAACTGCATGCTCGACTCCAATCTTTGAAGAAGAGCAATGAGCGTATATTTTTTTCGCTCTCGCCTTCAATCGCCCAACCAACCCCCACTGCACCTGAGGGAACCAAAGACCAGCGTTACATAAGCGTTTTGCAGGAGTCTCTGCTACCAAAGCACGGTACTAATACACAGAATAATGTGCCGAACGAGGAGAGGATCCAGGAGTATAAGTTCCCATCAATACCGTCACCTCCATTATCTATTCCACAGCCGAGAAAGTCAATTGCAAGCGACATACCCAGCCATTCGGTTTCCCTTCCAGTTTCAGATTTGGAAAGAATGCCGACAAAAGTGGGCTACGCTCCGCCCCATCATCAGCAACATCCTACCGCCCTCCAACATAGCCCGCCCTTTGTACAACAACAGAGTCATCATGTCCACTCCCCGTTTTCGACATCGCCTCTGGCACATGTGATCACCCGAAGGAGATCTTCACGACTTTCGATCGTCATGACTTGCAACGATGACTCACCAGACCCCACAAGGCAGCAAAGCCCATTGGCAGAAACTGCAACTACGGATGAACATGGCCACAACCAATTGCTAGATGACGACTCAGAGGATGCATCTTCTTATGGAGCCTCAAGCCAGTTCAGCCGGCGTGGATCTCTACAGGATCAGAAACGTCTGAGCCTCTCAGAAGCCCAGCAAAGCAGACCACCTCTCGCACCCTCCCCTACCCGCCCGACATTTCTCCGCAGGAGCTCGTTGAATCCGACATCTTTCTCCCATGGCGACCTGTTTGGTTCGCTCGTTGGATCATATGAGGAATCAATCTTGTCAGGAAGAATGTCGACGCTGCCGTCAAAACCATTAATATTCACAGCACAAATTGGTGTTTTGGCCAATCAGGACTACAAGGATTGTCCACCCAAGCTACGATGTCCCAAGCATGTTCAGTTAGAGTTTCCTGCCGTATTTTATGACTATGATAGCTCATCTAGTCACCATGGGCATCACCACAACTCTCACCACTCGATCGCTCACTCTCTGTCGCACCAGCAGTACCTTCACCATTACTACTCGACTCAGTCGTTCCAATCGAAGAGCGTTCACACGTTCGGCCATCACGCCTCCACCAGTCCTTCGCACCACCAACCACTTGGGTCTTTTGCGAGCTCGCCAGCCCTGAGCTCATATTTTTCGTCGAGTGCCAACATGACAAGTTCCTATGGATCGGGACCGAGTTCCGTCTCGCATAACTTTGCGTATACTTCCCCTGCAACTCACGATGATCCAATACTGCCATATGTCGGCAACTTGGATCTGGACAGCGGATTCCGAGGATCACGGCGTTTCGCTCGGATGCCTGGCGGTATGCGTATTCCTCTTCGTGGTCAGGTTCAAGTGATGATCAAAAATCCTAACAAGACCGTGGTTAAGGTATTCTTGGTACCCTATGATTTTACGGACATGCCACCTGGCACCAAGACCTTCCTCCGTCAAAAGTACTACTCTACAGGCCCTGGAGTCGGACCAGTGACATCGAACCAAAACAGCAACGGGACTCTGCGCTATGCAATTCATTTACAGTTCTGCTGTCCTGCGCCCGGATATGTGTATTTATACCGCAGCATTCGAGTCGTCTTTGCTAATCGAGTCCCCGACGGCAAAGAGTCCTTACGAGTCGTCTTGGAAGGTCTCGGACTTGGATCGAGGACGATCGAGAACCTTGGGACCACGAACAAGGTTCTCTCTACACTAGACACCGTCCCCAGCGATCCGACACAGACGGGATCAAAAAAATTGGAGGAGCGATATGTCAAAATGCGCAAAGGTGAAGTGTCATTCTGTGCAAGTAAGCGAAAAATGGAACAGAATGGCTCTATAAACCTATTCATGGATAGCGACCCATTGATGTCTATGGCAGGAGGACTCGGTCTTGGACTGGATAAGGACTATGTTAATGCGTCGCGCCCCCATGACTTCTATGAACCGTCTTTGGCGTATCAGCACCGACAGCAATTGAACTTTGATGGACAGCCATACAACGACTACCGGCGCGAAAATATGAATCTTCAGGACATGGTTATTGATCGGGACATTGGACGAGGTGCATCGAGTCCGTTTCATAAGACTCCAATCCCCAGACGGGCAGGGACCTCTGAACCTCTCAGCCCGACCACGGATAGAGTCGTTGCAGGGCTGAACGACGATGAGGGCGCCGATGATTACAGGCGGATCCAGTCAAGTGTACTGATCGGGCACACGCCTGCAATCAAATCCCCTGGTGTCACCCCTAAGGCTGGTAGCAGTTCGTCCTCGAGCGGTGTGTCTCCATCCTTGTCGACACCATACGATTCCAAGGAATCGTCTTTTTATTTCAAGTCTGGCCCTATGGGCATACTATGAGCACCAAATTAAACCAAAAATAAAAGCGGTCAATAAATAGTGTATTGTATTTTTCCACGCGTAGAGTCCCCTTTCAAAGCCATACAGTTCTCCTTGCACCATCGCCTGTTCTCGCAGCGTTGATCATCGCACTCTCAGCGTCCACACATCTCCATGGTATTCAGGACACCGCGTCAGGGACAGGCACAGACCGCAGCCGGCGAAGGGCCACCAGCATCACGGCCAGCCCAATCCGCATCACGGCTCAACCAAGCCAACAGTGCAACGGCCTCAAGGGAGAGCCTGGTCAAGGAACGGAAGCCAAGTACACGTCTGGCCAAGTTGCTTCTCTGGGTGTTTTTGATTCATGTCGGCGCTATCTATCTGTTCACACGCGGCTTCCTCCTGTCGCGATCAGTCTTGGATTCCAAGAGTGAATGCAACAACACGAACGTAGACGAATCCGTATTCAGTCACCACGGAAGGGGACGATCTCAGGAACAACCCGAGTGCTGGTATCCTCAGCAATACAAAAAGGCCGTTATCATTGTCATCGACGCCTTGCGGTTCGAGTATGTTAGTTCTCTACATTTTTCAATGTAGGATGTGTGCAGTCTATCATGGGCGTCCATTGACCGCTGTTTTATGCGTTCGATCCAATTACAGTTTCGTAGTGCCCCATACTGACCTACCAAGTAACGAAGAGGAGCCATACTACCTCAACAAGCTGCCAGTCATCCACGATCTTCTCGAGAAGCAGCCTGACAACACCCTTGTCTTTCAATTCGTCGCAGATCCACCTACAACGACTTTGCAACGCCTCAAAGCTCTTACCACGGGCACTCTCCCCACCATCATTGATGCAGGGTCCAACTTTGCGTCCTCCGCACTCAAAGAGGACAATTGGCTGTCGCAGTTCGAGGCATCCAGAGGCCAGGATCGGATATTGTTCATGGGCGACGACACTTGGACAGGATTGTTTCCCAATGTCTTGACACTCAACAACTCACACGCGTTCCCTTCCCTGGATACCCACGATCTGGATACACTAGATAATGGAGTCATTAAGGCTTTGGGACCAGCACTTAAGGATATCTCGAAATGGGACCTTTTGATTGCACATTTTCTCGGAGTCGATCACTGCGGCCACACCTTTGGACCTAACGATCCTCATATGGAGAGCAAGCTGGCACAAATGAACGAGCAGCTGGAGCAGGTTATCAAGAGCGTTTCGGACGACACCTTGGTCGTGATCATGGGCGACCACGGCATGAACGGACACGGTGACCACGGCGGAGATAGCGACGACGAGATTGAGGCAGGACTGGTGATCTATTCCAAGAGGAAGCTGCTAAACCGCAACCTGCTGGACCGACTTTCTTTGGGCGACATGTTGCAGTACACTAAACCCACCGGAGGAAATGTCTATAGGACAGTGACTCAAATCGACCTAGTTCCCACGTTGTCGCTTTTGTTGGGCCTCCCCATCCCCTTCAACAATTTGGGATCCGTGATTCCGGAACTATTCCTGTCCGCCAAAAACCCGGATCAGGCTATCAGGGACCTTTTGAGGGCTATGCGGTTAAATGCGGCCCAGGTGTCGACGTATTTCCAGTCTTATATGGATCTTCATCCGACCTCCGATATTGCGTTGGCGATGCAAATGGAGTTTGGTGAACTCTTTGAGCACGCAGAGCGGTTCATGCAGGAGATTGGACAGGGTCGTCGTCTACAGAACACGGAGAACCTTGTCAAGGCGCTAAGGTTTTATTCCGACTACCTTCGTACGTCACTGAGCTCCTGCAAGAGAATCTGGGCGCACTTTGATGTGCCTCTCATGGCAGCTGGTGGAGGAGTTTTGCTGGCGAGTTGTCTATGCTTGTTATTGCACATTACCCTCTTTCGGTCGGTGGGTATGCCTCCCAACCTGGAGCGGTTCTTGGCTGCTGGGACGCTCTTGGGAATCACATCGGCGCGGTACTTGAGGCCACTGTTTTTCAAGTTTCAGTTCATCCAGGACTCGTCTGTGGGGCTCGTTGACATTATGGTTTTTTGTATGTCGGTGTTTTCGATCGTGGGATTTATGCTAAGCATGGCCATGCATAGCAGGCCGTTCGCGAAACAGGAGAGCTTGAATCCGCTACGAGTGCTTCGCCTTCCTCCGCTTTCCGGTTTCTTGGCTTGCCTTTTTATCTTTGTCAACTGCCTGATCTTTGCGTCAAACTCGTACATTGTTCACGAGAGCACGTTCGTGATCGGATTCCTGCAAACCTTTGGTTTGATTGGACTCCTGTTCTCGCTGCGCGTCCCTGACAAGGTGGCTAGGACCAAGGCTGTAGTTTTGACTCTCTCCTTCATGGTAATGACAAGAGCACTGTCTGCATCGACAGTATGCCGCGAGGAACAAGGGAATCTCTGCTCCCCTACATACTATGCTTCTGCGCAACAGTCTGTTCCTTCGCAGTGGTCGCTGGTCATGCTGGTTGCAAGCGGAGTCATCACACCCTACCTGATCCGGCGTTTGTTCAACGGCACAAAGTCCATGAACGGGATCGCACTGATATGGATTGACTATGGCCTTCGTATCGGGATCATTCTGGGGACACTGTATGCCGTTTTGGACTTTGAGGGATCGAAGGCGGATGGTGTCAGGAACGCGAATGTGGGCAACACGTTTGAGCCATTGATGGCTGGAATGAATCAGGGAGGACAGTACATGTGGGCGAAAACGACACTGGTGCGTATCGCATTCGGGTTTGCGCTGGCTGTGGGCCCTGCTGCCTGGTGGACGAGCCCTCTCTGCATGGACATACAGACCGTGGATGTATCCCTGGAGAACAGCAGTACCAACAGTGGCACCAATAACACATCAGCTCGACGAAACAATCATTCGACTGCCTCTACGGCCGCTCAACAAACACAGCGTAAGGTTTATATCCTCGGCTACGCCAACGCATTCGGGGCCAGCTACTATGTGGCGCTGACGATGGTGTTTCTGGTTGTGATCCTGACGCAGAAACCTCTAGGGACGATTGTGCTCTCGATCGGCTTGGCTCAGATCTCTTGTCTGGTGGAGTTGGTCGATATCTGGAGGGATGCGGATTTCGCAGTGTGGCAGCAGGAAATTGTAGAGCGGATCCAGGCCGAGACCGCAGCCCTGACAACTCAATTCGAGGAAGAAGACGAAGGCACGAAGGGTATCTCTGAGGCAGCGGCATCTGCATCGGCGGAGAATATTGCAGCGGTTGCTCTATCTAAACATCGCCAGGCACCCACACTGAACCTGCTCCTGCCCACGGTTGTGTTGTCGTTGATGGGCAACTTGTTCTTCTTTGCGACCGGTCATCAAGCAACACTGTCCTCGATCCAATGGTCCTCCGCATTCATCGGTGTTCCAACACTCAACTATTTCTTCTCGCCGCTGCTGGTGATTCTCAACACACTGGGACCGTTCATCCTCTGCGCGGCAGCGTTGCCTTTGGTTGTGCTGTGGAAATTCCTACCAAAGGCGGATAAACTGGGCAAGCTGGTGCTCTTCCCGGACCTGACACGGTTATGTTTGATGATGATGATGCACCAGTCTCTGGTGTTGGTGGCCAACATGTGTTTCACTGGAGGCATGTTCAGAAGGCATTTGATGGTGTGGAAGGTGTTTGCGCCGAGGTTCATGCTCCAGGCGAGTGCACTGTTGAGCATGGATCTGGTCCTGGTGACGGTCGCGGTGCTTGCGATCCTGGCGCGGGTCGTGAAGGAGGTCGGGCAGGTTCTCTCAATACGTATTGTTTAGACTCTCTTTGTATTCTAATATTCTTTTCCTTCGATTCTATGTTCGATGTTTTATTTTTTTGTGGGCATCATACCCACGTGGTGTCCATGGTTTACAAGCCTTGGTTTATTTTCTGCTGCAACGGCTGACCTGCTGCTTTATTGTCACTATGCCTCGTGTACTATCTCAGAGCTGCTCTTCCCATCTGCTCGTTTTTATTATATTTGTTTGTTTTCCACATTGAGACGTTGTGAGGGTGTCTAGATATCGATTGTTGCTCAAACTCATGCTCATATGCATATGTTTTTGAGCGGCGTTGGAGCAGTCAGTCAGCAGTAAAGGCGACGTTGTGATGCGGGGGAGTTGAATCCAAACAGCGGATGGCCTCATGACATGATCATTAGGCCCCATGATGCTCCCCTGAGGAAGGAGGAGCGTGTTTAGAGTGCGTTCCTGAAAGCAGACGGGTGAGACTCACGATGGGACTCGAGTGGCAGACACCAGTCGAGGGCCATGCACGTATGCGATATGGCCGTACAGATGGAAAAAGAACGACCTGGTCCAATCGCATTCGTGGGTAGACCCCGCTCTCTGGCCCGTGCTTCCCGCAATGGGAAAGTGAACGGAAATAGAAACAGGCGTTTCAGGTCAATCAAGTGGAAAAAATATTTTTAGGCCGGGTCTCCCGCAGAGGGACGGACCCTTTTTTGCAAATATAAACCGGCCATCTACATCCATCCAAACAACCACCACCCATTCTTCTTCACCCTCAACCATCACCGCGGGACGACAGCACCTATATCCTTCATCGGCCCACACCTCTCCTGCTCTCACAAGGCCAGAGAACAGCTTGCCCATCCTTCTCCTCCTCCTCCTCGATCTCGCATTCCATCTTCAAGACAACACAATGTCGTTTCTTCTCGACGTCGCCGACCCTTCTATTCACTTTCATGCCCGTCAGTGCTGTCACAGCACCGGTTCAAAATCCTTATCCTCGCTAGATACCAAAGCTGCCTCCCCTGCTGTTCCCTCCTCCCTCCCCTCAATATCTCTCCCTTCCGCTAATAGCACAACCGTGACAGCGGCACATTCCTCCTCAAGCTCGAGCGCAAAACACAGCCTGTTTCCCCATGCTTCGATATCGTCGGCCATGACACCATTAACGCCCAGCCCGACTGCCAACATGTTTTCAACCATGTCCCATATGATCCGCACAGCGTCGTCTTCATCCTCTGTCTCCTTATCATTCTCCGCGAACGCAACGCCAAACTCGTCCCGTCCCAGCACTCCCGAGGCCATCCATGTTTCGGATCCGTTTACGATAAGTCAGACCTCCGCCGGCGGATTGATGCCCGCCGCAAACACGAATACGAATACGGTTCGACGTCCGCTCTCGCCCTGGATGATGCCCTCAGTCTGCGACGATGATCAAATGAACAAACTGGTGTCGTTCCAGCTTTCATAAACAAGTGGAAGAGCCGCCCAGTTTTAGGATGGACTTTTTCTTTTTGGAGCCATTAGGCGAGGCAGCAGGGGTGGAAGGGATATTTGGGCGAAGGGAGATGTCAACTCTTGTCCTTTATTCTTGCTGCATGCACTTTTTGTAATACTAATATATGTAATGATACTAGAATAATAAACACCATAGAATCTGTACAAAAAAAACTATGCTTTTGTAAGATTTTCTGCAGGCAGAGTTCTGAGGATATAGTAGCGACATTGCTGAGAATATTGTATCGTTATCAGAAACCGAAAAAAACAAGATGTCCTATTATGCTTTACCGACCTTGCGTTCTTGAGCCAAAAATGCGTTCAATTTGAGACCTTTTACAGCTTGGGAAAGGAAATTAAAAAAAAGGAGGACTAGTTTTTTGAACGCATTTTTTTTTCGTTATGCTCGTCGTCACAGAAATGGATTTTGATCGTACAAAATTGTAAACCATATGAGCAAAAGATCAGAACGACGGTCTGGTCACAATTTGATCCTTTGCTCACTCGCCATCAGAGGACCATGGACTACCCAACTGTATTGGCCACCATCGAAAAGGCCTGTGTGGAGACGCAGGTAGAGAGACATTCATGCTATCACTTTTTCTCGGAGCCAGATCTGATTGCTGGACGGCTCGTTATGACCAGCTCAGGATTCTTAGAGCATCGTTATTTTGTTCGACTTCGCCCTTTATTCATATTTCAACTGTCGATCCTGCATGAATAGCATCCAGCGACTCGAGAGCAGGCCGAGAAGGTTCTGATTGACTTCAAGCACAGCGCCAACATTGTGCCTGTCTGCCAGTATCTTCTTGGTAAGACCATAATGCCATGTTTTTTCGTTACTGTTAAAGCATGGTGGACGAATGATTGACCACTGTTATTATGCACTTCTTGCATTGTATCTGATTCGTCTAGCCAACTCCAACACGCCGATGGTTCAGTTTCATGCCGCCTCAGGAATCACTGGAGCCATCGTCCGGGAATACGGTTTATACCAGAAGCAGGACATTCATCACTTGCAGGCGTACCTCATCCAGTACAACCTCGAGCATCCCAGACTTGTCTCTTGGGTCGCCAAGCAGATCTACCAAGCCATAGCCGTGATCTCAAAGCGTGGATGGCTCGAGGCTTCGGAAAAGGAGCAGGATGTCGTCTACAACCACATTATCCAACTTCTATCTATGGGCGATCAGGAAAGGAAGATTGGACTTACCTTGGCGCATGCACTCGTGGACGAGTTTTCTAGCAGAGGAAAGGCGAGCAGCGTTGGATTGACATGGGACTTCCATTATAGGACTAAACTTTCATTTGAGGAGCGACACCTCAGGTTGATCTTTGAGGCTGCACTCAAGGTCCTGCACGAGCAACTGCATGATCTGATTTCGATCCCTGGTCAGGAAGTGTCGGGATCTCAGAAGCCGCTGCTTAGTCTTTCGATCTTGCTGCTCGAGTCGATCTTACAATGGGACTTCTCTTCAAACAGTATGCGCTTGTATCGGAGAGAAAATCACATTCCAACACACTTGTAGGAAATCGCATTGAAAGGTTTGAATTAACTCGACTCCTCGATCAATTTCACTTTTTGTAGGTCAACCAGTTCTAGCGGGCACATTTGCAGATGACGAGGACGACTTTACAAGGACTATTGTCTATCCTGCGAGCTGGCGGTCAGTTCTTGTTAACGCCGACGTCCTCTCCATGTTCTTTACTGTAAGTATGTAGCAACATTTGGGTCGTTGCCTATGGAAATCTGCTCATCAATCTTACGAATTTGTCGTATCATTTTTGAGGATAGTTGTTCCCGCTGGTCCAGGACGACAATATTATGACACACCGTGTCCGGCAATGCCTAATTCAGCTTTGCGGTCTTCACGGAGCCATCTTTGTCGCCGAAGAGGCCGCGATCCATCACATTTCCGGAGTGATGAAGGGACTATTGGCCCTTATCAACAAGTATGAATCAATACTACTGGCCGAGTGGGATATATATCGAGTAAAAACATATGTTCTAATTGTACGAATATGTTTGACCTGGTAGTGTGGCATCTTGCTCATCGGACGAGTGCCTGCAGGCAGATTACACGGAAAATATGATTGCTATCACAGAGATGATCCGTCAGTTGCTGTCTTTCCACTCAATCCAAACGATCTGCGCTGTGCCTGAACGTTTTGACTTTTTAAACCAAGTTGCCTTGCTTACCATCCACTGCTTGAACGAGTCAGCCAAGGTTCCTGAGGAGTCTGAGAGTCTTATGGGGGCATTCGATGAACTTCTAGTGACCTGGGTTAAACTGGTGCAGGATTCGCAAGCTGCCATCTCGGATCACAACTCGCCTGCTTTGGTTGCGGACGCCACGAACCTGCTGCAGTTCTTTCACAGTATCAGCTACCGTATCGTGGAGAAATATGTCGATACTAGACTGGAGCTTGCAAAATTCAATGCCCTGGTGGATGAGGAGAGCGATGGATTCCAGGATTGGGAGACTTATGGCGACCAGCTGATTTCGATTGCAGCCTTGGCCAGACTAGATCCTCACAACACGTTACTCCGACTTCAGAGTCTGCTTCACGATCGCATCGAGCGTCTTCAAAACTTTCTCAGAACGACGCACGATGGTAGCCATCCTGATTATGTTACATTCTTGTATGAGCATCTGCACTGGCTGATTGTTATCACAGGATATGTATTTGCGGACAATAACGTCGGAGAGACAGCGCTCGTACCGGACACCCTTAATGAATTCTCGAAGAGCCAGGCCCTGGCGCAGGATCAGCTCGTCAACATTTTCAGCAACCTGATGAGTCTCCTGGACTCTGTTTCACTTGACTCTCACTCCGCGCAGGTACTTGATACTATAGACATTTCTGATTTCGCTTCTATGGCCCATCGTCTCTAACATATCTCGACTTATACCTCCTTCATATGGTCATCAGGCAATATCGTGCAGTCCTCAGGTCGCTCTTTCACTCTTCTGGTTCCTTGAGCGATGGGTAAAGACGTATCTCTTTATCGGTCCAGAAAACTACGCAAGCCTTAGGTAAGCCGTCTGACATGACAAGTATAGCTAAAACAAGGAACAGTGTGAAGTATTGACAAATGAATGCTTATTACTTTCTGAAAATATCTAGCTCCAATCTCTTGCAATCATATGGAGAGGCGTCTCAGGGGGGCAAAGGTAGCTCTATCCTGGAGTTTCTGATCATCAAACTGCGCATCAATTTTATCATGTGGAACGCGGACCCCGATGTCTTGGTCCAGGTATGGCTGCTTATCTGGTTTGTTGCTTTCAAAGCCGCGGACGTGACTAGGCAATGAATGCTAATGTGACACTACGATTCATGAATAGATTATCGCGCTCATGAACACATTCGGACAGAGATCCTCTGTACGAAACGCGCTTCTACAGTCTGGTGAGTGGATGTGAAGTTGGCATGGGCAAAGCGGTCCAGTAGCTGCGCGGAAGCATAATGTGCTAATCTTTCAACTGTACAATTACAACTATAGAACAATTTCCTCCGCTCGTTAGCTTCTTTATCGATCACCTCTCTGTCCTCCCTGAAGTCATCCACAAGTATGTGCTTCTTTTGTTTTTATCATGCAGCGCGTCCTGAACTTTCGCCTGCGAGGTCGCATGAAATACTAATCAAGGCACCTTTGTCATTTGTTATCTTCAGCTCGCTTATTCAGTCGATCACAAATATTATCTCGTACGCCCCTACCGAGCAACTGAACGGACATTACTTCAACCTGATCTCAACGGCTATCGAGACACGCTTTGCGGCTGTTCTACACGACAAGTCATTCCAGAGCAGATACCAAACTCCTGAAGTCATGAGCCAGATCATGAATGGCCTAGAGGTAACGAACCGTGCCCAAACAGGTGCGGCTTTATTTCCCACCAATTCATTCACATGAACATCAATTAATATCTTCTATTCCATCATTCTTCGAATAGATGTTCAATGGACTAGCATTGGCACTGACAGATGTTAATACTCCGATGATCTACAACTTCTGCTCTCGCTTCTTTGAGTCGTTCGTGGATCTGGTGAGGGTCTACAACAACTTTCCCGAGGTCCAAATCCTGGTGCTGAGGCTCTACACCGATTTGATCAGAAACCTCGACTTTATGGTCCTTTCTGCAGACCAAGTCAGTTATTTTCACACCTGCCTCTTAAAACTCTTGCAGACATTCTCGGCAGCAAATCTCGGCAATAAGCGAGCAATCGCTTGGGAGGAAGCAGAGGATGAGCCGTACAGCGACGTTTCGGTTGTATTGGAGATGTTGCTGAGTCTTCTGGAGGTCCGGGGCGTGGACCAGATGCTGGCACATGCGCCTAACGCCGTCGCGCCATCAACCGTCGTCTTTTCCGGCATCAATATTTTGATTCCCATGATCAAGGAGAACATGCTTAAAATCCCAAGGTTGTGCACACTCTATATCCGTCTGATTTCCAGGCTAGTCGAGTCGTACCCAGGAAGCCTTATCGAACTACCGAATGATCTGCTTAACAACCTGATGGCTTCCCTCAAATTCGGCATCGACCACAATATCCTTGAAGTGTCGCACTTGACCTTCCAAGCCATCACAGCATTGGCCCTGTATGCGTGTAATGCTACTTTCCGTAACTCGACAGAATACGTTGCAGGACTAAGAATCCATTTGGATCAGTTCCTGAAGTTGACATTTGAGCAGCTATTGTTTAAGAAGCTGGATATGGAGTTAGTCGATGTGGCGGGCTCGTGCGTGCTGGCACTAGTGTGTGCAAGGCAGGAGGCCTATGGTGGGCTGATCCAGGAGATGCTTGGAGCGAGTGAGACACCCCTGACGCCCGAGTTGCAACAACGGTTATCGGGCTCATTCCAACATCTTTCGGAGGCCTTCCCGACGCAAGATGTTGTTGGACAGAGAGAGTTGACGCCTAGGGATGTTGCCATGACGCCGGCCAGGAGGGAGGTCTTTATGAGGTTCCTAATGGGCGTGCGTGGTGTTTTACGGGTGAAGTAAAGGAAAGAAGGAAGGAAGGAAGGTGGAGCGCCGGTCTTAACTATGGCTCCTCCTGAGTGCTCTTTAATAAATTACTTCCGATAGAATAATGATTGTTTTGACGCGACGAAATTAGCACAGAACGTGTTGTTAAAAAACTCCCTGCTTCTCAAAATGTTTGTACTACAGTGATGTAGCAGTAAAAACGAAGCGAAAATGGGATGGTCTGGTTCACAATACATGCGCCCGTCAAAGGGAAGCTACATCTCTATACTGTGCAAGGCAGCGCCGGTATCGAGTATAAACAAATGAAGTTTGATTTGCTTCTCAAAATGGGCTCGTTTTCGCGCCTTTCAGATTCAGTCGCTCATGCTGAGAAAGCTGTAGCCATCATGACAAAAGTATCGATCTACGACAAAAAACAATAATATCCTGCATCAATGTCGGCAGTACTGTTTATTCTCGCTCCAAAAAAAGAAAAACGTATATTTTTTCCACCTGCGGACTTTTTTTCAGTGTATTCGTCACATCCTTTTTCGCCAAAGTGGTGGTCCTATTCTTCAACAGCTTCGCTATGTCGCCACACCGTGGCCCGAATAACCGAACCAGCTTTGTCGTAGGCGGTTTCTTGACAAGCAAGGTTCTTTTGACGGTCTTTACATCCGGTGTGATATGGCCATGCTGGATCAGGCCCTGCATGGTTCGAAAATCCAGGGCAGAGCGATGTTTTTGTTCTTTGTCCCTCCCAGTTGTTTTTTGATGAACACGTACTCTCGTTGCCTCTTCTGAAGCGAATGCACCGCCTCCCCAAACCACACTGTACCCCAAGAAGTATACCTTGCCAGAGTTAGTTCTGACACATATCGCCTAGTAAGGGGAGGGACGGAGTTGTATGCCTTATTCTAAAGCACAAGACGTTGAACTTGTTCAACAACCAATTTTTTTTATGTGTAGCATATCAACCCCTGCTACTGCGCTTCAAACTCAGGCGGATCCTGGTATGTATACAATATGCCTCGTTCCCACAGCATAGATGCATAGATTGCTGTTAGTTATTGAGGTACAATTGTTGGCTAAATGCGAACCGTTCCAAAACGATACTTTTTGTTCCATTGGAGATGCTGCGGCTGCATTTGATGCGCAGACAGGTACGGACAATGATGATGATAGTGTTGATACTGGTGTGGGTGCACCTCTTTTTGCTGTCAAGTACTTCGCTGTTGCTGTTGACGCTTCGGACACTATTGGTGTCGATGGTGCTGAACCAGATATAGTTGGTGTTGAAGCGAAGGTTCTTGGTGCGGGAGCAGTAGCTAGGGCTAGGGCAGGCTCAGATGCTAACTCCTCGCTAGGAATCCGTTTCGGGCTTGGTAAACTAAACAGATCCAGATCTGACACGCATATCAAAGTAGGATTATTAGATTCAAGTACTTCATCTCTGATCCCCAAGATACAACTCCTTTCATCGAAGGACTCCTGTGCATCCAACCACTCAAAAAGACCCACTTCCGAGTGAGTTTTCTCCCATGTTGCTTACTATTTCTTTTCTGTAATACAATATTGTTACACTGCGACACTGCGTTCTTTGTTTTCGGCCTTTTTTTTTTTTTTTTAAAAACTGATTCTTCCTCATATCACAATTCTCAAGGGCTGGGGTGCGATGCGTACCTTTGACTTTCCATGATGTACTGGAGTACTATATCCGAACGGGGATGCTTTTGCGCTCAACAGCTGCGACTGAAGCACTCTTCGGCAGTCAGAGGTAGGTATCCCGTGGTGTGCTGATGGGCACGTATTGCCGAGCCCTTGGCAAGGCATCACCGAGTACACCACATCGCCTTGTGTGGACTCTCAAGGCGGCCTCTTCATCTCGAATTTATCATTTCATTTTAATGCTCTGTGATATATTTTTTTTCTTGGCATACATGGCCTTTCAAAGGACCACTGTTCTACTTTCTATAATGATGCCTGTATGGCTGTGCTCTATCTCACTCGTCTTTACATCGACACACCGAGATTCGCGACAATCTTCTTGGCCTCAGACGCCTTCTGCTCATATGCCTCGACCCTGGCATGCGACTCGGCCAGCTTTTTCATCAGCCATTTGACGCGGGTATCAACCTCCTTGGGGACGCTTCTGCCTCCGAACAACCAGGATCCGTCCTTGTGCAACAGATTTGAGAGCTCCTTCAGCTCCGCCTCCCATTTTGCGACCTTAACCATCTCTTCCTTCTCGAGGAATGTCGCGGACTCGAGCTCCATCACAGCGTTGAAACCAATGTCGGAGAGGATCTCCTGGAATGCTGCGCGGTAGATTGGTTTACCAGGACGAAGAGCATATGGTCGCCCTATTGTTTTTTTGCACAAGAGAATATATCAGAATCTTGTGTAACAGGTATGCCTCTCGGGTTTTTCGACCGTCTCTTATTCGTACCATTTCTGTGCACGATAGTGATGAGTTCAGCTTGCTCCATGGCTGCGAAAGGCGACTCGTCGTTCTTGAACAGCGAATGAATCTTAAGCTCGTCAAAGTTGGCCTGAAATACCATTATACGTTAGTACCACGTCTTGAAATTGTCTTCATCAAAATAGTTATAAAAAAAAAAGAGCTTGCGAGGGGTGCGTTCCACAATTGCTTTGGCGGTCATTTCTGAAGCAGCTACTTGGCTGTTTCATGGGTGGTACCGAAGAGCAAGTAGAATTGGAGGAAAAGGTATTTAGAACTTACCGCCTCGCCTGCTGCAAGCTGCTTCATGACAGCCCAGAATTGAATCGGCGTCCAGCTCAATGTCCTGCCATCAGTGCTATCGAAGTCAAAGGCACTTTTCCTGACCTCAACGACCGCTCGCCCCCGGATATCATTCACCGCATCTAGATACCAAGTGCCAAAATCACATAAGGTTAAATTCTCAAGTTCGAACTGTCGATCGTTCTCGAAAGCGTGAGATAATGAGTGCTGCGAACGCGTGTCTAACCTTCAGGACTCAAGCCGCTCTTGATCTTTTGGACAAAGAGCTCCAGGTCTGTCAAACGTCCTCCGATCGTCTGGACGGATTTGATCAAGTCGGGAAATTCATCTCTGTCTAAATGTTTGTACACATACTCGAGGGCAGACTCCAGACTCGCATCTGCCAACACGATTGTTTCGAATGTCATGTTTGGCAAAGCTAAAAAGATAGAGTCCCACAAAGGAGGTCAGGGTAAGTTGGCTCGTTCCTGCATTCATAATTGTAACCGTGAACCTCACTGACGAGGAATGAACTTACCCTTAGCCAAGGGCTTGGCAGCCGCGACATTGTTGGTCAAGAACACGACATGTGCAACATGATTCTCGACCAAGACTGCAGCCCAGTCGGCCAAGTAAGTCCACAGTTCCTTAGTATGGGGCCCCTTCTCCCTGGACATGTATCCATCGATCACGATGATAGGGATTTCATCAGGGTCGACCCACTTGGTATCTTCTCCTTCCTGCCGTCTCTTCTTGGCCCTGGCCCTGGCAGCTCGCCTCGATTCTAGAGTATGGGTCGATGTGCCGCATTCGCCAGCCTTGATCATCTCCTCATGTCGGGCCTTTTCTTCAATGGTGGCCTCGATCTTCTTCATGATAGCCTCGGGCGAGTAGCTGGACATGTTCTTTGTCGGTGATGCCTGTTGGATGGCAATGGTCAAGGTATCCAGAATCTTTTTCATCTGCCCCTCGAACGTTGCGGACAGACCTATCGAATAAGGTGTTGTTCATTGTCAGCAAAGACGATGTCTGCACGGGCAGTATTCCAGATTCGTGATGAAGGACATGCAAATAAATCTCCGTACCTGCTTTTTGTCCAGTTGTAGCAGTAATAGCCATGTCCATCATGTTGTTGATGGTGGACATGAACTGGAACAAGGGGACGTAACCGACTTGTTTAGCCAGGTTCGTCAAGACCTCGCTTTCGCTTCTGGCGTTGGCCAACTCTTCACAGCTGATAACTACTTTGTGCTTCTTGTCCTTGATCACATAATCAACCATCTCGGTCTTTCCTGCGCCTCGAGGGCCATGGATAATTGCGAACGACTCTATTTTACAAGTTAGTGCACCATCCCATTAGCAATATTAGTCCCAGAATCGACTATCAAGACAGAAATCACAAGTCGACAAGGGTTGTCATGGTACTCATTTGTACCTGGTGGAATAAGTAGCCAGTTGCGGAGTCGTTCTTCCTCCTGTTCTCGCTCGCGCCATCCTGTCGCCTGCGATGGATCGATTGGCGCACGGGTGAGGCGCCCGATAGTCTCCTTGCGCAGCCATTTCAGGATCAGATACTCGTTCATATTGAACAACTGTGTGATCTTGGCATGCATGCTGAATACTCGCATAGGATCAAAGATGACAAACGAAACTCCAGCAAGCGCCATACCGCCGAGAGGCACGGTGATCCTAGGATGATTTGTCAGCCATGTCCAAATTGCATTTCCTTGCAGCGTTCTCTCGTATGTCACATTCAGTCGTACGCCATTGATCTCCGAACCATGTAAACAGCTCTTAGCACTGGTGGAAGCGCGCATGAATGAGTACTGGACGATAGCCTGTTTGGGCATGTCTTTGACTGGCGGAAGCATCACAATGTCCATGATTTTGCCGTACTTTCGGAAGAGTGCGTAGAGACCTTCGACGTTGAGATCGCCGGTATACTCGATCCGGATTCTGCTAGTTGGATATCGACTGGCCATGTCCTCCAGGAAGGGGGCTCCCTTGACAAGAAAGGCTCGCACCTTTTGAAAGTTGAACCACATGTAGTGATCGTGGCTGATAAGGTGCTGTTCACAACGGCTTTCGATCTCTTTAAGTGCCTCCCGTGTGGTGTATGAGCTCGGACGGACATATGAAAAATGCACAAACATTCCTCCGTCCTTCAGCCTATGGAGTGGGACACAGTGGCAGTGAATGAATTAGCTTCATTGACTGAGAGAAAAAGAGAACAAGAAAGACATCACTGAAACACATACCGCGGCTCAATACCACCGATCTTGAAGTGGAAGGGCATGGCATTCTCGGGTGGGACCAGTTCCATCTTAGCTTTGCGCTCGAGGGATTTCCATCCAGGTCGTAGAAGCGAATATCGAATGTCCCACCATCCCATCTTCAGCGGGTATGCATTGTCAAAGTACAGCATCCCGTATTGCAAAGGAAGCTGCATAGTTTAGAACGTAAAACAAATCCATTAAGCGTTAGTCCAGGGAGACAAGTGTAAAGACACAATATAGAAACGTTATGTCCGATCCATAAAGCTGTAAAAGTGCAGACCATGGCGATACCTCTTCTTCTACGACAACAGACGATTCGGTTGTGTACTTGCGTGCTGCAGTCTTTGTACCATTGACGGCTTTAGTGCGAAGATAAGGGGCTGGTTGAACAGAGATAGTTGGTGTGAAATGACGGACTGCTGGTGCTGTAGGTACGCTCCTGAGAGTGCGCACGGTTGTTGCCGATGCTGCAGTTGTGGGGGTAAAAGACGTCGGGAATAGAACCTGGCGACATGCAAACGCAGGAGCCGAGTTCAGGCGCATTGACGGCCTGCAGAATGTGGCAGCGCGATACATTGGCCCGTCGTGCTCTTTACTTTTCGAGAGGGATGGAGGGCAGCGGAGGTGATGTGTGGATCGAGGATGGGGGAGCGATTCTGATTCAAAGCGGTTATATTTTTTCAAGGTTTGGGCCCTTGGAACTGACTGAGGCCGTACCTGAATTTACCAAAAAAGGAGTATTCCGCAACGGCCAATCCTGCTCACTCAATTTGCTCCCCCAGGCACCAAGTGGCTTGTCAGTCAGAGAGCAACCGCGATCGTTCGGATCTTCCTCTCCGGAGAAAGCGATCCAACTCATCAACTACTTCCCTATACCATCTACGTCAACATGTCGGCATCTGTCCTTGTCAAGCAGGCCCTGCGGGTGCCCTTTGCCGCCACTATCAGGCCCGCATACGCCTCGCTCCTTAAATCCCACCAGTACTCGACCTCTACATCCGTCACTGAGACTCGGGAACCCGTCGCCCTCCAGGCCGAAATCATCAGTGGAGCTCCTGGTGAGTGCAGCACCTTAACAGGATCAACCCTGGGATTGACATGGAATCAGGAATCTACATTTCAGGGCTATGTCGCCTTTTTCTTCTTTTTTTTTCGCCTTACATGCATACAATATCTTTCACTGTATTTGGCATTATATTTCGCGGTGCATTTGGCACCATATTTCGCGTTGCAACTGAACCACGAGTACTTACACGGTGACTAATTGCTCTGTAATATAACGATAGAGGAGGTTCGTATGCATCCTTGCCGCATTTATCAGCAAGCAAAGGCCGCCACTCAGTCTGGAATCGCAAACACTGGATACTGGAGACTGGATTTCGACACCGATCTCGAGGCTGGTCGCTTTGAGAACGAGTTGATCGGCTGGGCTTCCAGGTACAGGAATGTTTCGACAAATCAATCAGGATGTCGCTGTGGTGGATGAAAAAATAACGGATCAAAGGATACTCACCGGATTTTGCTGTGTATCGATCTCTACCACTTTAGCGCTGATTACATGCAGGCCCTGGCCATGAAGTTCACCAGCAAGGAGGACGCCGCTGCTTTTGCTGACAAGCAGGGTATGTCTTTTTTCTTTTTCTTTTTCTTTTTCTTTTTCTTTTTCTTTTTCTTTTTTTTTCTCGTCGTTGAACCACAATCTACAATCTTTCCCAGTTACTAATTAATCTCGACACACACATAATGGTTTTTGTAGGCTGGGACTACACCATCCAGGAGCCCAACAAGAAGGTCTTCAAGAAGAAGATCTATGCTGACAACTTCAAGTACTCTCCCAAGAAGCTGCGCTTTGTCAAGACAAAGTAAAAAAGCGCAACGAACAAGAAAGAAACTACACATACAGGGAATATACGACGATCAGGTTCACCATACGTTGGTGACACGCAAAAGAAACGATTTTAGAACGTTGAAAAATAGACAATATCCACTCCACTCACAATTCATATCATGTTTTTGGGAACTCTGCTTATTGCTCCTGTCAATTACTTCATGTGCCTTTGTTTGAAAAGTATTAACGATCGGTGCGCTTCAGGAAAAACATCATGTGCTCAAAACCGTTTACTTGTACAAAGAAACATCGAGAATATATGCTGCCTATGAGAGCCGGCAACACTGGCTGATAGTGCTCCAAAAACTTCCTGAGCGACTTGACACAGAGTTACCTGCCCACTTCTTCCCTACAACAGTAATCTCAAAGACATCCTCCTCTTCTTCCTCTTGGGCGCGTCGGGTCTTGGTGTCCTCGCCAGGCCCATAGCTCTTGTCACTGTTATCGTCATCAGTCCACCAGTACAAAATCTGCTCGTCATGATTCCACTCGTAATGGCCACCAGAAACAGTGACCGAGCAAGCAGAGTCTTTCTCGGCCGACGCAGAGCTTGACGACGTGCTGAGGGAGCTTAAATAGTCCTCCACGCATGGGAAATGGATCCGGGGCAGATAAATCTCGGTCGGTTCATTGATCTTGCCGGGCATAGGTGAGTTCAGTGGATTGGATGCATCCCCGGGCTCGGTCGTGCGCGTCCGCTTGAACGAGAACTTGAAGGTAATATTGTTCAGCGAGAATGACAACTCCAAAGGAATACCGGCAACCTTTTGTGCAAAAGGTCTACAGAATGCAACTACAGCCCTTCCGCCCTGATCAAGGTTGAGGTGCTTGTTGCTGGATCCGTCTGGACTTAAACCTTGACCCTCGAGCAAAGCATGGCTCGAGGACATCGTTGAGGATAATGACTTGGAAGATTTCATGGAAGAGGACGACGATGATGAGGACAATTTGGCCACTCTGGCATGCACGGGCGACTGCTTCCGATCGGACAAATTCGTCGAAGGTGAACCCTGCGATTCAATGACGGTATTGTCTGACAAGGCCATAGAGTTGTCCGAGTCCATCACTCGGAGACTGAGCGAGTCGCTAGCGAGGCTGGATTTGCTGTTCTTCTTGCTAAGTCGGCCGGGATCTTTGTCTAGGTCATCTTTGCTCCAAAGTGACAGGTCCTCGCCATTCCATTGGTCGCCCCACTTGTGCGAGTTGTCCGGGCAGTAATTCCATAGTGTGAAGTTGAGGTGATTGGATTCCAGAGCATACATGTTGGCATCCATGGCCTTGATCTGGTCCTTGTAGTTGCCGTTGGGCTTGTACGCCTTACCATCGTTCATATCGTACGGGATTCCGATTTCTCCGATAAGTGTTGGATGCTGTCCAATGGCCTGCTGACCCTCCTCCTTGATGCTGGCAAGCTGTTCCCTGAAGCATTCCTTGATGGCCTTCTCGCCGATCTTGATAGCAGCAGCGTAGTTGGGGTATCGGCCGCGCTTCACACCCAGATAATCCACATTGAAAAAGTTCCAGCGTTTGTTCAAAAGCGTCAGTCCATCGTACCAGTGAGGTGCATAGACCACACGGGACGTGATGTCAAAGTGGGCCACGTCTTCATCGTCGTGGGGCGGCGGAAGCGAGGGTGGAATTTCGTTGACGGGAGGCTCCAAAAAGATGATGGCTGCATTGTGGATCGTTCGAATGGCCTGCGCATAACGTCTGCAGAAAGGCAAGAACGACCTCGAGTCAAATTCGTACTTTTCGCCGGTCTTAGGGTCCTTGTAGAAGTACTCTGAGTTCAGGGCCTGCTGTGTTGACATGTCCCAGACACCATGATGGGCCCATATACACTCTCCGGCCTTTGGATACTCCTTCGAGCGTTTCCATCCGAATCTCTTGTCCTTTTCATCACGCTGCTCCGGGCTGAGCCAGGCGGTGACGCCTTCAGGGTCGATCGTTCTTGACCCTCTTCGTTTGGGTCCAAAAAATGTCGACACCCAAAACTCGACCGTCTGTTTGGAACCTTGCCCGAGAAGCATGGCCTGCAACGGAGTGGGAGTAGCGTCCTTCTTCAGTTCCTGGTGATGAGGAAATTTTGTGATATCCTCCACGCCAATCCATCCGGCTGACGGCTCATTCAAAGTGTCGTACCCAACTACAACGTCGTCCTCAATCCCGTGCTGCTTGTTGATATATTCTGCTAGGGCCATGTAACTCTTGATGTAATGAGTCTGAAGGTAGTCCTGAATATTCATTTGATTGACGACGCAGTCAGGTGCAAAGGTGGATCCTGCGAAGAAGAGCGTGAACATGGTCGCTGCCGCCAATTTGTTGTAGTTCGTTGCCCAAACCATTTTTGGATAGTTCTCAGGATCTTCGTAGAAGTTCTGGACCAGAGCGGCATTTGTTTGCGGGAAGCAGCTGGGATCGAGTCCAGCTAGGTATAGGGTCCACAGTGGTGCGCCTGATCCTCCGGAAAACCTTGACCACTAATGGCGACAAAATAGGCATCTCTGTTTAGAAAGATGATACAAAATACGATATAGCACACGTGTTCTGTTCCACCAGAATGTCAACATCGGCTTACCACATCCTGATGAGGGTCAATGAAGCATTTAAAGCCGTATTGCTTGCACTTATAAAGCACCTTGACGAGGTACTCGAAGAAATCGTAATCGTACTTGCCACTATAATGAACATGATAGGAGGCAATGTGGTCAGTTGTTCCATCCGCGGTCAATAGGGGCAAGGGCGAACGAGGTGTTTGAGCATGGAAATAGCAAGGATGGGTTGTGGTCTGAAGCAGGTTTGGACGTGTATCTTGTTGCTATAGTCGTAAAGATCATCGACACCGGCATATTAAAAAGGGCCAGAAAAAAAAGTGGCCTGATTTTTTGTTCTCCACAGCTGGAAGGCACAAACAAACAGCATGGGGGTGTGCGCGAGAAATTTGGTGTCACTCGACCAGCTATGTTCTTCATTTATGATCTGCTGTGGATAAGTAGATATCCCGTTGCATGTTTCTGTTGGGCTTTGAAGGACGGGGAATGCACTCGTGGGACCACGCCTGAAAAAAGGTAAAGAGGCACACTACAAGAGGACGGCAGTGTGTGTGGAGGCAACCGCAAATGATTGCGCCGATTTCAGGCAGGTGTCTCCATCGGTCACTCTTTGCTCATCGAGAGAAAATGTGGTCGATATTCCTCATCTTTCCCGCAGTGCCTTGTTACATAACATCATAATCGAGACTAAATCCATGCCATGTCAGCACAGGCTCCAAAAAAGCAAACTACCCTCATTCCACTGATCGCATGCAGCAAAACGCACAAGTGGCAAAGCAGATAATGGGCCGACGAGAACAAGACTACCGACTGCCGCGTTCGGAGAAACGGTAGCACCTTAATTTCACCCTGCTGTTCATTTTCATTATTTCATGCCCATTGGTCTCAACCCTCTCCCCATCCATGCGTGCAGTGCAGGACGGGAATAGCCCAAAATGTACTGTGCGATGGCATCAATATTGAAAGTAATTAATATTCGCCAACTTACGGTCCAGCATGCTCGATTGCCTCCCAGGTGACAATGAATCGCAACAGATTGAACCCCCAGTGCTTGAGACGGGCTAGGTGTTCGTCTGCGTCCTCGAGCGGGAAGGGTCGGCCAATGAACGAAACCTCTGTTCCGTCATTGTCCAGGAAACCCTCAGCCTGGTGCGACGGACAGTTTACTGGCGTCTTAGATGCGCCTGACAGGTTGACCCCGCGCAGGGTCACAGTGCGGCCACTGTGATCCTTGAACCATGGGCCACGCAGGAAGAGAGGATTGGTCGATGTTGGGTGATGTCCTTGAGACTCAAACAGGCTCCCTTGTGCGTGGCTTTCGGAAGAACGGAAGGCAGCATTGACGAAGGGGCGGTGCGTAAGTGTAGGAGAAGCTGTGGTCGAAGTATTGAGCGAGGCATTGGAGGAAGAGTTGGCAAGGACGTGGATTCGCTGGTTGCGAATTTGAGCGTCATCGGTCAGGGTGGCCGAGGACTGTGAGGGACGCAGATTGTTGCTTGACATCGGTTTGTGTTCTGTTGGTGGGGATCCTGGTGGCAAAAGAAAGAAAGGGCTGGAGCGGATCGAGCGCGAGTGCTTTCTGGCGGTGGTCAAGAAGAGCGCCTGAAGGAGTGAGTGTCGACAATGCGGGTGAGCTGGCTGTTAAGAGGGAGCAAAGGAAATATATGTATTGGGATCAAAGGTGAGAGAAGGAAGAAAGGTGAGGGGATGGGGTGGAGGAAATAGCGGGCGTTATTTGGGAAAGAAAGAAGGTGGGCTGAAAAGTGGGAGGAGGAAGGACGTTGTGTGCGGACGAGACAGGACTCGTTGAAGCGGTGGACTGCGAAGACTGCTAGCCGTGCGCGATAGATAGAAATGTAAAATTAGAAAAAACTTGTCCAACTGCACACTCCACATTCAACCATTCCTCACACATCCACCCATCCTGTCCATCCCCTGGTCAAGACCCATCCTTCCACCTGTCCTTACAAAGACATCCGTAGAAGTGCTTCCAGTCCTTTCTTCGAACCTATCTCAGACACAGTGGTGCATGTCTTTCCATGAACCATGAAAACAGGACCGCAGATAGCCCCCAGGACCAGGACAGGGATACTTCCGTACCCTCGTTGCACATAGACCCCATTGCGCTGCAGCCAACCCCATATTCTGAGCCGTCCTCACCTTCCCCGTCATCCTCATCCCTCCCACGCCGAAGCCGCCTCTTTCTCCAGACTCCGGGTGTTCATCAATTGGACTTGAATCGCCTTAATGGGCCACCTAACAACAGCCTTCAGCCATCTTCCGCTTCCACCACTTCCTCATCCTCCTTCAATTCGGCTGCACCCAGTCAACAGCACCCGGCCGCCTTCTCCCCCACTAGCCACATTTCTATCCACAGTTCAGAATCCGATCTCGATGCTGGCTATCACCCTGAAAGATCCAGCGGTAATGAGGTTGCCCTCCGCAGGCGGAGGCATACCTCCTTCAACCTGGATGACCAGCCTTTCGCCCCTGCCCCTAGGTCCCACTCTGGAGCGTCTAAGAGCTCAACATCCTCCACACGAGAGCGGATACCAATTGCTCCAGAGTCACCAGCTCTGTCTTCAGTTGGTTCCAAGAGGTCCTCAGTCGTCCACAATCGTTCGTCAATTGCAGGACTACCAGGCGCTGAACATTCCGGAGGCTGGATGAGTGGGCTGTCTGAAGTGATGGCCAATGTATCCTCAAGGGTAGTTAATACGAGAGCTCAGGAACAGCCGCAGAATCGCTCCTTGAGTTTTACGCAGGGAGAGGCTAGCGAAAGCGAACTAAACGAGCAGCAACGATCAGGTCATCGTAACTCTTTTCATCAAGACACATCAGTCGTGCCAGATGTCCCTCCATGGGTTGCGCCAGCTGGAAATACCGCTGTATCTGACCATGGCTCCTCGAGAAATTTGAGACGATCGGGATCAAAACGAAGTTCAGGGAGCCACGCAGGCGGAACAAACTTGGGTGTCAGGACATCTCAACAAGGAAACCGTGGACCCCTACAAAGCACGGACAACTCGCGCTCGGGTACAGGATCGCATCTGGGAAAGCCCAACTCAGCACACCCAGAGAAGGCGTATCAGGAGGATGAGGAGTCACTGTTCACGCCAGGTGGATTTACACATCGTGGATCAGTCAAGATGCGACTCGAAGGTCGCTCACTCATGCTGTTCTCTCCGCAAAATCCGCTTCGACTATGGCTTGCGTCGATTCTTATGTCAAAGTATGAGCATATTTCAGTTTTGCATTATCATGATGGCATACGAAAGATAGCAGAGGCCAAGCGGCTAACATACAGTGACATTGTTGGATGGACACTAGATATACGGACCCATTTATTCTTGTAGTTATTCTCACACAATGGGTGTTTTTTGTCATTACGCCCATGACTCCAGAAACCAAGAATGTATTCGGCTCGTACTGGACGCAATACGGACTATTAGCAGTGAATATTCTTTATACGTAAGTTACACTTTTTTTTATATATATCCACAAGGAGATGCGCTATAAGGAGACGAGCGATTGACATACATATATCCTGCACTTCGTAGGCTGGAGATCCTGGCCAAGGCTATTGTATACGGACTTTTTTTCGACTGTAACGGTTTTCAGTGGCGGAAACGACTGCCCAGCGGGATCCAGCAACTTGTCAGCACAATATCCCCAGCCAAATCATCTGCTTCTATAAAGAACTCGAATTCACTCTCACGCGTCAACAGCGTACGCTCGCATTCCTCGGCGCTCGAAAAAGCACAAAGTCAAACCAATCCTTCGGTACCAGTCACGAAAGAAACGACTGAAACACCTGTTCCAGAGGCCGACAATCGACCAGCGCATGCTCCGTTCTTTAGATCGTACTACAATCGTCTGGATGGAATCGTCGTAGCCAGCTACTGGATCGACTTTGCCTTTATGATGACAGGAGTCCAGAATGTCTATGTATTCAAAGCAATCAGTGCTCTGCGACCACTTCGATTACTTTCCTTGACCGAGGGAACATCGGTAAGTAGAGGCATCGAATGTCAATATGCAATAATTTCGTCCGCAGCCGACTTTAACATCTGTCTATTAACATCTTCGACTGATGTAGACCATTATTGATTCCCTCTCGATCTCGGCACCCTTATTGCTCACCATCCTTGGATTCATTTTCTTTTTCTTCTTCATTTTGAGTCTCATTGGACTTCTTGTCTTCCAAGGAGCATTGTCGCGCCGATGCTCCATCCAGCAGCCGGATAATCCAAGCGTTTGTATGTTCATTTCGAAAATGTAGTTCACAATGAAGTGTCTTGGTCAACACTTTACGGCAACTAACCATCCGACCCAAATGATCGTTTAATTATTATTATTATTTCCAGGGGTACCTGTGTCGCCTGAAGTAATTTGTGGAGGATATTACAGTAACGGCACCATCATGGGCATTGTCAACTATATCGGACAAGGCGACGGAGACGATTCATCACCTAGGACAACGGCCATGATCTGTCCAGAGGGGCAGATTTGCATGCAGTTTCCGGACTATAATCCGCTGAATCTGATCTCGTTCGACAACTTTTTGTTTTCTCTCCTCACGGTCTTTACGGTCAGCTCCATGGAAGGCTGGACTGATGTGCAGTACTGGGTCATGGACGGTGATTCGAGATGGGCGGCCATATTCTTTTGCGTGGCGATCTTTCTCATGAGTTTTCTAATGATTCCGCTCTTCATCGGTAAGATATCGCTACCCTGTTGATATTGAGCGCCAAATTAGACTTTCTAATATTAACGGTCTTTTTTTTTTTTTTTCCTCCAACATTTACGTAGCCGGTATAACATACTCATTTGGAGCGGTTAGGGCGGAGAAGAGGCACTCAGCGTTCTCAAACAAAACTCGGAACACAAGGGTGCTATTGGATACAGCAGAGGGATGGCAGTTTGAAGATCAGGTGCTCCAAGTTCGCTCTCCATTCCGGCAATGGTTGATCCGGATCGTCAACGATCCTTGGTTCCCTATTGTTGGTGCTTTCTTGGTCTTTCTGGATCTACTCGCCATGTGTTTTCGCCGATACGACAGCTCGCCTTCAGCGTTGAAAAAGATTGACAATGTCGAGCTGGTCTTCACATTGATTTTTTTGGTTGAGATTTGTTTGCGCATTGCTGGTCATAGTACATGGGAACAGTTCTGGAGACGGAAATCCAACAAGTTTGATTTGTTTTTGGCTGTTACAACAGCCATTATCCTTCTGCCTGTAATTCATCGCTGGGAATGGTTCCGATACCTCACTGCATTCCAGGTCATGAGGGCCTACCGCATCATACCTGCAATCCCAGGAGTCCGGGAATTGATGGTAATGCTTCTAACGCTTATATTGTGCCAACTTGAAAATCTGTAATACCTATCCAGTGGAGGACCTGTCGATTGCTTATCAACAACCTGCATGTTCTTGTAATTTTGTAATAGGGCGCAGTCGTTGGAAGTGCCACAGGAATGCTGAATTTGCTGCTGATCACATTCATGTTCCTGTTGGTCTGTGCTCCGGTCCCAATGATGCTCTTTGGCGGCGACATGGACGGTGACGATCCGCAACCCATCAACTTTGACGATCTCGGCCAAAGCTTTATCTCTCTGTTCATTGTAAGCACATGGCGATAACGCAGAGTATTTTGTTTATTATTATTAAATAGAAAAGAAGAAAAGAAAACAGACGACATTAACTTCACGGCTGTTTAACATAGATCCTGACGGGCGAAAACTGGGTCAACATTATGTACGATGGACTGAACTCGCATCCTGAGCGATACAAGCAAGTCTATGGCGTCATATTTTTCGTTATCTACTACTGTGCTTCTCATTGTAAGTGACAATGTATTAAACGTCCCTGATCGGCAATCCACTCGACTCTCCGTTAACCCTTTTCTCTGTGTTTTTTAGACGTTCTTTTGAACCTTTTCATCGCCATCGTGCTGGAGCATTTTGACATGGATGACGACGAAAAATACAAAAAGCAGTTGGAAATCTACTTCGAGACACATCAGCGATCAAAAATTAAAAAGTCTATGGGCGCTTTCTAGTAAGTGTTGGTTATCTTGTGGTGCGCTGGAGCAAGTTGATATGGCAAAGTCTAATATGATCGATCTTTCGTCCGGCAATAGCTATCTTAATCCATATGCATACCTCCCTGCACGACCACAGACTCTCACCGTCAACGGATTACCCATGGACCAAACTGTATCGATCCGCAAGAACGTGTTCCGACAGTTTTTAGAGGGCGACACATTACCTGTAACTATCCATGATGCTAATTGTCCTGACGATTATCTAGTCAAAATGAGGTACTTATTATCTGGCCTCATCCACTGTTAGAACACAAACGAAATAATGGAGACCAAACCCCCGCTGATTGTCTGGCTTGAGCGGATGCGCGACTACTGGTTCCCAACGCAGGCGCAGCTGGAGGCAATGGATAGTACAAAGCCCTTGTTAAAAGGCGACCAGTCTGATTCCAATTATCCTGTCGCAGGAGTATCCGGGTTTGGAAAGGCGCAAGATGAGATCGATGCCAACCTGGAGCGCTTGGATGCCGGGCTTGAAAAGATCACTTGGGATATGAACCAGCATTCTGAAGATCCTCAGTAAGTTCATCGCCTTTTCTTCCTTTTTTTTCGCTTCACTGTGCTCTGCGTTTGCAAAAGAAAAAAGAAAAAAGAAAAAAAAAAAAAAAAAAAAAAAAAAAAAAGAATAAGGACGATTGTTACAATGATAGATATTGATCTGTATCCTACCATATTAATAGTGCGACCTCGAAGACGCTCTCCCCTGAAGGTTACCGCAATGCAAAAGGCAGACAGGAGACGCATGCGGACGAAGATCAAGCCGGGATTCAGGAGTTCCTTGAGGCCCATCCCGTCTACGATCGGTCTCTCTTTCTCCTGCCAAGCAACAACCGGTTCAGGCAGTGGTGCCGCCGTCTTGTGGGTCCAAGGATTGACCGCCAGTTGTCAACCATGAACCGATTCAACTGGTTTATCTTTACATGTATCCTGTTGAGCATTGCTGTCATTATCGCCGACGACCCGGTGGATAGACGAAGGGCCATGGTCTCAGGAAACACTAAAAGACAGGACATTCTTGGCGACATTGACTATGTCACAACTATCATTTTCGTTGTGGAGCAGGGTCTCAGGATCCTCGCGGATGGCTTCGTTTTCACACCAACAGGATATGTACGGAACTCTTGGAACTTTATGGACCTTTTTATTGTCGTTATGAGTTGCGTGATGACATTTACGCAAATCGACCACCTTTACAGCGTCTCACGAGCCGTCCGAGCACTATCCTGCCTTCGAGTGCTGCGTATTATCCGTTATTTCGAGGGTGTATCTGCCATGTTCAGGGCGATTGGGAAAGCATTGCCGAGGATGGTCGTCGCACTTGTTCTGACGGCGCTATTATTTTGGCCCTTCGCGATCTACGGCGTCAACGTCTACGCCGGATACTTCTACCTGTGCAACGACCCAACCATCACGAACAAAGGCGACTGTGTGGGCGAATTCATGAATCCACCCAGCGGGGACGACAATGGTGATATCTTGATTCCGCGAGTTTGGAGTAATCCTTACGACTACAGTTTCGATACTATCCAGGCCGCAGTGCTGGTGCTCTTTGAGATGGCCTCACAGGAAGGATGGGTTTTAGTCTTGCAGTCCGGTCGCGCGGTTCCCGATTATCTAGGAGAACAACCGTACATCCAGCCGGACGAACCCAACCGTTTCAACTCATTCTACTTTTTGGTCTTCATGCTGGTCGGCTCGATCATCTTTGTGCAAGTCTTTATCGGTGTTATCTTGGAGACGTTCAAGACATGGAACGGAATCTCGCTCTTGACTGTGGAACAACGTCGCTGGATCGATCTCCGGCGGCAGCTTCGGTTGATCAAGCCGACTGCCACCCCTGCAAGGCCCCAGAATCGTATCAGAGCCTTTTGCTACGACCTAGTGATTGAGAAGAAGGGTATTCTCTGGCGGATCATGACTGTAATTCTGGTGCTAAACGTATGCCTGATAGCCTCGCAGCACTATGGCCAACCGCAGCTACTGACCGACATTCAGGGTAAGGCTTCTCGATATGTCTTTTAATCTGCTCTTCCAACCTCTCGCAGACGGCAATTTACTAAAGGACCATTGCTTCGCTCTGGGAATAGATATATCGTACTTCATCTTCCTGGGCCTTTATTCAATGGAAATCATGATCAAAATTACTGGGTACGGGTTCCACAAATGGCGGTTGTCGCGCTGGAACCTCTACGACCTTGCCATTACTACCTTGGCATTGATCACACTTATTCCACGCTTCATCGGACACGAGGTACAAGGACTCCGGATCGCCTGCTTTGTTGCCCCTGGGTGTTCTCGATCGATGATACCAACAAATGAATTTAATGCCGTTGGCTCTCTATTATGGCATCTTAGCTGTGGACCTTGAGGCTGGAAAAGTTCCTGCTGATCACCATATCGTTTCGATTGGCGCAAAGAATCGATTCTCTTCAAGTCCTTTTCCGGGCATTGGTGTAAGTTGAACAGGACTTTTTTGGTTATGAACATGCGAGAAACTATCGGTATCTGAATACCTTTTTTTCATGATATAGGATTGCATTGGGATCTATCCTCAATATCACGGCAGTATTCATGGTAGTTTTTACCGTGTATGCTATCATGTTCCGCGAGCTCTTTGGTATGACGCGTCTCGGCCCCTCGACTACGGGACTTGCCAATTTTGGCTCGTTCGGGAACACGATGCTGATGCTGATCCGCATGACTACTGGAGAAAACTGGGACTTTGTTATGCACGACATGATGGTGGAACCGCCCAATTGTACCCCGAGTAGGACATCATATCTGGACGGTGACTGTGGATCACAGCCATGGGCGTATTTTATGTTCCTATCGTTTTACATTGTTTGCACATACATCCTGCTCAACATGTTTATCGCCGTCATTATCAGCAACTTTTCCTTTGCATATCAGCAGGATTCGCTGACGACCTTGATTACACGAGAGGATTTGAGGAACTTCAAAATGACGTGGGCCAAGTTTGATCCAAGGGGCACTGGCTACATTGATCCCAAGCACCTTTCAAAATTGCTGCGATCACTAGAAGGACGATTTTGCACAAGAGTGTACAAGCAACCAGAGTTCAGTACACCCAACCTTGTCAAGGCATACTCTTTTTCCTCCAGCCCTTCAGAACAACGTTCCTCATCAGGCAACGGGGGTCCAAATCATCTGCACGCGCCTCCTTCGCCGTCAGCTCAAAACGGATCCACGTCGCATCGGTCTGTACTCGGTCTGGGGTCCAATCGCCGAATGAATCGATTATCCATTAGTCCAAGTCTGTCTGCTGCCAAAAGCCCTCAGGGCGCTGGACCTTCTCCAAAGACTGTCCCGATTACCATATCCGAGTCCGAAACTAGCGCATCAGGTGAAAAGCAGAACAAGCTGGATGCCCATCTGGACCTCCAGGGACTTCAGCAGACACTGTCCAGGATTGACACCATGGACGTGTACCATCGTCGAAAGATCTACAACCTTGTTTACAAGGAAGCGTTGGCGACCTGTACTAGCCGTGGGGTTTCATTTTACAGCACTTTGGATATCCTTTCGTTCACTCTGGTGGATATTGAGCAGGCACTTGGGTAAGATCATATGGGAATGGCCCCACTTCACACTTCACTATGCTCTTGTAATGTTTTATGTTTTAACAGGAATTGGTCCTCGTTCCTGACTATTTTTATTACTAAATCATGAGTAGCATGGAGGAGTTTCTGACGCGAAATGAGCGTGTCAAGGAGGTCAAGGCCGCTGTCGCTCGCGAGACGATTCATAACCTGCTCCTCACCATCGTGGCCCGGCGCAATTTTTTGAAGCAACGTCGGGCCAAGCAAAACTCGCGGCTGCGCCCAGAGGTGCCTCGGATCGTCATCGACACCTCGGTCGGAAACGAACGCCATTTCCGTCAGGACACTTCACCCATGCTGAGCTCCTCTCCGAGCGGTCGATCCTCATTCATCCCTTCGCCCATTCTAGACTTTTCAAAGGGCCATTCCAGTTTTCCTTCAGATGATGATCTATCCCCTGTTGGAGTATATTCCACTAATACGATGCTCTCGATCGGCTCTAACGAGTCGAATGGATGGGAATCGTACGAGTAAGTGGTAATACTTGGAGAAAGGAATACGTAAGATCTATGAGTTACATACTCATACACTCTTCCCTCAACTTCTAACATCTAGGAGGGACTCTTACAATCGCACGTCTGCACAATCGGATATTTCGGACTACGCGATGGATCCGCGGATGGGATCCCCAACATCGGGTTTCGTTTTCGAAGGATCGACCTGGTTTAGTAAGTGCTTTGGTTTTGGTTTTGGTTTTGGTTTTGGTTTATCGTTGCAGTACACACTTGCTATTTTTGTGATACTAAGCAATTTATTATACGCTGGAAAATGATAGACATGTTGCAGGATCAGATAAGAGAGCAAGATGAAGCCCTGGCAAACCACAACAGCCATCTCGACTCTCGACGGCACTCTACACAAGGCAAATGAACTGAATGGTCCCTCGCTGCCTAATACTCAAGTGCGTAGAGCTCATGACACACTGCACTATACCTACACCATAGCTTCAATCCTAATCATATGTAATAGACCATCCCTCAATGGACAATGGAGCACCGCAACTTTTTTTTTTTTTTTTTTGGTCCTCACGAACACGCGCGTGTTTCCAACAGCTTATTTTCACGTGACGGGTGTTTGTCCTTTCTCCGCACCACGAATACTGCACCCGGGGTAACTGATCTCCATCTTTTTCCTTTCCCTCTTTCGTCTCCCTCCCATCAAACCCTCTTTTCCTAAATCACTCTCCTCTCTACCCCTCTTCTCCTCTTCTCCCCAAGACAACACCCGCCAACAATGTCCTCCAACCTTCGCATCCTCGTCGCTTGCAAGCGCGTCGTCGACTACGCTGTCAAGATCCGCGTCAACGCTGCGGGCACAGCCGTCGAGACCGCCAATGTGAAGCACTCGATGAACCCCTTTGATGAGATCGGAACAGAGCAGGCCATTCAGATCAAGGAGGCCCTCGCCAAGTCCAAGGGCAATGCTGAGGTCATCGTTGTCTCTTGCGGCCCCACCAAATCGCAGGAAACTCTCAGGACGGCATTGGCCATGGGCGCTGACAGGGCTATTCATGTCGAGACCAATGATGAGCTGCAGCCCCTGGCCGTCGCCAAGCTGCTGAAGGCGGTTGTGGAGAAGGAGAAGCCCGATATGGTGATCTTGGGCAAGCAGGCCATCGATGACGACTCGAACCAGACTGGACAGATGCTCGCTGGACTCCTGAACTGGCCCCAGGTAAAGAATAATGAATGATTCTTTTTGTTCAAAGGCGTGTGAAAAATCAGGGCACGACAATTTCCAGGAACGGTGTCTCGCATCATTGGTGCCATCCCAGTCAGCTACACGGCATTGGACCTCAGTCTCAACATTGACGAATGGCGATACAGCATAGACAACCCAGGCACACACCACGGATAGTACATTCATGGACGACGTTCTACAACGTATAGGGAGAGATCGATGAAAGTCGTATTGGAGCGATCTGATATCTTAATTGAGTCACCCCTACTGATCCAACTCGTTTTCGTATGTCAACGCAATACAGGCCACTTTTGCCTCCAAGGTCGAGCTCAGCGAGAAGGCCATGACCGTCACCCGTGAGGTCGATGGGGGTGTCGAGACTGTCAAGACTCCTCTCCCTGCTATTCTCACCACTGATCTCCGGTAAGTCAAGGCGATCTATATCCCTGTTTTACGGTGCACAACAGGTTATCTCAGGGCAAGGTTGACATTTCTATGCATTCCACGATCTCTCTGTCTCTAACGTATAATTCTTTTTTTTTTTTTTTTTTTTTTTTTACGCTCGATCCCTCTAGTCTCAATGTCCCTAGATATGCTTCGCTTCCCAACATCATGAAGGCCAAGAAGAAGCCCTTGGCCAAGTTCACTGTCGCAGATTTGGCTGTTGATATCAAGCCCCGCATCGAGATCTTGAAGGTTTCCGAGCCCCCCAAGAGACAGGGAGGCAAGCTTGTCGAGAGCGTCGATGACTTGGTCGACAAGCTGAAAAACGAGGCCAAGGTCCTGTAAATTGTTTTCCCTCTCCGTTATCCCTTTATCCCTGGACTAAAAAATCAGCTCTAAAAATCAAAAAGTCCTTGATTCAATTAAAAAAAAAACAAACGACTAGAATTATACTTTCTTTAGTTGGCTCTGTTGGATCTAATAGCCCTTTCTATGTGGATATTGAGTCCCCTGCGTGTAACGCGGAATGGCATGTGGAACAAACAGGACGCGTCGCGCGAGAACCGCCTGCAATATTAATAAAATAAAGGAGTCTTGCTGCTTTCGTACCGTTCATTTTTTACCTCCCATGGTCGTTATTAAGGGAATACGAGAGTCTATTTATTGTATAACAAAATGGTACTCTATCCATCCTGTCTACGCAACAAGCGCCTCCGTCCAGTCAATCTCCAGTGCCTGGTCACCGCGGATCTTGAGTCCTTCAGGCGCCTTGAATCGAACCACGAGCTGCGCCCTTGAAGCATCCCATTCGACAGCCAAGTCTTCTGCAGGCACCGCGCTCAACTCGCGCTGATGCTGCAAAGTCTCTGTCTCGGGTGGGACTGCGCTCACGATCGATACTCGGACCTGGTGTGCCTCCACCTGACTCGAGGACGCTGCTGCGCCCTGGTTCTTTGGGACCTTGCCCGCCACCACAGGGTCCATGCCCACTCCCCACACGACGACCGACTGTACAAACGTAGGCCTCAAATCGCTCCTTCCCTGTGGCACACACAGTCCGCTGTCGTCCTCTGTAGAAGCAGCAACAGCACTAGCACTAGAACGAGCACCACGAGGGGGCGCCTTCAATGGGTCCACAAGAGCTTCCGCGGCCAAGGAGGTCATGGTCAGCATTCCAGGGCGTGCCTCGAATTTGACGAGCGTGCCGTCCGCGGCCTGAAGAGAGTCGTCGTCATGATAGTATTCTCCACGAGCACACTCTGTTTCATCCAATGCCACCAAGACCTCCAAAGGCGCCTTCCGGACCTGGGTCGTCGTCCGGATGAATTCTCCGGCTGGAATGCCAGCACGGGGCAGGATGTTTCCTCCGCAGACATGGACAGGGATCTTTTTCAGGGGCGCATCCATCTCATAGACCTGGCTCACACTACCCTGGGCGGTATCGTCCGTCCTACGGGGCACAAGCACCTCCAGTGCACCTGTGTGTAAATTGTACCATCGTCCCGCCGGGAATCGAGCCTTGACAGTCTTTTGCTTGAGCTTCAGCACAGGTGAGACTAGGATGGATTCTCCGACCAGGAACTGTGTATCGTTCACGAGCAGGTTTTCATCCCTGGGGTCCAGAATCCACACGGGCGAGCAGACCATCCGACCGTCTTGATGGGCTCGATAGAAGAGGGTGTACCAGTACGGCAGCAGTCTGTAGCGCATCTCAATGTAATTCTGACTGACCTCCAACAGGTCCTTGGTCACATAGGGTTCCTGTGGGGGGTTGTTCAGACAGTTGTGGTTCCGCATGAAGGGGTAGAACGAGCCTAGTTGATGCCAACGGATCAGGAGCTCCTCCGACGCGGTGTCACCGAACCCTCCGATATCGGCGCCGATCATGCTGATACCAAAGAACTGGAAGTTCAATAACCCGGGGATGGATTGCTTCATGTCGTATTCGGTCGACCAGTTATCGCCATTCCATTTGCAGACGAAGCGACCAGAGCCCGGGAAGGTACTACGTGAGAGGACGAACGGTTTCCGCGTCGGCTGCAGTTCTCGGATGGCCTTATAAGTGGCAATACCTTCCATGTGGCCATAGAGGTTGTGGGCATCGTACTCTGTGACACCACCGTGGTGCAGAGCGTCGGGAGAAATGGTCCGGTATTCGAGATCCGCGTGTTCGTTGTTGTTGTTGATACGGTATGGAGGCTGCTTCGCGTTAGCGTAGACCACATTGGGTCTGGGTTCTTGGCCCTCATGGTTCCTGTGCATCGGTAGGGACTCGCCGCCAGACTGCTGTCTCTCCAGATAGTGAGGATCATGTTTCTCCTCGTATTGGTGTTCATGCATGGCGATGGTCTCCTTGGGCTGCGCGGACTCGAGTGGGCGGACAACGGTTTCCTTGTCCTGTTGTTTCTTGGTGCGGGAACCCGCATGCTGAGGCTGCTGCACTTTGCCGCCGCCTTCGACCACGGCCTCGCCCTCCTCATCATCGGCCTCGGCCAGTGCAAAATCCGAGACACGCACAGGACGATCTTCTGAAGATTCGATATGCGAGCAGTCGCCGTCATGGAAACTGGCGGCCTCGTTCATATCGATCCAGATCCCGTCCAAGGGCACCTGACGGCACCACTGACCAATGTGTTTTGTCCAGTAAGCCTGAGCCTCGGGATGAAACCAGTCCGGGAACGTGGTCTTGCCTGGCCAGACCTTGCCGACGAAATCGACCAGATCGCCGTCATGGTATTTTGTTCCGTCTTCGGTCTCCTCTAGCTTGGTGACCCGTCTCTTGATGAAGAGGTTCTTGTCGACACCCTCGTCGTAGGGTTCATAGAGACCGCGCTGGTACTGGACCTTGATGCCTGGATCGAGGATCATGACCATATGTTGGTCCTGAGAATGCAATTCGTCCACGTACTCTGCTAGTTGCTTGATTGGGAACCGTTCCTCGTCAAAGGTGAAGCATTTGTAGTCCTTCATATAACTGTATCCAGCAGAGCATCAGCATCAGAAAAAAAAAAAAAAAAAAAAGAGGACGGGTTAGCAGAGAAAATGAATAAACTGCAAAAATTGAGATAGTATAGATAATAAGAAGCACGGCGCAAAAAAAAAAAAAAAAAATGCATTCATCCTTTACTCGATATCGATCCACATGGCCTCGAGGGGCACCAAGTTCTTTTCAAAGTTGGAGACGATGGTCTTGACCTTGTCGAGGGTATTGTAGCCCCACCGACAGATGTGGAATCCCTGAGCGTAATAGGGGATCATGCAGGGCCGACCGATGAGCTCGGTGTATTGTTGGATGACCTGCTGAGGCGTGGGGCCCGTGAAGATGTAGAGCTCAATGGTGCCTCCGATGACTTTGTAGGTCAGTTGGTCGCCCTTGGGCGAGAGAATGATGTCCATCCCATTGGAGCTCATCAGCAGCTAAAAAAAAAAAGACCATCGTCAGCAGAAAGAAATTCGATGCCAGATATTGCATTCAGATCTACATATTCTGTGCCCACTCGTGGGTCCTCCTTATCTGAACAAAAAAAAAATGTTTGGGCAAGAGATACAGCGATTGACGGAGATAGGATGCAGCCATCCTCACACAATGATGACGACGACTACTTTTTTCCAAGACCCCCCCCCCCCCAAGGGGGGGTCGACCACGGCGAATTGGCCAAGTCGTCGTGAACTCGCCCAATGACGCACGTATGATGATGATACAGAGCCATCTCCATCAAGTAACAATTTGGTACTTACAACACCGTGGGCCGCTCCAGAGGGCAGGATCTCCATGTAAAAAGGATGGGATCCGTAGAGGTTAATGTTGGGTTTGCAGGGGCTGTCGCGCGCCCAAAGCGTAGTGGTCGTCCCTGTCTTATGACGCAATGGACCAACGTTCTCGCCTAGACCAAAGAGATTGGCGGCCTGTCCGTGGGTCGATCCACCGACTAGGCGGGTCGAGAGCTCCAGGTACTGATCCGACATGGTCAATCCCAAGGAGGAGGTATCGAACAGCTTTTCACCCGTGGCCTTTCTCACGACAGTGAAAGCAAAGGACCCACGGTCGTTCCAAACAACTTCGTAATCCAAAGCTTGTTCTAATTGGCCAGATTGATTACGATTGAGGGCTTGCTTGGGAGGAAATCGGGGGACGATGGACTCGGGGACCTTCCAGGCTCGACGGTGTGCATTCTCTATCTCGAGAAGAAGTCTTGAGGGTGACTGAGCCTTGAACCTCATGTCCAGTAACTTGGGATCGGGGCCGTAGGCAGAGCCATGCTTTGCCTCTCTGGCGAGACCGAGCTGAAGACGGACCTGGTCTGATTGGTCGAGGGGCACTCGCCATGGACCTGAGTCTTGTTCAGGCTGAAGAGACGGATTCGAGGAGAGGACTTTGTAGTCGGCTGTAGGCGGGGAACTGGGGGTAGCGGCGGCGGTGGCCAGGGCCCTTGCACCGGTGGATCTAGAAGTAGCCATGGCAGCAGAGGATGGTATCTTGCTGGAGAGGCGAAGAGTGAGAACGAAGAGGGAGGGTGGATGAGGACGAGGGGGGGTCGGGCGTGAGAAGATCAGAGGCAGGCGCATGCAAAGGAGCAAAGCGCAATTCCAGTTGGAGGGAAGAAGGATGGAGGATGGTACGCTACAAGGAGTGTGGAGGAGTTACGCTGCGAGAAGTGAGGTGAGTGAAGAAAGAGAAAAGGGAAGAGAGGGAAGGGAGGGGGGGGGAAGGGGTTTTGATTATATCATAGAGTCGGTGACAAAAAGGCGGTGACGAGGGGTGGAGCTGGAGGGAAACGCGTGTCGGAGAGTGTACGGCCGTGCTGTCGCGTCCTTCTGTCGCACTTGTCGCGCTTGTCGCATTTGTCGCATTTGTCGCATTTGTCGCGTATGGAAATACGGAAAGGGGGAGCGAGTTTTTATATATTTATATATCCTTTTGGTTCTAGTGTTGTGCCCATCCACCAGGCCTGGCCCATGCGAGGGCACCCTACACAGACACACAGACACATAAACACACACACACACCATCCCAGTCCAGGTCGTCAACTGCACATGGGGCATGTACTTGTCCAGATGTACTCTGACTAAGAATGGAAAGCAAGGGGATGGTTGGATGCCATCTCGCTCTTGGCGAGAGGGCGGGCCAAGAACCAAGAACCATCACCCCCACGCAGCAATCGGACGAATGCCAGCCCCCGCGACAGAGACAACAGACCCCGGGGTCGTCCCCCACTAATGTGTCTCGCAAGGACAGGAACATCATTCGTTCAGGCGCGAGTGGGTGTTGCACAGTCGCGGGTGAAATGGAACAGAGGAAGAAAACGAGAGAGAGAGTACAGGCGGACGGGTACCTCCTGGTTTGTGCAATCGACAAATGAAAGACAGCACCCAGAATGAAGGAAGGAAGGAGGAAGACCCTCCCGTCCATCCGTATCCCATTGCTCTCTCTCGCTCTATCTCCATCTCTCTCTCTCTCTCCCTTCTCTTCTCTTCTCTTCTTCCCCTCCTTCCCTGCTTTCCTCTGTCCTCTCCTCGCTCTCAACTCCTCCCTCTGCCCCTCCCTCCTCTCTCAAAGCCAGGCCGCTCCCTCGCTGTGTCTACTCTTAATACCCTCTGCAGTCCACACGTCCCCCTCCTCCTCCTCCTCCTCCTTTCCTCCTTTGGGCTGTCACCTGGTTTTCTTCTTTTCTTCTACATACACACACACCCCCTTGCTCAAACATCCTACCGCCCCACGGTGCTCATCCATTCCCCCATCCACACTTTCTGTCCCGCCCTCAGCTCTCGATCCTCTGTCCTGGGTCTGCCTCTTGTGTATTTCTGTGCTCTACCCCGCAAACCACCGCCTCACACCCTTGTCGGTCTCAGATTCAGCACACCTTCACTCTTCCACACCTCCAGATGGACCCCTCCGCCCACACAGAGCCCCATCTCCAGCGTCAACAACAACAACAACAACAACAACAACAACAACAACAACAACAGAACCTTACTTCAATACCCCCCTCCAATACAGCCACAGCAGCAGCAGCAGCAGCACCGGACTCGGCATTACACCACCCGCTGTCCGCGGACGACACCTACCCCTTCGTCGTCGTCAGGGCTCTGTACCCCTACCAGTCCACGGACCCTGCGACCATCTCACTCTCCTTCCAAAAGGATGATCTGATCCAGGTCGTCGCCCAGCTCGAGTCCGGATGGTGGTATGGCCTCTGCAACGACGCCCGTGGCTGGTTTCCCTCCAACTTTGTCGAGGAGATCTCCCAGGCCGAGCTCGCAGACGACGACTCGGATCCAGACGCGACGGACGAAACGGCAAGTTCTGAATCCCATTGGAATCCTCGACCACCCTCACCCTCAACCGCCACCTTACCACCTTACCATCTTGGACGGGTCTTTGTGTCATATTTCCCCACACGACCCCCCCCCCCCAATTGAAATGACATTAGCGATATTAATGATATTCCTCAAAAAGCAACTGGTCAAACGCTCTATTCTCTAAACAAGCAATCGGAACTAACAGAACCTTGGGCAAAGACACTAACAGACAATCTTTCCCCTACATCTTTCTTTTAAAAAAACGCACCCCCTCCCTGCCATTTGCTGAATACATTGTGCTCGTAACAGACCAACGACGACCTTTGGCTGCCCCAGACAACACCCGACGGACAAGTCTTCTACTTCAATACCCGCACAGGAGAATCTTCCTGGTCCATTACTGGCCCACCTACGCCTGCGAAACCTGAAAGCAAAACACAGCCAGCTGTCATATCGCCAACGTCCTCCTTCACCGCTCTCTCCACCTCACTCACATCCACAGAAACCGGAGCAACCTCCGCAATATATCCTTCATCCTCTGCACCGCCCATTAGGCCAACGGCATCTCCGCATCCAGACCACGGTAAGTGTGTTCTTTTTTTTATTTTTTATATATTGGTCCTTCTTATGCAGGCCCAGATGCTGTGATACCCTTGAATTCGTGTCCAGGTATCAATGTCGTGATCTCTACTCTCTCTCTCTTTCTTTTTTTCTCTTTTCATGTGTTTCTTTTCTTTCCTCATACTCCGCGCGTCTTTATCATTACGCTCTCTTTTTTTTCCCATGGCATCTTCTTTGTCTTTATGGTGTGTTTTTTTTTTTTTTCCTCCTCCGCTCCGTTTTTTTTTTTGCCCTGTTGATAAAGAAAGATACGCGTCAAGGTTTATCAGGATCAGACATGCTACAAAAAAAGTAGTCTAGTTCTTTCATATATTTTTATGATTTTGAAGACCGATAGACAGTGCGCAACTGCATCAATTCATACAAAAAAAGAAAAAAGAAAAAGACGACCGGAGCACATATTCCGATCGCCCCGTCCATTCCATCGCACACACACACACACACACAGAGGAAATCCGTTCGTTTTTCTAACACCAAAGTGTTCCTTCCTCTTTTGTATTGTATTGTATCGTTAACAGGCTCGATCAATGACCCCACGATCGGCGCATCCTCGACAACGTCCTCCCTGGCCAAAGGAAACAGTGCAGCCTCCTCTCATACCTCACTAACAACAGGCGCCAGGGATGTACAAGACGGTCCCAGGAACGTGTCGTCCTCAGCCCATGATCTCGGAGAATCTGACAGCCGTAGTGATTCCACACGACCCGATTCCTGGCAGGCATCTGCGGTACCGGTAAGAAAGGCAGCTCTAGTTGTTGTTGTTGCTGTTTTTTCTTCATTTTTCTTGGTATATCTATCCTATCTTGATCCATGTCCCCCTGGGAACGATGCAGAGATATGTATGGTGTTACTGCGGTGGAGGCGAATGAGCTAAGTGAGCAAATACCAGCGCGTAAGGATGATGATGCTGCTGCTGATGATGATGGCATGCAGGGAGCGAGAGCAAAGGGAGGGAGGGAAGGGGCATGAAGGAGAAGCTATATTGAAAGAGCCTGGATGCTATCGCCACCACGACATGATTCCCTCCACTGCAGCGGGTCGTTTGGATTGAGACTTGAGCAAAAAGCGGTTATTGGATGCAAATGAGAGCACATTCTAACGGACTTTGGCGAACATCTGAATGGATGGGAAACAAAAACGACCGGGGGAACTATCCGTTTTGTTCCCACCGAAAAAATGGACGCGTTAAAAATAAGACGGACCTTTCCCCTCCCCCTTCCCCTTCCCTGTATCCCTGTACGAGTACTATACCATACTAAAGTACGCTGCTTTCTTTTTTTTTTTTTTTTTTTTCTTTTTCTCAGACGCGAGCGGGGTCTCCTCTGACCCATGATGGATTTCTTGTGCCGACAGGCATCCGCAAGCCCTCAAGCGCACGCACGGCGGACCAAACAGAGGGTTTGCCACCACTGCCGCCGGTCTTTAATCCATTCGATTCCGAACCCACATGGGACTCTTTAGCGAAACATACATCCAGCACACTTCAGAACCTCCTCCACTCAGCGGATCATGGCTACAAGCCATACTATCAAATCCAGGCCGCCCAGGTCGTCGAGTCTGTCCGGGTGATGTTCTATGCGTCCGGGACGATCGACAAGGACGCGACTCCTATCCGGCTGCACAGGAGTCTCAAGATCCATCATCGTCAGATCATGGCTGCCCTCTCCAGACTGGTACTATCGGCCAAGATGGCGTCGAGTGTTTGGCCCGCTGAGGGGGCAGTTGGGAAGATGCGGTCCGATGTCGACGATGTCGCAAATTCGGTCCAGCAATTCATCACGGCGGCCCAGAATGTGGGCGTGACAGTCCATGATGTGGACGCGAAGCTGATCCTCGATTCCGAAGCACCGCTCGAGTCCAAGCCCGGAGGACTGAAGCTACCGTACAGCACAGCCTCCAGCACCCCTCGACTGTCGTTCGATAGCGGCGACAAACACCCGTACAGGCGATCGATGGGTTCGGCGGGAATTCTCTCCCAGCTGGACTATTACTGCAAGAGCGCGTGCAAGGCCATCGGGGTCCTTTCGTTACAGATAACCAAAGCTCTGGAGAACTCTCAAAAGGTGGCCTCGCTGACGAGCTTTGACACTTCTCGAGTGCACCTGGCGCCCTCGGTCATGAACTCGGCGCAGTCCTCACAGTTGGTGTCGCAATGCCAGCAGACGTTGTCGCAGATTGGGCAGTTGCTTGCCCTGGTGGGCGAGTACTATGCCAAGGTCTTGGCGGATCACCCGACGATCAAGGACCATATCTTTCTGGATGTCCGGGTCTCGAGACAGGCCCTTTACAACAACGTGGCGGCACTTGTGATGGCCGTCCAGCTGGCAACGGATCCCATGGCCCAGACGACGGTGCTGGAGATGGCATTGGAGGCCATTCAGACGGCAGAGAGATCCGTCATGGACCTGACATCGGCAGCTCGGTCGCTGGCGCAAGAGAATGATGAGGCAGATAGACAGGCGCGAATCCGGATTACTTCAGAGACGAGCTCAACATTGGTCGGCCAGGCGAGTTACTCGAGCTTTCATCGACAGAGCGAGATTGATGGATATTTTATGGAGCTTGATTCGGATCTGGATGCGGAGACGGCCAAGAGCTCGCGTCATCGGTCGGATTCTCGACCGTCGTCCTTCTCGTCCAATTCTTCGATTTCGGGCGTGTCTGGGATTTCGGCACCGACCACTCCAGGAACGGAATACACCGGCCGGTCCCACCCCAGTGTCTTCCCCTTTACACAGCCATCCGTGACATCGCCGATAGAGATCAACCCACCGACAGCATCCCGACCTAATATTTTGCTCTCTCAAAAGGCCAATGCTCGGGGTGCAAAGCTGAAGAAGATGCTGGGCGAGGACGCGCCGACACCAAAGCCGGCCAAGGAGATCGAGACACCCTGGTACCTGGGGCACGACTATTCACCAGCAGATATATCGTTCAACATGGAGGGGCATGTCCGGGGCGGGACGTTGCCGGCGTTGGTCGAGCGGTTGACGCTCCATGACGGGCTGGACGCGAATTTTGTGGCGACGTTCTTGTTGACCTATCGGTCCTTTACGACGACTTCCCAGTTCTTTACGCTGTTGTTCCGTCGGTTCACGATCTCACCGCCCCCGGGACTGGATCCAGCGGAACGGGAGCAGTGGACGGAACGGAAGCTGACGCCGATTCGGTTGCGGGTGTTCAACATTATCAAGTCCTGGCTTGAACATTACTATCTGGAGGACGAGGTCGAGGACCACCAGGTGCTGCCACGGATCAAGGAGTTTTCGGAATCGAGTCTGATGCGGGACACGTTGAGCTTCCCGGCGGTGCAGCTGATCAAGCTGGTGGAGAAGCGAGAGACCTCGGATGGGTCGTTCCGCAAGATGGTGTTGAACTTGTCGACACAGGCGCCCCAGCCGATCACGCCCCGGAATTTGAAGACGATCAAGTTCTTGGATCTGGATCCGTTGGAGTTTGCGAGACAGTTGACGATCATGGAGGCGAATTGTTATAACCGGATCAAACCTGTGGAGTGTCTGGCCAAGGCCTGGACGAGTGAGGACCCGGAGATGTCGGCCAAGGCGGTCAACATCAAGAAGATGATCGAGACCAGTAACCTGTACGCGAACTGGATCAGCGAGATCGTGTTGAAAGAGAAGGAGGTCAAGAAGCGGGCGGCGATCGTCCGACACCTGATTACCGTGGCCGAGGTAAAGTGGGCATTTTCTTATCCCCTTCCAACGGGGGGTAGTGTCTCTTAGTATCTCTATGCCTGCATGTTGATTCTCCAGTTAACCAACTTGATTTTTTTTTTTTTTTTACTTTGAATCTTTAGAAACTGCGCATGCTGAACAACTTTAGTATGCTCTCCAACACCACCGCAGCCCTCGCGCACTCACCCATCCACCGACTCAAGCGCACCTGGGAACTCGTGCCGACCCGGATGATGAACGTCTTCACGGCCCTCCAGAACGTCACGAGCTCTGCCAAGAACTGGGGCGACTATCGTCAGGAGCTCCATTCTGCCAACCCACCGTGTGTGCCGTTTGTGGGGGTCTACCTCACAGACTTGGTGATGATCGAGGACGGAAACCCGGACATGCTCAAGGGTGTCGAGAACCATATTAATTTCTACAAGCGCGTCTCGACCGCGGAGGTCATCCGGGAGATCCAACAATACCAGTCGGTGCCATATTGTCTGACCTCCGTCCGAGAGATCCAGGCGTATATCCGAAGGGGGCTGGACCATGCAAAGCCAGTGGGGGAGCTGTACGATATGAGTCTGGCACTGGAACCAAGGTTCGTTTAGTTTTTTTTTTTTTCTTTTCTTTGTATTGTTATTAATTATTACTATTATTGACACACTTTACTTTTTCGCTTCTTGCTTTTTTCTGCATGGCCTTGGATGGTATAGGGAGGGTGAAGAGGAAAAGATCACACGGCTGCTCTCTGAATCTGGATTCCTGTAAGAACAAAGACCACTTTCTCCTCCTCCTCCTCATCCTCCTTCTCTCTCCCTCGACTTGAGCGTCCCTGTCCGCGAACAAACGGCTCACCATGGTTTCTTCGCCTCCTCCTCCTCCTCCTCTCCTCCTCCTCCCGGTCCCATGTCGAAAGGCTGTTGCTGGTTTTTATTTTCACGATCGCGATCGCGTCTCGTTTGGATGGACTCAGGATCCTGATACCAGAACTTACGACGATCTGCTTTTTTCTTTTGTCTGTTTGTTTTGTCGTTTTTTTTTTTTACTCAGCCAACGAAATGACTTTCAACTGACAGATCCTTTCTACCTCTCTCTTCTCTCTTCTCTCTCTCTCTTCTCTTCTCTCTTCTCTTCTCGCTCCTCTCTCCATTGTCCCCGTCGATCCATCGTATCGTATCATATCATATCATATTGTACGTTCCATATTCTGTACATTTTGCATTTTTTTTTTTTTTTTTTTTGGTTCCTATACGACGATCCATATAAAATCGTCGTATTTTTAAAAAAAAAAAAAAAAAAAAAAAATTCTTTTTTTTTGCGCAAAATCTGATTTGAGGCAGGTTCTGAACATGTATAAAAAGAAAAAAAAAAAAAAAAAAAAGGCACACTCGCTCACTCACCTACGCCTTTCATCTTCTTCTTCCTCTTCTTCTGCTTCTTCTTCCTCCTCCTCTGCTTCTTCTTCTTCATCTTTTCTCTTCTTGCGCTCGCACCCTTATTTATTTCATTTTATTTTATTCTGTTTATTTTATTGTCTGTGTCCTGCATGTCCATATCCTCCCTCCTCTCTTTCCTCCTCCCATTATTTTTTTGTATAGTGACCCCCCCCTCCCACTCATATTATCATCGTTAGCCCGAGCGGGTATAAATAACATGTCCACCACCACCAACAACAACGCGAGACTACTCAAAAGAACAAAAACCAAGCAAACAAACAAACAATTATGAACAAAAAGAAACAACATAGCAGAAAGAAAAAAAAGTCATTGTTGTACATTTCATACATGCAAAAGTTAAAAGAAAAATGAGAAAGAAACTAGGTACAGATTTAGAACTACAATGAATGGGTGAAAACAACATATACTTTGAACAGGGTTCTCCCTCCTCCTCCTCCTCCTCCTCCTCCTCCTCCTTTCTTTCTCCAAAAATAATACCAATTATTCAGGCCGTGAGAACTACAGTGCGAAAAAAGAGAGAGAGGAGGGAAAAGAGACCGTAAAGTCTTTTGCGAGGCGGGGGTTTATACGCCGCAACGCCGAGAACGAGGCGTCAACGGACCGTTCAACATCCGCCGTTCTCGAAAGTCATATCGTGCCTGAAGTCGCGACTGCTTCGTCCGTTGACCAACCTCCTGTCGCATCTTGGACGCACGACCGCTGCTCGGACTCGGCGGCGGCGTCGTCATATCCCGTTCCATTCCCGACCCTAAATCCACTTCCTGTTGTTGTTGTTGTTGTTGTTGTTGTTGTTGTTGTTGTTGCTGCTGATGATGATGGTGTGCGCCGCTGCTACTGCTGCTGCTGCTCTGCTCACAGAGTCCTCCCAGAGGCTCCCGATGGACCCGCATCCGCTTCGAAGCCGGTCCAGTCAATTGTCGATCCGTCAGCTTGCCCTTGCCCGTATAGAGCGTACCCATCGTAGTCGATTCTGAACCCCCGCCATTCTCTGTCTGTGATGGCCCACCTCCGCTCGACGACTCTGGGTCCTGGAACACCTCAAACTTCCACTCTCCAGGCCACTGTTGCTTGTCCTGCTCGCTCACCAGATGGTAGACCCCATGCTTCCAGTAATAAATCCGTCCAGCAACCTGTTGGGCCCGTCGATTGAACGCTACCGAGTGCGGTTGGATCACACTTTCTGTCAGCTTGGCAACCATGGATGAGGGTCCTCCCTTGCGCTCCGCAGACTCTGCAGAGTTAGAATGGTGGTCCGAGATCTTGCCACTGAGGCCCTTGCTGCTACCGATAACAGGGTTCAACATGGATGACGACGACGATGAGGACGTAGAGGATCCCAATGGTGCTGTGCACGAGGGTCTGCCATTCATCGTCTGGCGGTTCCTTGGCGTGGACGAAGAGGACGCCGACGATGATCCTGGTGCTGAAGCGGATAATGACGAGGCAGCTGCTGAGTCATTCGACAGGGCCGTATTCTTTTGTTGAGAAACTGATTCGACCCATTCTGATACTGCATATCCTGCTTTCGAGCATGGACTCCCTGTGCTGTCCGTCAGTCCCAAGGCCTTTGCGCCCTTGTAATGAGCGAGTGCTGAAGGATTGGTCGTGAATTCATCAAATGTGTTCCATCGCCATGGAGAGATTGAACCCAAAGCCAATCGTCTGGACCGAGTAATCGACCCTGTGGGTCCTGTCGGTCCTGTGGGTGTTGTTGATCCATCCGTCACCTTTGTGTTCGATCGCATGGGCCGTTTTGATTCCAATCCTGAACTGCCGCCGCCTCCGATATAGAACGGATTCGTCGAGTCCTGCGAGTATTTCGGTGTATGGTTCTCCTTCTCCAGATCTCCTCCTGTAGAACTCTGGACAGACTCTGTCTCGACTGTATCATCTTCATCTAAACGGATAACATCGCCCTGGAGGCAATTACTACTACTACTACTATTGCCACTGCCGTTGCCGTTGCTGTTGTTGCTGTTGCTGCCTTGTCCTGATGGGCCTGCGACTGACTGGCCAGTAGAGGGTATCAGCAATTCTGGTACCGGTACAGGTTTCTCTGTCAAGGTGATATTGGCGGGACTGGACTGGTCTGTACGGTTCATGCTCCTTCGCGGAGTCCGGATAGCTCGAGGCGATTGTGTCAAGAACAGGTTATTATCTTCATCGGCCATAAACTGTCGCGTGCTGCTGCCGTTGCTGCCGTTGCTGCTGATGCTGTTGCTCTCTTGTTGTGGACTGAACGGCGTCCTTTGCTGAGCGGTGCCCGAGTTTGGCGGTGTTGTAATCCTGGTCTTGAGCGCAGCTCTAGATTTCACAGGCGTCAACTGAACATTCCGGGTGGGCTCGCGTGGTGGAGTGCGTGTTGGGTATCGGTGGACGGACTCTAGGGTACCGTCATTGGATGGAGTTCGTGGAGAGGACGAAGGAGGAGAGCCAAAAAACCGCTCAAAAGGCAGACTGATGTTCATGTGCTCGAGAGCATCGTCCGACAGTCTTGCGGAGGGTGTTGCAAAGCCAGAATTGAGGCTGTTGGGGCTCCTATGGTCGCTGCTGCCTCTGATGGTGCGCAGTGCAAGAGTATTGAGGTCCATGGAGAGGAGTTCTGAAGGCGTTGGTTTGGCGTTGGGAAGACGAGCAAGCCTTGTGGGGACCGCACCCAGGTCGTTGTCTCCGTCCATATCGACATCGTCCGTGTGCTCTCGCTTGAGTGCAGGGCGTGATAGTGGTGGTGTTGCTGCGGACAGGCGCGATTGAGAGGGTGAGAGAAGACGGGAGCGGTGAAGATGGGGTGAGCGAGGAGTGCGTGGGGTGAGAGGGGTCTCGGGAGTGTCCTTGCTTTGCCTGTAGGCGGTGTTGGAGTCGGAGCGCTGTCGTACCATGGTTGCTTTTTCTTTGAGATATGTACAGAAGGACAAAGAGAAAGAAGGATGGGTGATTGAGTGTGTTCTTTTTGTTTCGCGCGATGTGGTTGCGTGTGTGTGTGAGAGAGAGAGAGAGAGAGAGAGAGAGAGAGAGAGAGAGAGAGAGAGAGAGAGAGAGAGAGAGAGAGAGAGAGAGAGAGAGAGAGAGAGAGAGAGAGAGAGAGAGAGAGAGAGAGAGAGAGAGAGTGTGTGTGTGTGTGTGTGTGTGTGTGTGTGTGTGTGTGTGTGTGTGTGTGTGTGTGTGTGTGTGTGTGTGTGTGTGTGTGTGTGTGTGTGTGTGCGGGTGGATGGATGGATGGATCGACCAAGGGATCGAATGGAGTGGACAGGGAAAGAAGGAAGACAACGATGAAGGAGTTCTGGTGGCCAAAGACGAAGGTAGAAAAGGGTCTAGGCGGACAGAGACAAGGACAAAGAGCGCGTTAGTGGGGTGGGCGAGTGACAATGAGCGATGGCGAATACATGTCGCCATGTAAAAAAAGGAGGACCCCATGACCCCATGACCCAGAGGCACATGGACGGCAAAGCTCAAAAGGACGCTCGTTTTATGATGTCACACTCCATCCATCATTTGATTACCCTGCCACTAGTCCTGACTACTCACCTCTTCTTCTTCTTTTCTTCTTTTTTACCTCCTATCAAGGAAACAGTGGCGGCCGCAGACACGGGTGCAGACAAATAGAAAGGGGAGGAGGGAGAGTATGGTGCGCCAGATCAGATGGATGTGTTTGCATGGGTGAGGATGATGTTGGATGAGGATGATGGGATGAGGAGTAGGGGGAACGGGATGATCAATCGCACGCTCCCTGCTGCCCGGGAGCGGGTTCGCTTGGTCCCAACAAGGGGGCAGGGAAAAAAAATCTTTGTTTTGGGCTCGACTGAGAGATACTTCGCAGCAATGAGCAACCCTGCGAGGATTACAAAACCGTGCTCCATGGCCCTCAGGGCGTCAGAGCGTGATTGCGACTTAATGCAAAGACTAGAGTTGACCCTTAACAACCGCATTACATTGCTTGCAATGTAAGCAAGAATCAAATTGTCTTGGAATATCTCCGTACAACATACGTTTAATATTCAGAAAGCTCGCCCATTACACCTTCGCCTTCTTGGATGCCTCGTCCGTAGTCTATTTAAAAAAAAAATAGTCCATAAAGACACGTCAGTACAAAACGAGTCCATATATAGACAATAGTGTGTGCGCAAATACATCCAGCCAGACTTACAGCATTGAGGCCAAACTTCTCTGCACGCTTGCGCTTCTTTTCCTCCTCAGCCGGATCCAGTACCTGTGCCGGCTTCTTGGCGGCACTAGCACCTGAGGCGCCCCCTGCAGCAGGTGCCTGAGTTCCAAAGCGTTGCTGTCGTTTACTCAGAACATCAGCAGGGATCTAAAGAATATTAATATGTTTGACAAATGAAGCTGATGAGTAAAGGGAGCCCCCATCTACAATAAGAAATAGCAGCCGAGTCATAATGCAGCATACCTGAGAAGCAATAGAAGCAGGCTTGGTTGGAAGAGCCTTGGGAGAAGCTGGTGCCTTTGATGTTGCAGTTCCTGTGGCCTTTGCCAATGATGCAGCGGCAGACGCAGGGACGGGCACGCCGAATCGCGCAGCCCTCTCTATAGCCTTGTCCTGCTCCTTCAATGGGATGCCGAAACGCGCTGCTCTGTTCTTGCGCTTTTCAAACTCGGCCTTCAAGACATCCGAGTCATTGACAGTTTGCTGGGACTGAACCGATCCACTGGCTGGGACAGGGCTGGTTGTTCCTGCGGTTGATGCGACTTCGGCTGTAGAGGTTGTTGCCGCTGCAGGAGCGGTCGTTGAGGTGCCGGCTGCCGAGGTAGGCTTTCCAGGTCCTGCTTTGGTCGTTGCCGTCGTGGTTGTTGTAGAGGATGGTGCTACAGCAGGGGTCATTGCAGACGCCGCTGATGTTGCTGTAACCGGATCTGAAGGAGGTGCCAAGTCACTGTTGACGAAAGGTAAAAAAAAAGAAAAAGAAAAGTCGCGTTGACACAAAAAGAAACGTTGGTCAGTGAGTGAAGTGTAGATCGCAAACATCGTTCAGTAAGCGTCAAGGTCTCCAAAGACACGTACTCGACGTCAAACTTGCTCTCGTCCCAGTCGAATGTCTCCCCTGTGTCGGTAGGGGGACCAGCAGCACTGGCGGCCTCCTCTTCCGCCTTTTGGTGCTCCAGGAGACGGGCGACAAGCTCTTCTTTCTTGCCGTTGACAGAGAGACCAGCAAGCTGGAGCTGCTCCTTCAGTTCGTTGACCTTGAGTTTTCTGGGATCCATGATATCCTGTTTTTTCCAATGTCCTGTTATGATGCGTGTTAGGTCCAGGTGTTCGTGTCTTGTATGACGATAGAGGATTAGTGACGAGGAACAAAAGGAGAGGGGGTGAAGAAGAAGAAGAAGAAGAAGAGGAAAGGAAGAAGGGATGGTAGAGAGGTGTGGTTCCCTCGACTGATGACCGAAACGCGGATGAGCGGATCAGAAAAAAAAAAAAGTGACGAACCACTTTAGTGGCGCAGCGAATGAGCCCCAAAAGAGCACTTTTGCGCACATCGGAGGCCGCACAGCCACGGCTCAGGCCCCAGATGCCACCAGAATACGGTGCTCTCTGGTGCCATTTTTGCTTGAGTGGAATTCAAACTGTCCGAATCGGATGAATTCGTTTTTTTTTTTGTGCTGAATGTGGAGATTATGATTCTCACTTTTATTCGACTGAAAAGCAGATGCACGGAGCTTTGGACCCAAATGCTGTAAAGCGATAGATACCCACTGACCAATTGCAGAAATAAAGACAGTTAGTTTATTAAAGAAGCTCGACCACATCTAACCAACCAGACGCAAACCGCACTTTAGCAACAAAACTCGATGGTGGCTGTATCGCTTGGCGCGCCAAGTTCTGCGGATGAGTCCGTACTGATGCCCACACTTGTGCAGTGGTAATAGTCTAATATGATGCACTAAACACTGAGATCATCATGACCAGAGGAGTCGAGCCTGGGACGCCGCTCTTGCCTTTACGGGAATGGCGCCAGGCAGCCGTGGGTGCGTGCACAGGGGCAGAGGGAAAGGGGCCAGGCCCTTGATTTTCACCAATCAAATTCAGCATGAATTGAGACCAAGCCTTGTTTTTAAGGTACCGGTTCCTGGACGCCGGGAGGTAGTTCTGGGCATTGGGTTGATGAATATGATCACTGGGCCGGACGGTTGGCTGACATGCGTGGTGGGTGAGACAGCCAGAGACGCGGTCCGTGTGTTGTTGCTCTTTATCCAGGGGCAGGGACAGAGGAATGCTCTGGAGCGCCTCTTCCCGGCTGGTGGGTGCGTTAGTTCAAGAAAGAAGAAAGAAGAGAGCAGCGGATGCGCGCATTGCTCTGTGCTAGACCATTGCTGTGTGCGATGAGGCAATTGCCGCGGCGGGCGGGGGGCCATGCAGTGCAGCAGTCCACAGTGTCGCTTATTCAATGACGACCCCTTCCTCCTTCCCGCTTTTTAACCCTCTTCCCTCCTTTGACTTCTGCTTCTTCTCCTCCCACTCCACTCCCTTCCACTCCACCCCCTCCATCCACTCCACCCGATGGCATCCTTCCACCACTGCACCCCCGTCGTGCTCATCGGCACCTTCAACATGAGTCAGCGTCCCATCGAGCAGGACCTCTCGGACTGGCTGGCAACCCACCCCTCGCTCTCCTCCCTCTCCTCCTCTGCCGTCGAGTCTGCCCCAACCAGCCCCGTTGTCTCTGCCGCAACCTCGCCCGCAACCACCTTTGCCGACTCTGCCATGTCCTCCACCCCTCTCATGCCCGATATCGTCGCCGTTGCCCTCCAAGAGGTCGTCCCCTACCCAGACGCCTTCATCCACAACACCTACCATATCCGCCAAAAGATCGACGACCTTGCCCAGTTGATCCTCAGAACCCTCCACCGCACCTGTCCCGGCCACCGCTTCAGCCTGGTCTCACAGTCTGCCCAGGTCGGGATGGCCCTCTTTATCCTCACCAGGGACAGTTCCATGACCGAGCATGTGGAACGGATCTCGAACGCCTCTGTGGGGACCGGACCCCTGGGGATGGGGAACAAGGGCGCGATTGCGACCAGGCTTTCGATTCGCTTGCCGTTGACCGCAAGCAGTCGTCCCAACTTTGAGATCTGCTTCATCAATGCTCACCTGAGCGCACACCTGAACAAAATCAAGCGCAGGAATGATGACTACCTGGCGATCTGTAGGCGCATGGTGTTCTTGCATGATGACGATAACCATTTCCAGGGACTCTTGTTCGAGCACCAGAACAGGCTCTCGTCCTCCTCCGTGTCGCTCATGTCGTCCTCCTCGTCCCTGTCCTTGTCCATGTCCTTGTCGGAGGAGGATTTACAACGTCAGCAGCAACAACAGCAACAGGATGATGATGACTCGGTATACCAGTTCGATAGTGACTCTAGGCCTTTGCTGTCGGGTAAGCGATCCATATCCTCGAGTGGCAAGGGCAGTAAGAGGGCCCATCCACACCGTCAGGACAACCACTCGCAGGGGAAGAAAATTCAGTGGGAGGAAAGCATCTTTTCGTGCGACTACATCTTCTGGACCGGCGACCTCAATTACCGTCTCGACCTTGCTCAGTCCGATGGCTCGCTCAACAAGAAGAAGAAGAAGGCCAAGCTCTCATCCGATGATCTGTTGTCTCAGTCAGAGATGCCGGACCTGACCGCGGGAGAGATTGTCCATGCGATCGAATCCGGGTTCCTACGACAGCTTTACAGCCATGACCAGCTCTCGGCCCAACGCAAGACCATGAATGTCTTCCGGGGGTTCCGTGAGGCCCCGATTACGTTCCCGCCGACGTACAAGTTCCGGATGGGATCGAATCAGTACGATATCGCGAAGCGTGTGCCGGCATGGACGGACAGGGTGCTGTGGTATGTCCATCCGAGGGATGCGTCGAGTTTGGAGGAAGAAAAGGAGGATGAGCTGGATGCGTGGGATGAGCATTCGCAGGGACTGGGTTTAGGAGCATTGCCGATGGAAGCCGCCGGACGGATGTTGGCCTTCAAGGCCGTGGGGTCATCAGCGAACTTGAAGAAATCGCGATCGAGAGGCACGTTCACGAGTCTGGCGAAGAAGGGCGGTGCGAGGGCGGTGATCAATGCGGGGGTGTTCCAACCACCGCTGGCGGCGGAGCCCGTGCAGGATAGCTCGGTCGTGGGGGATTCGTCCCTCTATCGGATACCACTGACAACGGCGCGGTCGACGAGTTCGACGGGCAGTCTCTCTTCGAGGACTGGGCAGACGGCACTTTTGCTGCAGCAGCAACAGCAGCAACAGACCTTGACACAGTCCTCGGCCTCGACAATGCTGTCGACGACGTCTGAAGGGGAGGTGTGCCAGAGTCCATTGCTGATCCATTACTACACGTCCCATCCGTACTACCAGTCGTCGGACCATAAGCCGGTCTCGGCGCTTTTCACACTGCTGCCACATAATCTGGCAACACAGCTGGAGCCGAGTCCGTATGGTATTGATCAGGCGTGGAGGCGCAAGAAGTGGACAGGCCAGAAACTGACGACGGTGGCTGGACATTTGTTGAGGTGGGGCTTTGTGGTGTTGGGGCTCAGTGTATTTGGGTCGCTCCTGGTCCTCGTGCGGCGGCATCTTCAGGGGTGGTAGTCGCTGTCATTGAAGAGAGATCTGTCTGCCAGGCTGTCTGGGGGTGGATGAGACATGTACTTTGAATAATACTCTAATGCCGATAATAATAATAGTAATAATAATAAATAATAAATAATGCTAAAAAAAATATATATATATATATAAAAAACGGCCCCTCCACCCCGGTTAGTTAGCAGGAGGGCCTTTGAATGGCCTGAAGACTGAGGACTGAGGACTGAAGACTGGGTGGAATGGGGAGTGGATAACGGGGGGCGGTGACTCAAGCTGAGTGGTCGCTGGGGGCTGACTGCGAAAAATAATAATATTTTCTTTGGTCCCTGATTCATTACATCGTTCTGTGAACTGTCCTCCTCACTCCTCTCCCTCCCTCTCTCTCTCCCTTCTTTCTTCATTCATTCCACACCTCTCATTCACTCTCCATCCTTCTTCTCCTCCTTCTCCTCTCCTCTCCTCACACTCTGACCCACACAGCTCTGCCACCCCCCCACATCCAAGGCCTCGAGAAACCCATTTTTTTTTTTAAAGAAACCATTATAGAAAAAGAATAATAGCCATGGGAGGAACATATCTACTGGATTATGGTGCAGGCAACGTCCGGAGTCTGGTCAACGCGGTCAAGAAGCTAGGCCATGATATCACGTTCGTCAAGGATCCCTCGGATATCCTCAAAGCCGACGTATGTTCTTTATTTGTTGTTATTTTTCTTCTTCTCTGTCTTCTTCTTGTTCTTTACGCTCTGTCTCGGTTTGCTGTAACTGTTTTTGAGCAGGGGCAGAGATATGAAATCAGGAAGCCAACCAGTCGGAGAATTTTTTTTTTTTTTTTTTTTTTTTTCACTCATCTTAGGTTGACTGACTATCTCTAACGTCCTTTTTACTTTTTTTTTTTTTTTGTTTTTTTTTTTTTCCTACTTGTTCCTTTTCCTCACCTTCCCTTTCCCCCCTCATGTAGAAACTAATCTTCCCAGGAGTAGGCGCGTTCGGCAGCGCAATGACTTCGTTGCACACCAAGAACTATGCGGAACCGCTGAAACAATACCTCAGCCTGAACAAACCGTTCATGGGGATTTGTGTGGGCATGCAAACCCTCTTTGAGGGCTCGGACGAAACCCCCTCGATCCCAGGCTTGGGTATCATCCCCGGTCGTGTCCGGCTTTTCGAATCCACCGATAAGGCCGTCCCCCACATGGGCTGGAACACTGCTCGATCGATCCAGGGACTCGACAGAGCTGCACAATGTGGACTCGAACAGAACCGGGCTTATTATTTCGTCCATTCCTTTGCCGTCCCCTGGAAGGAAGGTAGTCCCGAGGCTCTGGAATGGGCGCTGACGACGACCCAGTATGGGAATGAGGTCTTTGTGTCGTCCGTGAGGAGAGGGAATATCTTTTGTACGCAGTTCCATCCAGAGAAATCGGGATTTGCGGGCGTGAATGTCTTGAAGGCCTTCCTGGATGGGACGGCCGGGATGGGGGCCGAGGCGGATCTGGAGCTGTTGAGGACCCAGATCGGACAGGATAGACGGATCCCCGGGGCGTTGTCGTTGTTGGCGCCAGAGTATGCGGTCCCAAATTCGGTCGACGAATTCACGAAACGGATTGTCGCCTGCCTGGATGTCCGGGCGAACGATCAGGGGGATCTGGTCGTCACCAAGGGAGACCAGTATGATGTTCGGGAGCAGAAGGCCGATGGTGCCGGATCGGGTGATGTCCGTAACCTGGGCAAGCCCGTGGAACTCGCGCGGCGGTATTTTGAGGAGGGTGCGGACGAGATCACGTTCTTGAACATCACATCGTTCAGGAACTGTCCTCTGTTGGACATGCCCATGCTCGAGGTCCTGCGCCGGACGAGTGAGTCGGTCTTTGTGCCGTTGACGATCGGAGGCGGGATCAAGGACGTGGTCGATCCCGATGGTAAGCTCCACCCGGCGCTCGAGGTCGCGGGCGAGTATTTCAGATCCGGCGCCGATAAGGTCTCGATTGGCTCGGATGCGGTCTATGCGGCCGAGAAGTTTTATGCCCTTGGCGGCAAGGGCGACGGGACGAGCGCGATTGAGACGATTGCGCATGCATACGGATCTCAGGCCGTGGTCATCTCGGTCGATCCCAAGAAGGTCTATGTCAACACTCCCGCGGATGCGCCTACACACCATGTGATCGAGCCCCTTCAGCTGGGCCCCAATGGCGAGAAGTATTGCTGGTACCAGTGTACCGTGAGCGGTGGACGTGAGGGCCGAGATCTGGACGTGCTTCAGCTCGTGGTCGCCTGTCAGGCCTTGGGTGCGGGTGAGATTTTGTTGAATTCGATGGATCAGGACGGTATGAAGCAAGGATACGATCTGGCCTTGATCCAGGATGTCAGGAACGCTATCCGTATTCCTGTCATTGCGTCCTCTGGTGCGGGTGCGCCTCAGCATTTTGTCGATGTCTTTGAGAAGACCGGAGTCGAGGCTGCGTTGGCTGCTGGAATCTTCCATAGGAGAGAGGTGCCCCTCGAGGACGTCAAGAACACTCTCAAGCAGAACGGCGTCCGCATCCGTAGTATTGACGCTCCCCTTGCCGTTTAGAGTCTTTTCTTTTCTTTTCTTCTCTTTATCTTGCATATTAAAAATATATAAAATGATCATGTTTTCTGTTATTTCGAGGCAAAATTTTTTTTAATGCGAGATGAAGTCTAGTCTACAAATTCTAAGCGTGTATGTGGGAAAAGTGAAAGGGGGGGGGGGGGGGGGGGGGGGGGGGAAGGAGATGTCGTGGATGAGTAAAAAAAGGAAGGAAGAAAAAAAAAGAACGACGAGCGAAAGTGAACAAGAAAATAGCAAAGAGAGAGAGAGAGAGCGCAAGAGCGAGAGAGAGATAGAGAGATAGAGAGAGAAAAAAGGAGCTCAGGGTCCGGCACAATAGGAGCGCACAGGGCAGGAGGGGCAAAAAGGTCGTTAAATCGAAAACACCAAGAACAGATGGAAAAAGGTGCGGCTGACAACAACAAAAAAACGCATTTCAAGCTACAAGGAGAAGAAGAAAAAAAAAGAAAAGACAAAAGAAAACAAAGAAATCCCTATGCTGACACGAGAGTTGGGTCATTAAGAGAAATATCATTACAGGAAAAAAAAGAGAGGTCGTCAAAGAAGTTGAGGAGCTGAGTGTCATAGAGGAGCAAGATTGCTTCCCCCCTGTCATCCTGGCTTGCTTCTCGGTTGGGTTGGGGTTGGTGGAGCAGTCGATTGATCGCTTTTTGTGTTTTGTGTTTTTGTGTTGTGTTTTTGTGTTTTTGTGTTATGGTTTGCGGGTGTAGTTTCGCAAGATGTGAGGGCGTGTCAATGTGTGCAAGTGGGTGTTTCTTCTTTTCCTTTTTCTCTTTCTTTCTCCTTTTTTTCTTTTTCGCGTTTCCTGAAAGCGATATTGTCGATGATGCCCAATCGCATCCTCTGTTCTCGAATCCTCAATGTTATTTTGCTATCCCTCTCCCACTGTACTGTGCTGTACTGTGCTGTGCTGTGCTGTGCTGTGCACAGTATACATGTGTCGCCTCCTGAGCTCCGATATAAAAAAAAATACCTCCATGACCAATCCTTGTCTGTTGCAAGTCGCCTTTACTCAGAGTGCGGATGACTCTTCTCCTCCAGAACCTCCATCACATCATTGTTGACCTTGATGGCGTGGATCATAAAACTCAGGAACCTCTGGGCATACTCCTTCGGATTTACAGCCGAAATTTGGTGCTATTTTCACCAAAAGATAAAAATGGAAACGATCATTAGCATAACGTTCATACACATTTACATTATCCATAGAAAAAATTAACAGACGCAACAACATGGCGTACCTTGTCTTGAGAAAGACTCTTCCAGTAATGCTCGATCTTCTTGACGTAATTGTACGGCGTTAGAATATCGATGACTCCCAGGTAATATAGATCCTGACCCTGTTCATTTTGCTCGTTTGTTGATAATAGGCCTCCGTCATCTGCGTAGAATATACAGTGCCTTCGTTCTGAAAACGAGTCCGACGGTAGTGCTGACGGTCCTATTGCAACTGGATCCGACTCCTTGACAGCCATCCTGAGCGCATTGACCTTACTCTCGCGTTTGTCCCGCCTTGACGGCTCTCTCGCCAGTTGTTTCTTCGTGTCGGGCTAATTACAGGAATAGGAAAAACAAGAGGGATCGTCCAGTCAGTACAATAACCTGATGCTTTTCAAATCCTAGTCAATGGAAACAGTGGCTGTATCAAAAACTTACGTGGAACACCTTGAGAGTATTGTCTCGAATGTTGTCCTTGTTACCGCGTTCGATATCGTGGATACCAATCAACAAACTGTAATCCATGATGTTGAGTCGTGCCAGTAGCTCTACATCCCGCTTCATCTGTTCCACAAACAAATGTCGCTTCACCGGTCCCAGTTCGAGTTTACGATTCCGGTTGACCCAGTTGAGATCCTTTTGTGTGGCACGCGGGTTGTTGTTGAGTTCCTCGTCGCTGATGGCGCGACCTAATGTCGATCCCTTCAAGTCATACGTCTCATGGATATCCCTGTTGGGTGGGAAGACATTGCCCATGACCACAAAGTGAATCTTGCGTCCATGGGGCAGCTTGACACGGTGAAGACCAAAGAAACGGCAGAGAAGCGTATGTGGGTTTTGTTTGACATGCTAGCGTGGACACGCAAGATAAAAATATAAAAAAAAGACGCGTAAGTTTGAAAAAAAGCAAATCGGGTTTCGGAAAGGGTACAACGTTCATGGCCCATCTTCCTTACGTTGAAGTAGTCCTTCAGGATCTTTCGCATGAACTTGTGCTCTGAGTGGTGAATGGTCTTGATGATGAATCGGTAGTCCTGGGAAAAGTAAAAGAAACTTCCACTCTTTCCTGGCGATCCCAGCTCAGACAAGATGTACTTGCTAGTGAGAGACACCTACAAACAGAGGTCATTCGCAATAGAGGGATGAAGATGGAAATGCACAAGGTGTTAGCTGCAAGTGTGAAACCTACTTTCCATGTGCACAAATCAGGCAATCTGTATGAATCCAAGGCTCTCATGGTCCCATTCTGTGGCGCATGCATGCAGAAGGAGTGCTCCCTTATTTTCTTCCGCGCAACAGGAGCACAAGCACCATAAGAAATATAAAAAATAAAATGTTGCGAAAATAGAAATGCCCTCACAGCCCATCCCGCCCAACTACCCCGCCGTCTCCTGATTCCTTTGCTTGCTGATGCAGACGACTTTACTAAACAAAACATCCATCTGCAAAATGAAGCAGAAGAAGAGAGAAAAGAGGCCCTGCTATCCAGGTCTTGTCCTTGCTTTCAACATTTGCCCTGTCAGTGCCGCACACATCGCTGGCTGATATCAAGGGCCACGGTTCCTGTGAGCTTTGGTACCACAAACAATAAAAAAAAAATGTGCCCTCTGCACTGTATCGATGATGTGCCGATTCCATTCCGCCTGCTGGGCTCAACCATTTTGACAAAAATTGATGTTGTAAAACAATTCCCGATAGATCATCCTGTCAGTATATTACAACCCGTATAAATGAGCCATACCAAGTAGTCGGACGCATCGATGTGAAAGTCCTCTCTCAGGTTGCGGAAGACCCAGGGCGCGTAATCTTTGAACTTGAAATCGTATTTGGACGATGGCGTCAATTCATTACCCGTGCTATTGAGAAATATAGATGGATACGTCCCATACATATATCAGTTCATCAATGTAAAAAAAAAAAAAAAAAAAAAAAGGTGCAGGACAAGAGCGGGAATCAATCGATCAACTTACATATCGAATGCCAACTTGTGAGCAGAAGTAAAGTCTTCGTCCACCAGGGGCCGCTGCGGCTTTGCCTGGCATCGAGAGACCTGCAAGGACAAAACAACAACAATAACAACAAAAAAAGACAAACAGTAATGGTTTCTATTAGAATCAAGTCTGCACCACACGCCAACGACCAACAAACAGCAAAAAAAAAAGGGATCAACGACGTTGCAACTTACGCTGACACGGATGCCGGTCAACATGTTATACATAAGAACATAGTTAACATGGCCCTCTCCGATACGTGTGCCGATCAGGACGCGATCGGTATCGTCGTCCTTCCTGCGCTTGGAGAAGCGTCGGCTGCTGCTCTTCTTCAGAACATCCATCCTCCGGCGGGCTTCCTCCAGTTCGTCCATCTCCATCTCATCATCGGAGCGATGGAACGAAGTTGACGCCAGATCAGCAGAATACGTGTTGCGACGATAAATCTGTCTTCTACGCGCCTTGCTGGAATGTTCAGCCTGAGGATCAGTCTGCTGTTGCTGTTGCTGCTCTTGCCTGGCCGTGGACGGGAATGCTGGCGAATCGCCAAGCAACGTTGACCCGGGCTGAATTTTACGATAGTCCATGGTTGAGGCACGGGTGGGCGGACCAAAGGGACCGGGCGAACCCGCCTTTGGCGACTGGTAGCCACCTCCTGCACCTGCAGCACCTAGGGAGGAGCCAGTAGAAAAGATTGACATATTTGGCCTTAAGCTGGAGGCAGGCGAGCGTTGAAGGTCTGAATCCGAAGAAGTGGACACAGTGGGCTGCTGCTGTAGCGGCTCAATACGGTCCTCATAGCTCGCGGAAGTGGCAGTGATAATAGAAGCAGAAGTGGGTGAAGTGGCAGAGGCCGGAGGTATTGGCAGGGTTGCAAGCGTGGTCATGTTGGCAACGGTCGAAGAGACGTTGGTGAGTTTGATGGGGGCATAACTGGAAGGTCGAGGACGATTGGTTGGTGTGCTCGCAGACGAAGACATGGTGGAAGTAGAAGGTCTGGGTGTGCTGGAAGAGAGTGCAGCGAGGGCGAGATCAACAGGCGTGGGCTGGGAGGCTGCACCGACGGGAGAAGAGATGGAAGATGCAGGCGAGGAGAGCGAGGCGGACTTTGCCGAGCTCGCGGGAAAGGTCTCCGTGGTGCTAAGTGTCGGCGAGGGTTCAAGTGTAAAGGCTGGCTGCTGTTGCTGGCTCTGCAAGTGGTATCCATTAGCGGTGCCATTGAGGTTGCTATAGGTGTTGCCACCGTTGAGGTGTACGGACTGCTGCTGCTGCTGGTGAGGAGCGATTGCCGATACGGTTGGGGGTGATGGAGGCGGCGAATGCTGCTGGTGGTGCTGATACTGCTGCTGCTGCTGCTGCTGCTGCTGATGGTATGGGAAGTGCGAGCCATTGCTTTTGGGGGCGAGTGAGGATATCCTCGGAGGCGTCATGGGAGTATGGATGGATGAGGCTGTGGCGGCAGTGTTGTTGCTGCCTAGAGCAGGAGAAGCACCAGCTGCACCGACAGAGTGAGAGATGGGGATGGACGGTGGATTGGAATGGGATGACGATGATGACAAGCCGGGCTGGACCTGCAGGAGCTGCTTTTGTTCTGGAGAGAGGACATGGAACCGGGCGACGGTGCCTGAGGGCCAGGTGGGGATGGACTGGGTGTTGGTGAGATGATGTTGCTGTGGCTGCTGCTGGGGCGGCTGAAGCTGGAGGGGTTGCTGTACAGGGGGAGGGCCCTCGAGCGAGGGGGTGGTCTGAGTGCCCTCAGAGACCCTTTGGACGCCCTGTTTGATGGACTGGGCAACAAAGGTGGTGGAGGAAAAGACGCCGGTGTCGTTGGTGTCGTCGAGCAGGAGGTCGCTGTAAAAGCCCTGGGCGCCCATGGTGCCCTTGGTGAGACTGGCGCCGTTAGTGTTGGCAGGAGTGGCCATGTTGGGAGTGGGGCTGGAGGGGGATGTGGTTGTGTTCATGGCAGGATGTGTTGATGTGGTTGTAACATTGACGTCGTGGGCCGTGTGCATTGAACGATAGGGAGGAGGTGGATGAGGATGAAGGTGAGGATGGGAATGGGGGATGGAGGATGGGAGGACGGAGGGGATGGGGGGAGATGGATGTGGCTGTCGTTGCTGGTGGTCGTGAGATTAATGTGCGTGAGGGAAGGGGATCGACGGATGGGAGAAGAAAAGAGAGGAAAGAGAGAGGAGATCCCGATAGGGGGATATGGGGATATGGGGATATGGGGATACGAGGGAAAGGAGTGGGAGGTTGTGGGTGGTGGTTATTTAGGGACTGGCTGCTATTAAAAAAATATATATTATCGATGGATATGGTTTTAATATGTCTCTTCCTGGTCGCGGTTTAAGCAGAGGTGGAGTTCAGGCTGTTTGGGAGGGAAAGAATGAAAAGAATGTGTGTGAGAAGAAGAGAGAAGAGAGATGAAAAAAGGACGAATGAAGGGAAGAGTGCGAAAGAGGAGAATGGCGGTGGTGGGGCAGAGTGAATGGAATGTCGAATGAGCGAACAAACAATCCTCTGACTACTGGCTCTGTAGCATGTTAACATGTTGACATGTAGACTATGTGCAGACAGCGCGCATCAAAGGGCTCACTTGTTTTGTTCCTATTTCCCATCTCCCTCTCTCTCTCGCTCCCTCCCTTCTCCTCCTTCTCTCTCAAAGAAGAGAGCACTTCTTTTTTTTTTTTTTTTTTTCCTTTCTCCTCCACAGCCATTGCCACAGCCATTGTCATAGCCATAGTCATAGCCATAGTATAGCCATAGCCATAGTTCTTGTCAAGATCATCATAGGCATGGTCTTGTGTCCCAATAAACTTGTCTTCAAGCCAATTGAGCCCCTTCGTCTCTATCTTCTCTCCTTGACCTTGACCTTGTCCTTGAGCGTCTTCCTTCCGTAGCAAAGGACTGACAAATGCGAGGTCATCCTCGTCATCGTCGTCTTCATCTTCTAACACCTTCATGCTCTTCTACAACAACAACAAAAAAAACCTATCCCATCGTCATTCACTTCATCCAATCTGCCCTCTTTCTCTCTCTCTTCTCTTTCTCTCCTATTTCCTTTGCTCATCTGACCATGCAATTAGACACTAATTCATACAACAACTTCTATACAAAAAAGAATAAAAAAAAAAAACCACGAGGGACTGGGGATGATCGGCAGTGTTTTTCGCACACGTCTGCGCCTGACAATGGAAGATCCAGTTTGGGGGATCATGTATGTAAGAGTGAGTGTTGTTCTTTTTCTATGAACAGAACTGATAAAAATACATCTGCACTATGCATTCATTTCAATATCGTCTACTTTACTATACTTTTTTTTACATTTTGCATTTGCATTTGCATTTGTGCATTTGAGGCGGTGCGACGGATGCAAAAAGGCAGCAGCAGGCAGCATCATCATTATTATCACCATCACCAACAACACCAACACACAACAGAACAAAGGCCGACGCATAAACCTTGTTTCCGAACAAAAGACATTATTGGATAATTCGAACTTTTTAAGCGCGTAAGACTACTTTACTACAAGCACGAAAACCGTTGTGGTCCCCTCCCTCCTCCATTCATTCGTAAAACCAGCGGCCCCATTATGTGCCGCCCCTCCGCTCCGTGGTAAAAAAAGAACACCAAATAGAAAAACCCAGAATTGGGGGAAATAGCCCCAACCATAACAAAGAGGGTATAAACCCTGAAATGAATCACAAACCAAAACTGCGCCATGTTTCAGGAGCATCTTTGTAACCGGCCAGGGGGCCCCCTCTCTCTCCTCCCCTCGATCATGAAGATCTTGGGCGCAGCAATCTCTTGACACAACCTCAAATTCACAAAAAGCTCTTGTATAACAGCCCTTTTTTTTCTTTACAGTGAATCCAATTGAGGGTTTTATTGGTATGTTATGAAATACAAGCGCGACAAAACATGCGGACCAAATGTTGCCTTGGAATTGCGCTTCAAACGTAACGTCTCCATCGGTCGGATCGCCGACAAAGGATCCCCGGCGAGGAGAAGCGTTGATATTAGGCCTGGATTGATATTCCTGGACTTTTTTTTCTTTTTCTTTTTCGTTCTTCGTTTTCCTTTTCTTTTCTTTTTTCTTTTTCTTTTTCGTTCTTCGTTTTCCTTTTCTTTTCTTTTTTCTTTTTCTTTTTTTTTGTTGTTGTTGTTGTTGTTGTTGTTGTTGTTGTTGTTGTTGTTGTTGTTGAAACCCGGATAACACTGTAAAATTATAGTCCAAAAATTGGTAGTCGCGTCTGTCGCAACTTACACAAAGTACATCAAGTTCTTGATGCCGTTCTATGAACACAGAAACAATAATGTCTTAGTTTTAGAAGAAAATGTTCATATCCACATCCACCCGCCTAAAAGACATTCAAAAAAAAAAAAAAAAAAAAAAAAAAAAAAAGAGATATTGCATAATAATCACACACACACACACATATTTTTCCACGTACCGAGGTATCAAAGATAGGCGCGTAAGAACTACTACCACCCGCAGAGCTCAAAACACTTTCCGTGTCCGAACTGTCCTGTCCCTGGTAATGTCGCGCACGGTACGCCAGCAGATGGGCATAGTACACTGAGGGCACAATGCTCACAGATTTGGAGCATCGCGCGTACACATGGCACAGACGATAGGTCAACTCCTGAAGCGTGTCCGACGTGAACCTGTTCTCATCCATCAGCACATGATACAGCGTCGGACGCGATGTGCCCTGTAGACCTCCATGACTCTGCAGGTCTACAAACAACAAGAAGAAGGGAAAAAAATCATACAACAGCTTAGCATCTTTAGCACATCCTTCTATATGAACAGCACACACAGAGATACACTTACAGAAATCGAACTCGGTCGGATGCGTAATCACCGTATCGACAACTGTGCCTGCAACGCAATTGCCCGATCGATCCGCATCATTCGGGTGCATCGGGAACAAGCGTGCATGATGACGCTTCTTCACCACACAGAAGGTCACTGGAGGTCGATAGTTCGCTATTACGACCATAAAAAAAATTACATGTAAAAATGAAAAAAGGCTGTTTAGCAACGCTACCAATGCAGCCTGTCAACCTGTCAACCTGTCAACCTGTCAAGGCGGTCTGATATACAACACTCCAAAGAAAGCAATGCGCCGCAGCTTTACCGTCCAATTGTGTGCAAGCCTGCTTCACAGCCTGCACCTCCGTTCGCATGACCTCCGCATACTGTCCCTCAGAGACTCCGTCGCGGTAGAAGAGAATCCGTTCAGGACATTTCTTGTTCCGTTGATGGAACGCCAGTAACAGCTCACGCACCAGATCCTTCAACTCATCGATGACCTATGTTTTTTTTTTTTTTTTTTTTTTTTTTTTTGGCAACAGTGAATAAAATAATATATATTTTAGTGATCCAAAAAGCATAACCCGACATCGGCATACATTGTCCCAAAAAAAAAAAAAAAAAAAAAAAAGCATTTCGAGAACAGTACCTCAACACCACTGTCCTGCAGCTTAGTCCTGCCACTGTAACGGAACGCATGCTCGTCCATCGAGGCCACGACCGCAACAATCGACGGCTTGGTCTCTCCAGGAGCAGGATGGGTCACATCCGCTCCGATAATCATGGTCGGCTTCTGAGAAAGGAAGGGAATTGCTGTTCCCTTGAGATTGTTGTTCATACCACCAAGCTAATATAATTAATTCATTTTTTTTAAAAAAAAAAAAAAAAGAGAAATATGGTCAGTAGTTATTCTATTTTTTTTATCTGCCGTACAACACCCAGAACTTGATGCAACAAAAAAAAAAAAATAGAGAAAAATGCAATGCAATGCCGTTAGCTTGCTCACCTTGGCGTTAATTTTCAATCCAATGTTTCCACAGTACTGCTTATTCGCACGCAGGACGTTCCTGGACAGGGCACATTGGGTCATCACACCGATCCTGTGGACCGTCTCACAGTACGTCTTGATGGCAGAATATGTCTGACACTTGGACGGCATCACGACCAAAATCACTGTTCGTCAAAAAATGATGGCAACCGATCTCCGATTCTGTTAGCATACCATAGACATAAGCAGTATTCTCTCTCGCTCTCTCTCGCTCTCTCTCTCCCATTTTTTGAGTACGGATCAACGAGATGCTACCGCAGACTTACACTGCGGAGGGGCTTTGAACTGTTCTTGGATCCTTGCGATCATGGACTCGACATTCTTTTCCAGACTACCGGCAGCAGCATACATAACCGGGGGAGCTCGCTGTCTCACGTCCATGCCTTAAAAAAAAAGAAAAAGCAAGGAGAAAGTATATCAAACATGTCAGAGGATTGTTGTTAGCCACAGGCCATAAAAAACAACATAGAATTAATAAATAACTTACCGTTCTCAACGAGTGTCGCGTTCAATTCGCGGATAAAATGCTGGACAGCATCCCTTCTGAGGCGACTGTAGTAGTGTGGAGTGAGTGAGGTGAGTGGAGTGAGTAAGCTGCTCAGTATGGTCTGCTCCGTCATCTGTTGACCAGCAATTTATAAAACACATAGGGCATATATATACTTACTCCTCCCTTTCGTAGATCAGAACGCCCCACGACGAAAGCGTGGAGCCCTGGACCATCTTTCGCGACGGGTTCAGCTAATAAGGGAGGTTACGATGAGTGCACTGAAGTCTTTGTCGCGGTTGTGACCTGAAACCCCTACATGGGTCGTTAACCATACCTGCCAACTACCGTAACTGGGGCGGACGGAGACACCACCGCGGTACATGACATCGGGCGGGGCCAACACACGCGCAGGAACGGTGGTCATTTCCTTAGAGATCTCCATTTGGAAGCCCTTCAAGTACCTGTTACGATCAAAGTCCAAGAGTGGGAGCAGATTCTTGATCTTGACAGCCCGCTGGTCAGGCTTAATACAGGTCGTTCTGATCATCGCGGCGGTCTGTTCCTCGTTCAGCTATATTCAGGTTGCAATTACAAAAAAAAAAAAAAAAAAAAGGTCAGATACATGGAAGGAACCACAGCATGCCGCGTCCATAGGCGTATCGCCAAATATATTATATTTTCTCTTACCTTCTTCTGGTAGCGTCTGCCAGGAACGATGTTGCAGATCTCAGCCGGGAAGTAGAGGGGTCCGTCGCGACCCTTGACGCCAAGACACGGCAAGAAGGGGTACTGCAACTTGAGCTTGTACGCGGCCGTGTAATACTCCGGAATGGAGACTTTCTTCTTGGCTCCTCCGTTCGTCTCTTGCTCGAAGAAAACCTTGTCCGCAGGCATCATGCTCACCTGGGACACCTTGTACCTAATTCGAAATTGATGCCAGGTGTGTATCTTTGAGTAAGCATAGATGAAAAAAAAGGCATAACAAATTTGCACATCATGAGGTAGAGCATACTTTCTCTTGTGCGCCCCTCCTCGGTGGTTTACAGTGAAGGAGCAACCCTTGAAGTGTCGCTGAAGGTCGACAAATTGGCGCCTGTGGAGATTTCGCAAATCCGCAATGTTTCGGACATTCTGGACTTCAGCCATCAGAGAGGCGGCATTTCCTCCCTTGATGAAGGCTGTCGATGCGATATCAATGTTCGCATAGAGACCATTTTGACCGGGGCGAACGGACTGGAAAACTCCATCCCATTTCTCGATGCCTCCGCCAAGATCCGATGCATTGTTGGGGGTGTAAGCGGAGCGACCGACATTGACCATCTCCGAGAACAACTTATGGGACATGACCACGTTCAATGCTAGGTTTAGAGAGATAGCACTGAGGGTTAGTAGATGCGAGGCAAGACACAGTTTGATCGAAAGGACCAAATGATCTGATAGAACACCTTGGATGGCTGTGAAGCATCCTGGAGTGACGGGCCCCTGACGACGGAGGAATCGATGGAGCTCCTCGAGGTCAATTCTCGCCACGCGATTGATCTTGACGGTAATTTCGTTCTTCTTCCTCGCGCCTGCTCCCGAGGCGGGGGCAGAGGACGAAGACGCAGCGCGAGCAGGCGCGGAAGACGAGGAGGCGCGAGCGGGTGCGGGTGCGGGGGCCGACACCCCATCCTCGGGCAGCTCAACCTTGCGCGTCAATCTTTCAACAGTGAGCTCCTGCGACGCATATGCGTTGCATCGGCCGTCAAAGACAACCTTGTGCTTCGCGAGCTCGGGAAAGTCCTCAATCAGCTTCCACAGCTGCAAAAGAATAGCGCGGGCCAATGGTCAGTATTCGTGCATTCATCAGCTGCCGCTCACTCGCCGAATTACAGCTACTGAACAACAGGTCTTCAGCTCCTTACCCTGCGCGCCTTCTCAGCGGGGATCGTTGGAGTGAACGACACATCGTAGTGCCAGATGGTGTCAACCTCTAGCTGCGACAAAAGAGATACGGTGTCCATAGAGGCGTTAGTTTATGTCTCAGCGCTACCGTGCACACCTTTTGCTCAGAGCCAAAAGACAATAAACATACTTTGTTGATGGCAAAAAAGTTTGTTCGAACTTGAATCGCCTTGCCACTGCGGCCACCATTGTCAGGTCGACGGGCGTTGGGTGTCAGACTGATCGGCACACTTGCGCCTTGACCAGCTCTCTGATGTTGCATCATTATGCGATTAGCTAGCTGCGAGTGTTTTTGGAGTTTTTTTTTTGTTATCAATGGAGTGTGGTATGTGTGGAATTGTAGAGTGTGTGTGTGTGAAAAGAACTGGAAAGAATAATTTTCTGTCCCTTCCCGCAGCTGTTTTTTAACCATGCCAAGACAAAGCATTGGTCGCAACCATCGAAGCCAAACAAAAAAGCACGCCTATCGTAAGAACAAGGCCCATGTTCAACAACAAATAGCAGTGCAAAGACATTTTTATTATCCATGCTTGGTTAGACATCCCTCAAAAACCGGTCTTCTTCATGATCTTTGCGAACTCCTGCTCTTTGACCCCGCCGGTGCCGTCCCTATCGGCTTCCTCGATCATCTCCCGCAGCTCCTCGTCTTTCAATGGGATGTTCAGTTCTGTGGCTACCCGTCTCAAATCCTCAATGCGGATGGAACCCTTTCCTTGAGTATCAAACAACTGAAAGACTCGAGAGACCTCGTCCTGAGCATGTTGCTCCTATAACAGAACAATGGTAAAATGGCAGCAATAAGCAAAAAGAAGACGGGTGGTTCCTAATATGAACATATGAACATGCAAGGAATTTGGTCGAAGACTCGGGCGACCCTACCTCGTTTGGAGACATGATTGTAATAAAGTCCTTCAATGTGAAATAAAGCTGCCCGTCGTAGTTGTCATCCGTATCCTCTTCTTCCTCTGCGGCGGCCCCTTCACGTTCGTCTTCGTACGCGTCCTCATCATCACCACTCGACTCATCGTCAGAATCCGCATATTTCTTCTGTCCAGATCGTGATGCCACTGCAGCTGTCCTAGAGCTCCGTCGTGCACCCGCTGCCGACGCTGATACAGACGACTCGGACTCCTTGACCGCACTCTTAAGTGATGCCCTATCCTGCGTGCCCTTGCCATTCATTGCTCGTTGCTTGTTCTTTGGTCTCTTCTTGGTCTGATGTACGCTGAGAGACGGCATCTCCTGTACGATTTCCTCGATCTCATCCATCGTAGCCTCAAAGCCAAGGGTTCTCATCGCAAGACGCAGTTTCTTGGTCGATAGAACTCCCCTGTGTTCAGTGTCATAAAGTTGAAAGGTCTCCTTGAGTTCTTGATAGTAGGCTGGCGATACTCCTGCCGAATCTGAGCCAGATGTGCCTTTTCCTTTGCTGCCGCGTGTCGCCATGGCTATGCTGCTGATAGTGATATTATTGAGTATATTTGAGTGCGGAAAGAGGAAAGGACGGATCCGTTCATTTGACGACTTATGCCCTTGATGCAAATCAACGTCACGCCATTTAGAGCAGCCGTTTTGGAACGCGTAGCATTGAAAAGAGACATACAGACATACATACATACATACATACACACACGTACGGCACCAATGGCGCCCGTTGAAACCCACATGAACACCGCCTTTTCTCTTCGCGTTTATGCTATGTCTGTGCATGGACATTATCAAGGCTCTTCTTATCTCCAGGTACATGTCCGCGCCCTTGTTCATGTATGCATCTGCAGTAACATGTGGAGGCCAGAGACCGACTCGGTTCCCCCCCACAGGCCCACCCACAATCATCCACGCTCGGAGTTGGAAATCCGTACATGGGTCTCCCCTCTCCTCCCTTGCCCCTACAGGCACTGCCGTCGGTGACCATGGCGGGGTGTCAGGCCATTAATTCTTGAGTGTCTTGAGATGTCTTTGGGGGAAATTGCCATCTTTTTCGGCATTACTTTCATAATCATTCTCCGTAAGCAACATTAAGGTAGCTAGCTAGACCTTGATCAAAAAAAATAAGCCTGAAGTAATCCTACTAAAATGCGGCTGAGGTTATAGTGGAGATGACGATAAACGTGTGTCCTCGTTCCCCCCAAAAAGAATTGCCGTTGACGAATAGCACATGTTGCCGGTAGTCTACAGGGAGCGCGCCCTCGTTCGTTTTATGAAGGCGGCGATACGTAGGACAAGGACCCAAGAACGAGAAAGAAGGCAAAGCTTCGGTCTTCTCTATGGTCTTTCCTCCGCTCATTGGGATGCCATCCGGTTGCGTTGCCGATAAACACGCCTACTTCTTTTTCCTCTTCATCATCAGGTATCTTTTAGACTATTTCGGCTGCAATGACAAGGGACTGCTGGCTCAGATTGCATTTCAGTACAGTAATGCATACTTTGTATCGGATGAATAAGTGTCAAGATGGCAACACCATTTGTGTTCAAACCTTTGTTCAATACATGCATGCTAATCTTGTTTCGAGGAAATCTATTAGAGTTGAGCAGCAGCCAAAAGTGTGGGTGAGTGCATTAGTCGATGGAGGGTGCCTGTGGAGCAGCTGTGGGTTGTTGATTCCTTTTCATGTGTTAAATAAATGACAGGATACACAAACAACGCAGCTGCATTGTAAATAGACTCGACTGTAGGGATTGCAGCCCTGAGCAGACACAGTATAAAAAGGAGCAGGACATGGGGTCTGAAAGGGCCAAGGCGCCCTCTTTCGTTCTTCACCCATCGACTCCTCCTTTTCTCATCTCCACACCAGCGAGAAACGCGTTTGCCACCAAAAACTACTAAACTGCTAGGACGAATATAACCCCACGACTGCTGCCAGTGGAGTCTCACTACCCCCGCTTAATCCTATTCGCCAGGGCAATACGTTCCCCCAGTCGACTGTCACACTCCCCCAGTGTTGCCACTAAGCCCGCTCACCGCTTCCTTCTCTTCTCCTCTCCTTCACTCCTCCCCTCACCTCTTCCCTTCCCTCGCCCATACCCGGCCTGAATCCTGACGTTATTATACCCTCCTCCTCACTCCAACGCCCAGCTCCTCCATTGCGACAAATACCTTCCTCCATTGACTGTTGAACGCTCCCATTATCCTCATCAAACTATACCCCCTCCCCTCCTCCCCTCCTCCCCTCTCGGTAGAAATATTTATCAATCCAAACGACCCAACCCAATGGCCACCGAAAGCATCCCCGCTGTACCCGTTACCCTCGGCACAGCACTCGAAAAGGCTCACCCAAAAACAGGAAGCATCGCCCCATCCAAGGCCAACAGCACCAATGGCAAGTAAACCGGTTACACCGTTGCAATCCTTCTTATTTTTAGTCCTCGGTTCGCATTTGCATAAAAAGCCGCCAATCCAAACTGGATTTGCTCCATCTGTGGTTGGACATGTTGGTCGTACAGCAACGACCAGGCCAAACAAAGCACGAGCCCTTTTGTGCTGAATGACCCTTCATATTAACATACATGTCCATGTCCATGCAGTAGACCTCCAGACTCAGCTGAGTGCCGCCTCTCGCTCAGACAGTGACACATCCTTCAATACCCCTATAGGCATTGGGCTATGTGTTGAACGTAAGAGAATCCCGCATCAATTGACCCTCGTTGTCATCTTCATGTGCTCTAAAGGCCGCTATCTTGACACATTGACCTTTATCTAAACATAACTCTTGCCTCGGGAAACACTGCACACTCTTGACTTTGATCTTGACAGTCGTACCAGGTATGCTGAATCATGCCGCACTGCATGTTCAACGTTGTCCCAGCCTGCTTTTTTCGGATTAATTAATTAATCCAATGTCATCGCGCCTAGAATACCTTTCCCTGCGGCTTCGCAGTCTTAGCTGCAATGGTCTGCATGACAAGACCCAGGTCAAATTAAAGCTCCAAAACATCACCCAGGCCACAAAGCCCGCCAAGAACCTCGGCGATCATACCCATCAAGTGTTCGATTTCCAGACGACCGTCCACAATATGACCTTTGACATCATCAAGATTGATGTATATGATGTCAAGAAAGCATTCAACCAGCACATCAAGATCGGTCGTGCTTACTTGCCCCTGCGCGATCTTCAGAAGAAGGTCGGGAACAAGTATGATAATGACGGGGATGACAATACGGAGCCCGAACAATCGGTCTTGTCGACGCGTTTTGATGCCGCTGCGTTCTGTAAGAAACATGACGACGTATTTGAGGTTGATCTTCCGCTCTTCAAGCATGGATCGTATTCCAAGTTCGGGTCCAGCGTTCTCCATCATCACAACGAGCACGACCCTCTTCACAGCGAAAATAAGGAGGATATTATCATCACCAAAGGATCCGAAAACGGAAATGATGTCACCGTAAGGACGCACCCTCGCCGTCCTACCCGAAGCGAATCGTATGTACAGATGGCCATGAACGGCGTCGAAGTCGGCATGATCACCATCCAGGCTACTTTGCACTTCGAAGACCAGACACAGAATTCTCTCTTTGCTCATCTCGGCACAGGACTGGAAAGGCAGAGCAACGTCAACGGCACATCAGCAAGCGGGTCGAATGGTCAAGACTACGTATCAAGAAATGCCACCCGAACGTCGCGTTCACACACCAACCGTTCCATGGATTCGTCGCTCTCGACAGACTCATCAACACTTGGAGATAACCACCTCAGCGATGTTCCTAGATACCACTCGGAGCAACTCCTGCCACTGGCCTCTTCTAGAGAATCAGAGGCTCCTGAACTTGTCAAATCGACATCAGCACCCGTTATCATTCAACGCGGCATTCAATCGGGAGATCCTCAGCAGTCAGGAAGGATTCTAAAAATGCCCTCGTCTCCACCGAATCTCCCACTTTACTACGGAACAGCGAGCTCGCCTACTTCTCCGCCTCTGTCGCCTATATTCCCTCAGTCACCCGGATCCCTTGGATCGCCCGGATCGCCTCTTAATTCGTTTCAGTGGCATTCGGACAATAACACTTCTCAGGATACCGTTCGTTCATGGGATGAGTCCGGACTGAGCTATGGTGACGGATATATTGACGGGGACAATGCCGAATTTGATGAGGATATCGAGAACGGGTTGAGTCATGAGCACACGGTCAAGGGCGAACACCTCACGGAAGCTGATCGGAAGCGAGAGGAGGAATTGATGGCGGGGATTATGGCAAACGGCGATCAGGCAAAGAAGGACATGTATCTGAACCGGTCAGGAGAAGGCCAGGGCAGTGGACACAAAGGAAAAGGCAAGAAGGCCAAGTTCAATCTGTTCTCTGAACAGACACGATCTGCCTTCAAAGATATCCAGCTGATGTACAGTTCGTTCTTTGGTCATGGATGGAATCTGTCGCGGTCAGAGTTTTGGAAGGGCTTCCATATTGTGGAAAAGCACTACGAGCGCCATCCAACGTAAGTTCCATTGAAGGCTGTCCATGGTTTTTTTTATGCTTGAATTGGATTCTTTTGAGGGGGTTTTAATTGGTTTTTGTCGTATTAATGTCGCGTGTGATGTGAATAGGCCCACGACCAACAGAGCATTTGACAACATCGACATCCTCGAGAAAGCCCGCCATTTTGTGCGTCTTGCTATCGCCTCGTACGGCTCCCTTCCATGGGTATACTTTGGCTACAGTTTCAAGGTGGCCCCATTAAGTACGTTCGCATTCGTTGTCATGACTAATATAGTGATTACAATAGGAAATCAAATCACTACCTTCATTTGCTGATCTATATTGTGTGTTTTTTTTACATGCTCTCCAGACTTTGTCCGCTTCAACTCGGACCGCAAGAACGTGATGGACTACTTCAAGCTGAAGAAGGAGGATATGATCGTGTGGCATTTTGATAAGAGGACTGCCCTCGTGCCTAGCTACTACATCGTCCGCGATCCCAAGTACAATGCGCTTTGTATCATCATCCGTGGCACTTTTGTAAGGACTTGTACATTATCATGATCTTGTGGCTTTTTTATGAGAGTATGTTCTAATGCGATATATTTTGTTATTCACAACGATGGGGCATATCGACAGAGCATTACGGACGCCATGACCGATCTGGTTTGCGAGTACTATCCTTACAAAGGTGGCCTTGTTCACAAGGGCATCATGGATAATGCGCGGTTTGTTTTCGAGCGCAGCGGCAAGGACATCGAGGCTGCACTGAAAAAGTTCAACCTCAAGACTATCTACTGGTGAGTTGGCTGACTGATATCTCCTCCAAGGTTGTTAGTAGATATTCTTCAACTGCATTTGATCTAACATCTTTTTCTTTTCACTTTTTTTTTTTTTTTTTTTTTTTTTTTTCCTTTGCCCTGCTTTCTTCAGTATTGGACATTCA